TCGATTACCCACCTTCGGTGTTCTCATTTTTCCTTAACGAGTTGGCCAAGGTGTCAGATTATCCTGTGTCCACGTCGTGACTGATAGGCTCGTTAACGATGCGCCTTTACTGCGTCGCCGAAGAAGAGAGAAAGAGGAACAGAAACGAGGACTTCGCTCGTTATATTTTCGGCCGATTTATTTCCGTCTGTTTGCCGCGGGACAATCGGTCGGGCGATTATTACAACATTGTATGACTTTGTAAGATGCTTACACGCCTTTCTTAATGAATGCAAATCCGCGATGCACCTCGCGGCCATGTTGAAAAATTGATACCACGCGCTGCCGTTTTGGTGGAGTCGTTGTTATCCTCAGTGGCATGATAACTCGGTATCCTTATTATCGTTATTACCATGTGAAATCGAGTGGGCCAATTGATTCGATAAACCTTACGTTACGACACGAAAAAGACAGGAAGATCGACTTAACAAAGGCGAAAGGAAAAAGATTTCCTGTCAGATTTTGCGAAAGCGGAAAGTGATTAAAATTGGACGATTAAAGTTGACATCCGTTTATATACCGAGAATTTAAGGCAATTACATTTTAATCGCTGGTTAATAGCTTCATACCTTAAACTCATGGGACAATTACTCGAATTTCATGTAAATCCGCGACGCACCTCGCCGCCATTTTGAAAAATTAAGACCGCACGTTTTGGCAGCGATTATTTCGAGTCCTTATTATCTTCTTTGACGTGATAACTCGAGTCGTTATTGTCGTCATTGGCATGCTAAATCGAGCATACCAATTGATTCGATAAAGCATTGTTAGGACTCGAGTGCATTGGCTTAAACGAGGGAAAAAGAAAAAAGAGTTTCAGTTAATTTTGCAAGGAACGGGAAGCGGTTAAAATTAGGTAAATGCTATCTCTATCCGGTAATAGACCGAGAAATCGGAGGCAATTAGACTTTAATAGCTGGTTAATGACTTCATTCGTAAGCCTATATATCTTTGGCTTCACTTGAAAATCGATACCAGTGACTCGGAGTAAGGACAAGAATTTCGGTTTGGGGAGGGCTCTCCTTAATTTCTAATAATTAACGACGCAGCAGCTAATGATATAATTAACTACTGCATCGCGTGTCACGAGATCGGACGAGGAAGGACAAAATTGAGGGTTTCGTAATAACGGGCCTCGAGATGAGGGCAACGGACATGGAAACGGCCATTTCCTCGGCACGTGCACTCTTTGTTGCACAATTGCACAAACTCAAGTGCTTCCGTAAACAATGTCTTCGGAGCCTTGAGGTTGTCCGCGTTGAATTTTCATTATTTTGCGCAATTATCGCGAGCAGTTCCACTTTCTTCCCATTCCGTTTAACGGCCCACGTCCGATAAACAAGCCCTCTTTGACCATTATCACATCACCTTAAACGAAAGTGTTAGAAGAAAAGAAAAAAAAAATTGATAATTTCATCCGAAAGGCAATTTTTGGTCATATTTTTTAATACCGGAGGAATGAAAATGTCCAGCGGAAGAGTTTCGCACCAAGTACATTCGCGAGGTTCTTTACGGGACGCGGCGGTCTTTAACGACGAGCCGCAAAAAGGATCTCATTTAACGGCCGTTACTCGTGAACTTTGCGTAACGCAGCGACGTCGTCGAGTTCGACGGTCCGGTATTCGGTATTTCGAAATTTACGAGACTTTTTGCCCCCTTCCGGCGACGATCGTAGCTCCGGCATGCTCGGGAAAACCGCGCTCGAAACGGTTCCAAGCTGGCCTAGCGAGCGCAGAGTCGGTCGGAGAAAGGATAAATACAATGTAGATATCGCGATTCACGAGCAGCGAACCAGGCCAGAAAATGGCGAGGCGCGTGCTGCTCGGTAATCACGAGAACTTCTACCGAGGATACTTAGGTAAGACCGTCTACGAGATGTATGTACTTCCCGAGGCGAGCGGGGATGCTCCGGCCAGTGGCCGCCATTTTCTTTTTCCCTGACCTCCGGAAATTTGAGAAACTCAAGAAATTCCAAAACTAACAAGGCGATATAAAATAGCCATTATATAAATACTAAAAGTGAAAATATTAATAAAACTTTTGCTCCAAATTGGATGCGCCGAATAATTCGTGATTACGGTCGTCATGAAATTTCACTTAAAAAAATATACATGTTCTTGGTTCTAGTCTGGGCTAAATAAAAAAATCTTTTTTCAATAATGAAATGTATTCTAGTGGTGCTGATGTAGCAATTTAGAAATAAACGTTGCTTTCCTTTTATTTATATTTTATTTCTTGAGTAGATCAGAGTTCCTAAGTAAAGACGTTCATAGTCTACAAGTGCACTTTTGCGATTAAGGACGCCAATACCTTGAAGTCACTTCCTAGTCTCTAAACTCTTTAATCGACATTCTTAAAAGCAACTTAGATGCTGTTAGACACCATCCTTAAAAAGCTGTCGCAAGGCTGCGGACTAACGAACATCCTCGACCCGGTAAGTAGCCTTCCTTCGGTGACATGCAGATCTTATTAGAATATGCATGAGATCTATCTGCGACTGAATTTCCGGTGCGGAAAATCGCCCCTAAAATCGGCAAGTTCCGACCGCGAAATTAAATTCGAAGAAGAAAAAAGAAAAATAATCCAGACATCTTCGGCTCTTGCGACGTTTAGAAGGCGAAGCGCTCGCAAGATGGCGCCAGCGGTTTCAACATTTCATTCAGATATGGCAAACTATTCTCATAACATTATATTTATATATTTTACAACCATATACGATATAAATCTGGTGCATAAAAATGCATAAATTTCCTTGGACTGTTATGTATAAATTCATAATGCGTACTAATTCACTTCGTTCATAGAAAATAAAGCCTTGAATGTATAATTTTCCTACAGCCTTGCTTGTTGAAGGCGCATGAATTATATAAATATTTTTAATATTTATTCACAACAGCCGAAGCGTCAGGGTGATCTTACGAATGCGAACCTAACCTAACTCAGCAAGCGGACTGCACGAGTTTATATGTTCTTAAAGGCACGGAAAATTAGGACTCGAGTTGAAGTCATGAATTACAAACGATTTGGACATTTTACTATGGGGTACCCTAACATCAGCGAGGTGAAACGACACTTTTGCCCAGCTTTGTTTCGACCGTCGTTGCGGGTTATTGGGCAACGAATTACGCTCGTTACAAGATTACGAATTAGGGTGTTGTGCGGTCGTTGAGCCTTCCATGGGAGTTGCGTTCCTGTCGGATTTTCTCCTGTTCGCGGGGGGTCTTTAAGTCCTTGCGCAACAGCTTAGACTTCTAGGAGGCATAAGGGGAAGCGTCGGCAATTTTGCGCAAGATTGAATGCTCTGTACGCATTTTGCGTGGACAAGTTCTGCCTGATACGCTAATCGCGTTTTCTGGTACCCTACTCGTTCTTTCATTTAATATTCATAGGTGATTAGGTAACAAATGGAATATAATACCTGCAGATTAAGGCGCGCCATAACAGACGTAGTTAATAAAATACGTGTCGAACTGTTGAATTAATTCCAACGCGGATACAAAATATTTCGGCAATGAAGTATAATGAGAAACAAACGTCGGGGTACTTTTTAATGATTAAGGAATGATCATTTCGAAGGACGACCTAATAAATTCGGAAATAATCCTACCCGACGAAATTCTCACAAATCGTCGCCAAGCCGCGTGAAGGGAACTCTGTTTACTCTTTCTTGTTTCAATGTCGGCGAAGATTCCGTCAAATTCCGAATCGCTAGCGAAGGCCCGAGGCTGCATTTTTTTTTTATCACAAGAAAATAAACCCGAGACGGGATGTGAAGATCCGCTTTGAGATTCGCACTTTTTCTCCCGAATTCCTAGCATCATGGGTAAACGTACGTCCTAAAATATGGTAATTAATACTAGAAATAACCGTTGTCACATCTATTGATTTTCTAAGCAACTGATTTTCAATCATATTGATTTAATACATCGATTTCAAAAACCTTTAACACGCGTTAAAAATTCAGTGCAAATGTCAAGTACGCCACAGAATGTCACGAAATTATAATATGAGGTTATAAATTAATTCTATTCAGAAATTTATAACAAACGCGTACTAATTCACCTTTAAGACCTCAAATTTATAATTTTGTTTCGACCTTATGTACTAAAAGTGTACGGATTGTATTAGTAATGTTAACAGCGAGGTGTAGCTTAAACATGCGGATAAAATATGAGATTACTTTTCATCTGAAGATTTTCCATGCCGAGGGGATCGTTATTATCCGATTATTTTGCAATCAGGGAAGGTCAATACGTAATCTCGATAACTTTTCGATATTTGACACAACACGCGATAGGATCCGAGATCGTTTGTCATCAGGAGACCGGTATCCACAACTCGTCCTGTCGGCCTTGTACCGTGTCTCCGACTGGTAGTTTTGCATTTAGTTTAGCCTTCTGAAAGAACATCTGCGTCATTAAACTACGAATTAATCAGTCCTCGGAGTTCGTAACCCGATGTCAATGGAATTCCGCTTCTTCGACGCGATCGAGTAGGTATTGTCAATTTCGAGTCTCGCCGCCATCTTGGGACCGGTTCGCCGACCCGTTCTCCACGTTCTCCCAAGAATTCGGCTTTTTGGCCGACCGGTCCTACTTACGCAAATTATTCGTAAAATAAAACCCACTATCAAGCTTATCGCGTCAAGTTTTGCCCTGTGGATCCTTTCCATAAAATAAATAGGAACGGAAAAATTCGCAGTGCGAGATTCTTTCCGAGTGTTCTCCATGCGAGAATTCGGCTCTTTCGTTGATTGCTCGTTTTTCCGGGAAGTATTTTCAAGATAAAACCCATTGCTTTGCGTACCACTTTAAACTCTACCTCCTGTGCCCTTTCCGCTAAACCAAAATAAAAGGAATGAAAAAAATTCCATGGCACGAAAATTTCTATGCATTCTGCGTCGGCCATCTTGAGCTCCCACGAAAGGTGAATTAATTCGCGCTTTTTTTATTCTTTTCCAGGGGCAGCCGTGGCCGCGGGGGTGCTCCTGATAATCATAGCAGCCATCACGGCAGCCCTCTTCCCAAAAATCGTAAAGCTGATTATTAATAAGGAGATCTCTCTAAGAGAAGGTGGACAGACCTTTCGCTGGTGGAGGGAACCACCGGTGACGCCGCACATGCACATCTACATCTACAATGTCACCAATGCCGATGAGTTCCTTAACAATGGAGAAAAGCCGGCTCTCCAAGAGCTCGGACCCTACGTTTATAAGGAACATTGGGAGAAGGTTGAGGTTAAGTTCAACGGAAACGACACCATCACCTACAAGCAGAGGAAGGAGTTCGTCTTCGCGCCGGTAAGTCGGAAAATTGCGCGTTTAGTAATATCTTCATCTCTCCTTTCAAGATCCCGACCTCGAGCGACCCGTTAATTGGCAAATGCTCGTTTCAATTGAACAAACGGCGCAGAAGAAATTAAACGGAGTCCAACCGAAAGTAAACGGAATTAAACCCGTTTTTCAGTTCATTAAAGATCGCATTATTTTTTAGGCGTGAACCTAAGTAGCCCATTAATTAGCGAAACTCTCGTTACAGGCAAAGAACCGATGCAGAAAAATTTAAAAGATCGTTTTTTCATTCCACAGGGGATGCAATTTTACTATTTCTTTTATTACCGCGCCGACATTGAGCTATCCTTTTCTATATTTTTAACAAATTTAAAGGAAATTGGTGTAACAAATATTGCATGGTTACCGTATTAGTGCACTTTTACTTGAATTAAATGCAACTAGATGCCGGATCTGATATTACAGAGACTATTTAATTTCACTAGAATTTATTGTCGCATCGAAATAACAAATCATTGAGTATGTAAATTTACATGGGCATTTTTATCGGTGCAGCGTTTTTAAGTCTCAAGACGCGATTTAACCTCAGAATCAGGGTCGACACCCTGCAAGTACAAACCGAAGGTGAACGTAGCGATTGTTTGAATTTTGGCCGAGACTTACATGTTAAGTCGAAGTGACGCAATGGCCCCATAAGTCGTGCTCTTGCCTCATTTCCAGCGGTAAATGTGACTGCCTTTACATCACCGCCTACGAGATTAGACTGCATATTCGGCTCTGTTCGCGCTGTAACAATTGACAACTCGGCCAAGGTCAATAAAATCATCGCTAATCACCGAATCAAATAAATAAGACTTCATTGTTAGGAATAGGAATAGTTATTCCGATTAGAATCAACGAACAACATCTACTGCCTGTACTAAATATACATACATTTATATACTTATTTATCGTGAAATTCAAACATCTCGTACAACCAACGACGTTGAATACTTTCCTTAGGATTTAAAAATAAAATCCCAGAAAAAGAAATATAAAAGCAATTTAAATGTCCTTTGATCATCGATCTATCGACTTATTCATTAAAGTGAATGGTCCTATCGAAAGATCTTTACGCAATTTAACTTGAAATTATAGTATTTCGGTAGCTCCAAATTCGCGCACTACAAGTTGAGGTTAGGTTAGGCGAGGTTAGTATCCTCTTGCCTAATAACTGCAATCAGCTTAATGGACAGCTTAAGGTCCTTTTCTCACCCACGATAACGATCCGGTAGGTAAGTTCCCCGTTGATTACGCGCATTCCCGAACAATGGTTCCTCGTACAAAAAGTAATTGGAGTCAGTCAGCCAACAATGAATGTCAAGACGGATTAGTTACTTTCGGGCGGACGTAATTGCGCGTTCCGGCGCCGACTCTCATTTTCTGCGCGCGCATTCAATTCCCGACCCTTGCCGGCTCCTCATCCGTTTCCGGGATTCTCAGACTTTCTCGCCCGGTGGAGACTCCTTGTCTCTTGCTTTCATCTTGGATCTTTTCCTTTTCCTTTTCGGTAAAGAGCCGACTCAGCACCGAGCCACTTACTCGATGGATATGAAGTCGAAAGGTAACCGCGACGTCGCACCTGGAGCTACCTGATTTACTTAGATGATTTACTTTGATAATCGATCGACATTTCATTTCCTTTCATTCACACTGAGATAAATAGAGCACCGACAAAATCGACATCTATATGTAATCTAAAGAAAGATTTCTGATGTTTTTCAAGCTACCTCCCTAGTGGCCCAAAATAATTGTCTTATATCTTCTATATATTTAACAAATATCGATACATTTTGTAAATATCCAGGAGATATTTGAAATATTTGCGAAACATATACATTAGAATATTATTTTTATACTATTTGTATAATATTAGCCCCACGTGTTTTCGTCATATTTTCCTTATAGATGTACAAAACACATTATAATAAACAAATAATAGTCATAAACACGTACAATTAGGAATGTTCATAAGGTCGTTCGTAAATATCAATTTTAATCATTGTCGAGGATTCTGGCGCTCTTTAGTCTTAAGCTCTGTCCAGGGGGAACTGGAAATTGAATGAGACTACTTTCTGTTCCAGGAGCTCTCGGTAGGATCCGAAGAGGACCTTGTGGTGGTCCCGAACATCCCAATGTTGTCTGCGACGAGTCAATCTCGACATGCTGCGAGGTTCCTGAGGTTGGCCATGGCGTCGATCATGGACATCCTGAAGATCAAGCCCTTCGTCGAGGTGTCGGTCGGTCAGCTCCTCTGGGGGTACGAGGATCCCCTTCTAAAGCTGGCCAAGGACGTGGTCCCGAAAGAGCAAAAGCTCCCCTACGATCAGTTCGGCCTGATGTACGGCAAGAATGGCACCTCACAGGACATCTACACCGTCTTCTCCGGCCAGGGAGATATCACCAAGTACGGGATGCTGGAAAAGTGGAACGGCAAAAAGGGATTAGGCCATTGGACCACGCCTCAGTGCGACAGTGTCATGGGAAGCGATGGTAGCATCTTTCCACCCCATATCACGAAGAACACGGTCCTGAAGGTCTTCGAAAAGGACCTCTGCAGGACGCTGCCGTTGGTCTTCAAGGTGAGATGAATGGGGTGAAACGTGAAAATTGTATACACCATGCCTGGATGAAAAGCCTCAAAAAAGAAGTTATTAAATCACATCACTTTTGTTGGAAATTCCATACAAACGTGGTGTACCTAATTTTATAATATTTTCTCAAATAAAAGGTCCAACACGTGTTAGAAATTGACCACGGGTGTGTAACCAGTTTCTTAGTAAACTTCGGAAAATAATAACGTCGGGTAAATTATACATTTATCTTTTAAATTATAATAAATGCGTATTAATTCATCGTCGAGGCAATATAATTCTGTTGTAATTTTATAAGCTAAGGATGGATGAATTTTATGGTTTTTTTTTTTTTTTCATGGTGTACAATGAAAGCTTTAGGGAATATCAGCTGACTTGGAGAACATTAGACCTGAGGGACTCCTGGAAGAAATCTCTAATTGTTGTTCCTTGTTTCAGAAAGAGATTATGTCCTCCGGCAACGTTCCTGGGTATAGATTCGTGCCTCCCATGGACGTTTTTTCGACGCCCGATAAAGTGCCGTCGCAACAATGTTTCTGTCCTGCAGGACCACCCTGTGCTCCCGAGGGAACCTTCAACGCGTCTCTTTGCCAGTACGAGTCTCCGATTCTCCTCAGTTTCCCGCACTTTTACCTAGGTATGATTACCCACTACTTGTATTTTCAATTTCAATGTCTCGATATTCATATGAAAGAAATTCTAAATCATTGGAACCATTCATTGCAAGAATAGACATTTGAGTGTCCCCTACTGATGCGCCGCCATTAGTGCACCCCAAAAACGTTGCAAAATTGCATCCAATCTCATTTACATTAATATATAGAGGTTAAACTTCGTTTCAATTATTACCTGTAAGAGTGAAAGAATTGAAATTTGCGATATCAGATTTTGAAAACGAGTCTTACGACACATAGGAGTATTTACTGTTAAAACCTGGCCATAAGTCAATATTTAAAAGTTGCACTTATATACATAGCTTTCCTTCTTGAATTACGGGGTGCGCATGAAATCTTATTTATATTATGTTACTACTGTTAATTAATTTTGATTAGAGGCCATTAAATTCAACAAATCATTTTTGCCGAATTTTCATGGGGAATACTCCTATCGGGTGTCTTCGGATGAGGCGCCGCCATTAAAGCATCTCAGACGCGATACAGGATCCAGTAACTTTTACATACAGAGCATGAAAATGGGCATTTCGTAACCCTCATCTCGCGTGTTTCCTCTTTCGCAAATCCCTTCCTATCGGACGTTGGGAATCGTTGGTAAATCTGACGACCATTTCTCTTTTTCTTTTCTTCTGTCGGCGGCAATCGCGCCGCGTGGGATAACGGAACGCGATTCTCCCAGGAGGCCGCCATCTTGCCCTAGTGTATCATGGGAACCTCTTTTTTTTTCTCCTTTTTGTTATAATTTTAAATGGAACGCGCTACTTTTACCTTCTTCACCTGAGTGCGATCCATCGCAACATTGTGCACTCTCAGATAACGTCTCGTTACTCCTACATCGTCGTAAAACCGTGTTGTTATAAAAAAGAAAGGAAAGAGACGCGGAACCACGCCACTCTTAGCGGTACCTCTAATGGGACCAGCGTTTCTTTTTTCTTTATTTTATCTATTTCTGCATCGACTGCTAGCCATTAGTTGCAGTATTTTCAAACTCACTAGCGACTTGTTGATATTCAGCATTGAAAGTATTGGAATTATAATATTTAATAGGAATTTAGCCGTTATGTAGAAACGCATCCAATTTATTCGAAGTTATTTGTATGGCTCGGATTTTTCGCTTGATCAAATCATCATTTAAACTGTTAGAATTTAAAAAATTGGTGATTTTTCTTTCAACAGCTGATCCGGCCCTACGAGAAGCGGTCACCGGAATTTCGCCGCCTGAAGAGGAGAAGCACCAGCTTTACATTGATGTGCAACCAATAACGGGCACAGCTCTTAGAGCTCGAGCTAGGATTCAAATTAATCTCGCCGTGAGCCAAGTTCGAGACATCAAACAAGTCGCCACCTTCCCCGACATCGTCTTTCCAATAATGTGGTTCGATGACGTGAGTGTCTCAGCGCGCAAGAAAAAGAAAGAGGACCTCTTTCGTCCTTCGCCTTTTGGCGCGCATTTCCTTTCTTCCTTTCAAAGGCGCGCCTGGGGAAATATTTTCAACTTTGCAAATGCACCATGCAAATATCAGTGGAACGTTATTTTAATCTTTTCTTTTTCCAACTATTTTCTTTCTCCTTTCATACGGCGTGACGTTCGAGGAAACTTTTTCGAGGGGACAAAACGGCACCCAATCGCTCCGAGGACGCTTTTAAGAGATGTGTTTAACGTTTCGTTATTTCGACCACGTACCGAGTAACGCAACGTCCACTCTGTACGCACTCGGTGCTTTAAATGGAGGACAATGTGGCTGTTTCGACAGAAGGATACATTCGTGCGATTTTAACGATTCGGTCATTAATGTGCGCTCCCTGGGCGAATGGGTCGGTGGAGTTGCCTTTGTAATAAGCATTGACTGTAAATCGTTCGCTGATGACTTTCGGTACCTATCTTGTGACCGGAATTATTATTTATGTGCCTACGGGTGGAAAGTTACTTTGAGAGAATCGGGTAGCAGTTGGAAGGGTATTTAGCTGGGAAGAAACGGTCTTTTGCAATATAAAATGCGGCGGGGAATTTTGGAAAACAATGGTACAGGTTGAAACTGGAAATTCCAGTCGTAATATCATTGATTACCAATTTTGGTGAACGACGTTAAATTTTTATTAATGAGATTCTGGTAAGAGTATTCTTAATAATTAAGAAAGCAATGACAAAGAATTGATTTTCTTGCAATATCGGAAAATCTGACTCCAGGGCAATATCGATAAACTTGGATGCTACTTTCTCATAGACCGACAGTTTGCCCATTCACGGAAGGAACATTATTAGCACAATTCGATACTTCGGCAACTTTGTCACGAGATTTAATGTTCTCTCGACATACTTAAACATTTCGTGCGCGTCCCGCGCATGCGTCACTACGCACTCGCCGCTTTAAATGGAAGACAATGCGGCGATTTCGACAGAGTGAAATTATTCCCACATTTTCAGCGATCGTACCCTCGACTGACTGAACTAATGCAAAAGGTTTCGTTACCTTCCGAGAAAAGTCGAAGCGAGTTCATAACTCCCAACAAAAGCCGGATTTCATGCTCGTTGCTTATAACTCTTTCTTCTCACGATTTATATTGGATTTCAAAAACTCGCATACTTCTTCTGCGACGAATCCTCTTCAAGGACAATCGCAAGCTTAAATGAAACTGCCGAAAAGGTGGGGAGATGCTGGAAAATACATTATTAATTAAAATGTCCGTTTCACTGCAGAAAGTAAATCTTTAAATCTTAACTTCGACCACAAACTTATGGACAGAGCTGGATAAAATGGTTCTCGCAATCTATTGAAAATAGAAAATGCAAAGTAACATTTCTCTTCATATTTAAAATATAAAGTAAAAGAAATGAAATTTTACATTTCAGATACCTACTTAAAATGAATTCAATTGGAATTGTTACCCAACTTCGTTCATGGAGTCCCAGTAATAATCAGGAAGAGCCGAGATAATAGGAGCAAATGAACTCTTCTGATGAACAATCGAGGAATTTCTTCGCGGAAAAAAAAAAGATAAATTTAGTTTTGTGTCAGGTCGTGAATGCGCCATTCATCATTCGAGCGATTCCTGCGATCGATTTTGCATCCGTCTTATTAAGTACGCAAAAAACGTGTAAATTATTTCATTGCCGTGATTCACTTTCGCGGAACCTCGTCGAGGGCGGCTTGATTACGCGCTTAGAAAAAAGGCGGTTGCAAATGATCGTTAATGACCGCGTGAATATTCAACGCGTTTTCGAGTGACTCCTCCATGAGAAGTGACGTTGGAAGACGTGATGCGATCTCGACGATCGCGATTCGAGAATTCGTTCATGGGTTACGCTTCGTGATGGAACTGACGTCACTGTGCGATTTGAAATTCAGCTCATGTCCGACTCGTCGCATCCTAATTGAAGATAACCTTGACGTTATGAATGAACGTCGCGTGCAATATCCTACGCGATTGAAACGTCAAAATCCTGGAACGACCGCTTCCGTCGTGACGCACTCTGTCGGACACCGAGAAATGGTACAGGTCACTCGAGTCGAATCAAGAGAAGCTAAAAGTCGATTCTTCAATTTCTATAATTTAAGGTGATATGAATGCGATATCTGAAGGGTCAATCGTTTATGAAACTTTTCTCCGAACTGGATTAACCGAATCTTTTGAAACTTTACCACGTGAATATAGAGAAAAAAATGTTAAACAAGCACTGTAAAAATGTATGGAGATTTTGTAGTAATTTTATGTATTGTTTGTACAGACCGTGGACGAACTACCATCGGGCGCAAGAACTCTTCTCAAGATGGCGGTGGAAGTGCCTCCCTTGGCTCGTGCAATAGTCTCAGGTGTGCTAGCAGCAATCGGGGCGATCGTCTTGGTGGGTGCTCTCATTTGCCTGGCAAGAGCAGCCAAAAGACAAGAGAAACTCCACCTGAGCAGTCCTCTACCAGCGAATGCCATTAACAACAAGAGCGCCCTCGGTCCCGGTTTCCAAAGTTCAATGGGTGGCAAGTAATTTTGAAAATGCCGCTAACGATCGCAAATCGATCGCCCAAACGAGCCTCGATTAGTCCGTCGATCTTATTTCCTGGTGCGTCCTTTCTTCCCGCGCCACACCTCCGCCATTTTCCTCAGCAACCGGTCGAACCTCCTTCAGGGAAGGGCCAAGACTTTGACGAGGTTCCTGCGGAAAGACGCAGCGGAATCTGTTTACCCACTTAACGTTTCCGCTGAATCGGTCCTCTCGAGGCACTGCATGGAAAAGTACTTCCCTACTCGCGTTGTTAGGGACGCCGATTCGTTGCTATGGCGCGTCACGCGGGCGCGTTGCTAGGGCAACGAGGACGCGTTGCTATGGCGTCTAGGACGCGATTCCCGTAGCAACGACGATCCTCTCTACTTATCCCTCCTATGAAATGTATTACCAGGCTGCAATCTACACTTCTTCAAGGTATATCTAAGATGAGTTGATCAATTCCAAGATTGCTTTTGGACATATTATGAAGGGGTGCATGATTGCCATCGAAGTGAGCATTTCAAGTTCCCTTGCGATCGAGATTTCCGGTCTTACGGTTCTGCGGAATTGAATTTGTAACCAGACGCGGGGAAGTTACCGATCGGACGTCCTGCCGTTGACTTGTAACCTGAAAAATGTTTTACTTGCGGGAAAATTGGAAATGTACATAACCTATGCGGCGAAAAGATCGAGGCGGAGGAACGACGAGGCGACAATCGGAACAAACCGCGTTGACGCAGTTTTGTCGTAACTTATCGCGCCTTGTATGTGACTTCTCCTACTCGTCGCTCTCTCCTTCACCGTTCTCTCCGCTCCTTGGCCTCGTTTGCGATTCGCAGGCGAAGTGCGAGAATATCGAGAGGCCGCCAGCGGTTTTCGAAATTGAATTCCGAGGCGTGGAACTCGACGCTATCGAAAGTACTTAGCAAAGTATAAAGGGAAAAATCTAAGTAAAGTAAAAGAAGAAGATTAACGACGAGGAGCGAAAGTGCTGTTAAAGAGTGTTTCACGTTATTTTCTGTCGTCGTCCCCCGTGTGTGCAATGATAAGCAAGACTAAAGTGCGTTTTAATTATTCGACAGGAATTTTCCGCTAAAAATTAATTTTCATTTCATCGTTTTTTTTTTTTGTAATGAAAATAGTAAATTTTCTCAAGTTTCTCCCGAAAGCCTCCGAAATTGTGACCTCGAATTTCTCGGATGACCTAGCACAATGCCAAATTAAGTGTCACGCTTTCACTGTCAGCATAGTCGCATCGCCGGCACGGAATCCTTTCGACATTCCGAAACGACGTGAAAAAGATTTCCTGCGATTTAACATTTTCATATGCATTCCTCTTGATACTTCCTTTACGTAGTTCGACGTATAAGTGCGATAACCGAGCGATGAATAATTCGAGAAAAAATGTATTCTCCCGATGGAGGGAGAAGGTCGCTGAGCGGAAAGAGAAATCGAATTTGCGGGCTGAATAAATTCTGGAAAAAAAATTCGACTCATTCTAAACATAACGAATAAATAAGTAGACAAATATAGGGAATTATGATGGCATGAAATGAAGCTTACTGGCAATGAGTCTCGTTGAGTATTCAAAAGTAAGTCATCAAACGTCGATAGACTTTTATAGCCTCTCGGCGAGTCACACATCGTTGAAATTCTAATTTACACGTCACTTGTGCTATTTTTTATTCCGTTCTCGACATATTGGCTCGCGTTATGTCACTCGCGGTGTTCGGTCTAAAACACTTGGCACGTCACCGTCTCTTCAATTAGACGATATTACATCGTTCAAGTAGGAAATAATTAGAGATGGTAAGTCGAGCGCTCGGTGTGCAGAACTTAATTGGATTCTCCTTTACTGTTTCTTTTTTTATTAATTGTAAATTTCCTTGTGAATACGATTTATTGGTGACGATTAATTTATGCGATGTGGACGTCTTGTTTAATGTCTCGCTTTTATAAGCGAGGCGTCCTCTCCAATTGGTGGAAAAGTATAGTTTACTGGAAATTTAATTCCCCCGATTGCGGTGTTTTAAATAACGCTAAGAAAGAGAGAGAGAGGTGTTATTAATTATAAGCACGTGTTGCACGTAATTCGTTTTCGATGGGACCCCCCGCGAAGAATGCGGGGAATGTAATCGCTGAGTTTTACCTCGGCGAGTTGTTTTATTTGCGGAATTCTAGTAATTGTTGTAAACGTTGGTGCAGTTAAAATTAATATCAGATTGTAATCACCCTCCGTCTTACGATTTCGTCCAGGAAAGGACTCGGGCTGAGCTCCGAATTAATTATCCTCGAGCCATTCATTTTTATCGTAGAAATAGTTTTAACGTACGTAACAATAAAGAAACTATAACATATATATATTCGAGGACATTAATGACAAGAAAATTATAGAAACAATTTTCAAACCCGTCGAATTAGAAGTATCAGAATTGCTTTTCAATTTAATCATTTTTAAAATGATAACTGTAATGGGTGCCTTAAACAATTTAAAATGTTATCAGTGCCTTTGACACAAACAATTTAAAATGATAACTGTAATGGGTGCCTTATACAATTTAAAATGTTATCAGTGCCTTTGACATAAACAACGTAAATTCGGGGCTCAGCCTGCGTTCCATTCCGATTGTTGTAATTATCTCAAAAAGATATCAATCGATATAATGTCCATTTGTATATGTTTTATTACAAATATGCGTAGGACTAAGTCTACTAGGAATTAGGTAATGATACTTTTGTACAATAAAAATCAAAAGATGCCAAATAGTTCTACGTAAATGCGAGGACAGTCGCCTTTTTTTTTTTTCTTTACGCGAACCCTATCCCCCTACACTGTTAAAAATGTTTGTAAATCTCGTACAATTTAAGTATACAAATTTTTCCAGAAGTTACAAATTTTAAATAATAAGTTAAAGTAGTATGCAACTTTTGTGAGCGTACGAACGAGTTTCGAGTTTTGTAAGATTTTATGGAAAATGTTTTAAACCGATTGTAAGACAATATTAAAAACATCTACGAGTATATTATAAAAAAAGTTAAATGTACAAAACATCGGATACGTGGCTCATCAATTTATTTCAATTTTTAACAGTGTACCAGGGAATTGTGCACGTCCCTGTATAAGGTAATTACGCGTACATAAGCGCATCTCGTATGTAACAATCGACTTGCAAATTAAATGTAAACTATGACTCTCGTTATTCTATTTGTTAATTAAACCGGTACTTGCGAGTAACTCTCTAGCAATACAAGAATTGCACACGTTTCACAATACGAGGCATTTCTTTGCCACGAATTAGTTCTTTCAACCCATGCAATTATTTTATAACATTAATTCCTGCATACTCATATTTAATAGAGATTGTTTCCTAACAGAGAAAATAATCATACGATAGAATTCCGAGACTTAACGATTACCACTCATAACGACGCGCGATAGATCACAACCCTGGCTTGTTTATTTTTTTGTTTATAGATAGCTAGCAGGAATAAGGAAAGTCATACTTCTATTCAAGTTTGTCGATTCCAATTCAACATTTTCAACAAATAATCACAGAAGGAATTACGTGGAAAAGGGGAAAATAAAGAGGATGTGAAAATAGCATTCGTAAGGTCAGTCGTTCCGACACCCATGAAATTACATTTTTATGGAAAATTATTAAAATGTCTACAAATTTTTTTAAATTAAACATTCCATGGGTATCAGTACCTTCCTTATAGTCTCGACATTAACGTCACGAAGTTCCATAGATGAGACCTCTTTGATAATGCCATTATCACATCTCCTTAAAGTCACATCGATCTCACTTTCTTCTTTTTCACTATTAAAATTATTCAACGTGACTTTTGCAAAAATATAGTTTTATTTCTTTTAGTTATTTTCCAGGTGGAAATCGGCGGATTCGCCGGTCGCAGGAGAGCCGAGATTCCTGAGAAGTTTGCTGACGTTAACGAGTAAAAAATATTTCTTTTATCACGCTCTTCGGAAAATCATTGCTTATAAGAATGCCAGAGGTTATCTAGGATGACTTCGATTCGACGAAGGATGTTTGTTTAAGTCCGGGATTTACATGCGAGTAAACCTATTAGAGACTAAGAAGGGTCATCGTTAACGAGAGTGATTCTTCGGTTACGTATTCACTGGTAATTATCGGCACATTACGATAGAAGTGATTTCTCACGCTATAAATCGCATTTGCGTAACGGTGACTTATTTTCCTACGCTATGTACATAATTCATTGGCGATTATCAACTACGACTCGAGATTTAATCCCCAAAATGTTCCTGGAAATTTTCTGAGAACATTGGATCACTCAATTGATACGCGCTAACATTTCTATTACATAAAATGTCAATAAGGAGAAAAAGAAATGATCGCAGTCTGTCACTGAAAAATCAACGACTATAACTATAAATATACATCGAGTATTTTAATGGTTAAAAATCATGAACCGCTGATCTTTGACATCTCTATAAACAAGATAATGATTAGCATTAATCGAGGGAATTCGAAGCAGTAAAAAATATTAAATGAAACTGGGAAGTTACTGTACGTTATCGCTCGTATTTTTTGGAAGTGTCTTTTGAGGGTGTCAGATTGCGAGAACGCATCTTTTAAATATTGTTATCCGTTAATTTATTTGCTTACTGACTTATTTATTACTTTATCGAGACTTCGGCTCGTTCTTTACGAAATCTAAGAATCCCGCCAAGTGTCCCAAAATACATGAGCGGTGTTGTATGTCATTAATTTTCATTAATTACAACTTTTTATCGCTTCGAGTCCTCCAACCGATTTTTGGTTTATCAGGTCACATTCGGTATCATGTTTATGGTGACACTCATTCATAAACATATCGGGATTAATGTCATTATCCGGGAATTTTCGGTGCTCGTTGCTCGCTGATAATCCCGTGGTGTGATCTCGGCAGACAAAATAAAGTCTGTTTACAATCGACCGGCGTTATACAATTTTTTAAGAGCTCACATACGTCTCTTGAAAAACTGCTTAATACTTGTTTCGTTCAAGGAAACGTAAATGAAATGAGGAATTTCAAAAACGCGCCCTTTGCCTATTTTCTTTTCATTTCTTTAATTTATGCGACATTCTGCAAAAAAAAACAAACGAACTCAAATAAGTTGTCTTAATTCCGAAGAAACGTTGCAATCAATTTATTCGAGTTTATTTGAGTGAAATAATTATTCTTTTGAATTAACAAAATATTTCTTTGATACTATTCAAAGAAACATGACCTTGGTTAAATGAAATTTTACGTTCTCGGTGTGACTATTAATCTATCGTTAGATTTTCCTCGCCAATTTTCATATCGACTAGTATAACTTAATGATTTTAGTAACTGTCTTTTTATAGTACTTCATCCTGTATAAGTTACCGCGACTATAACTATTTTATCGTAGAACAGAGCAGTCTTGAAAAAGGAGCGAACTTTCCTGATAAAAGATCAACATTTATCAGCTCATCAGGTCTAGTCGATTTCCCTTAACTTCGATCTCGGTAATCCAACCCAATACTTTTAACTAAAATAAATTAATCAAAGTTGAGTCGGAATACCGGAAATTAATTCCGGTACGGAAATTGGATAGGCCCTCGATAATCAGACTTTAAAAAATCGAAGCCTAATCTTTTGGGGCCTAGACTGAGATAGTAACGTGAGTCCAAAAAAGCTCTTTAGACGTCTTTAACACCTCCACTGACAGCATGACAGTTAAGGTACCGAAACCGTCGAATAAATTGTCAAAATGACAGTTAAGATACCAAAATTACCGTCAAATTCCCAAAATGACAGTCAAGGTATCAAGATGACAGTGAAGCTGCCATAATGCAGACTTCCTGGCCATGGGCATGTAATAAAAAATTGATCTCTTTCACGAGGTGATCATAATAATCGCCTCATTCGAGAAGTCTATTCTCCCCGGAGATATTTCTTTTCAGCTTCCTCCGATGCTCGGTCCTCGTCTTCTTCATGGTAAACAACAACAAGCAAGTCGACACCAAAACTAGAAATAAACTGCCCCACTGGAATCCAATTTCGACTGCACTTGCGGTGAAATATGCATGATGCAGGATGCTGATAACAGAATCCGGGATGTTGTCTATGCCAACTTCGACCCAGAATAAAGGAAGGACTTCGCCGTCCTTTAATTTTCCCATAAATGGGACCCCGACTGCTTTTCTTGCCTCAAGATTTAGCTGAAGCCTCGACCAACCGCCAATAGGAACTGCAAGTAGCTGTAAAAAAAAAAAATAAATAATATGTGCCTGAATTAAATTCGTTATAATCATGTGAATGAATTAACCGTATCACGAACACGTGTCAAAGATAATTTTTCAAGTTCTCACGGTAATGTATAATTAAGTGAAATATGAATATTTTCCTATGAATCCGAGAATGAAGAACTCTATAATTATGTCGAGTATTATTAAGCATGTTTTTTTTTTCTTTCTTTTTTGGAACTAGAGGCTTCATTGTGTAAATAATACTTGAATTAGATGGCACGAATGGAATGGAGAAATTGACATGTCTGCTAAAGTACATTAAAGGATAATTGAAATCATAATTTTATATTTACCGGATGAAGGTCGACGTATGTCTCATGCAACTCCTGTTGTGGATTCAACCCCTCGATCTGCTCCAACAGCGACTTATCTCCAAGATAAAAGTGTGGGAAAGATGTCAATACAGGAGTTCCAAAATGACACGAGGATACGTTGAAAATCCCTGCCTTCGGGCAGGACCTGTCCGAAAAAATGGCACCTTCCGAGACTTTCGAGCAGTAACAAAAGTCCTTAGACCGGGAAGCATTGAACAAATCCGTCGGTGGTTTGTATCTAAAATGAAAAATAGAAACCTAGATTAATCGTCCACCTAAAGGAAATAAAAGTATACCTAAACAATTCCTTCCATTTACGCAAGAAGTGTAAAAATTGCATCCTACATTTTTCTCGGCACATGTCCTTGCAATATTCTTACACATATCCACGTTATTAAATATTTACAATTAAATCCTGTCTAAACCGTGGCCTGTAAAATCTGTAAAAGCTGATAAAATATCGCCAGGACTAAAATAATCGGCCGGAAATAAAAAGAAGCGCGTCTAAAAAAGAACGTGAAGTAATAATAGACACGTGTGCTCGCAAGATATATAGACTATGATCGAAAGGGTCGATACCTATTAAATAAAAAAAGAAAAGGTACATCCTGTCTAAATATTTAATACATATTTAATCTATGTTTATATACAAGGAGTACATATATTCTTACCTCAAGGTAGGAATCCCTTGGACCATGGTGCGACCTTCGTAATGCAAGGGAATTGTCCTGCACATGTCCCTGCAGAAGACATGCAATGTTGCATTTGGGTCTCTGATGAGATGCGGAGGAAACATGGTCCCATCTGTGCCAAAAATTGTATCGCATTGTTCGTCATCCCATACGTGAAGTCTCTCATCTCCATTCAATCTTTGGACCAGCCCGAGACTTCCCAAATCTCCAGAACCGGTGCGAATGTTGATGCGATCCTTCGACACCCCGACTTTCTGTAAAAATGATAAGGAATTACGTGCTTCACCTTAAAAACTCTATTATATTATATTATACTACTACACTACTGCAGTACATTCGATTCCCCCTGAAAAAAAAAAAAAAAATTAAGGAAAGCCAGCAAAAAAGCCAATTTTTTCAATTGAATTCTCGACGTCAGCTTTCAAATTAAAATAGGACAAGCGCGAAAAAAAGTGTCGTCGATCAGTTGATTTAGTTGGGACCGAGATAGAGGAGAGTTGAATGACGCATCCTTGTATCGCTTGTACATGACACATGTTGATTGTGAATGGTAGTATATCCCGCTTGTGAATGGACGTATTACGCTAAGCTCAAGTATCGTAGTACGCACACTACTATTCTTTCATTCCCCATCTTTATTGCACTTCATTCAATATTTCCTCTCCAGACTCGTCATCGCGATTTAATCCGGCATTTGACGTCTTCAAATATCCGACAATTACGGAAACATTAATTTCCGTCATACACTTCCTCTCCAACCCCCTGACAAAGATTTCTTAAAATTGAATATTCAAGAATACCGTTCCAATTTTTGTACTTCATCTTCAGAAAAACATTATTCACGCCAATATTGCAATTCCGTGAGATGTAATTAAAAGAATACGCACTTGCTCCTTAAACGTGCAAACAAAATTTCATTAACGTAGAATTTGAGAATTTAAGAATGTCGTTTGGAATTTTTTATTCTCGGGTACAGGCTCTTTGCAATAATTTTGTAACGGTGGAAATAGTGTTATTAAGAGAACTTTAACGCTCTGGATTTACTTCCAAACGATGATGACACGATTTTAATCGCACTGCAAAAAGCAACGCTTACCCTTGGCTGATAAGCAGTGATAGAAGGAAGAAGAGGTCATTATAGTTCACGTGGTACAAATCGCTGTCGAAATCCCAGTTTTTCTTTGCACATCTTTTAACACTTGGAGTCTAATGACATTGTTTTATTGTAATTTGTAACGACTTAAATAGGAATGAGTTGCGCTTATTGCTCTACGCTCTCCGAAAAATGTTTTGATAAGAGAGTGTCTCAGAGTTGACAGGGCACGACCTGTCGCACTGAAAATGCCCACTGATAAGCAGGACTACAAATAAGTCACATTAATAAAAAAACATGATTTTTAGTCGCTTATCGGGATTCATGACTATGGTTGAACGATCGTTTACCGAAGCATGCATTAATCATGTGCTCTGATTCTCAATTGGATCAATGAACTGCAATTTGTCGAAATCCAACAGAGAACCCATAAGAAAAATATAAAAAATATATTCCTACCGATACTGCAATCACTTATATCTACCGTTATCACGCTAATTTTTTTAACAATGTATCACGTTTCCTTATCACACAGGACAGAAGATAAAGAGTAATCATACCCCGTTAAAATTATTCATAAAATTCCTACACATTTAGCTTGCTCTTATAATAAAATTATAAATTCAATGCCTCAAAAGTGGATAAACGTACCTGCGATGAATTTCAAAATTTTACATGATTTTACATAAACACGTGATCATTTTATAAATAACATTGCCTAGGAAAACACCTATACTTACGTGTACCAACTTTACAACATGCATTTACAAAACATAAATAAAATGATATCAAACTAATTTTTAACGGCGTTTCAGGTATCTTTATCACCCAGGACATAGAGTATCATACATACCGAGGCTAGCATGCCGAACTTGTCGAAAGTGATGGGTTGTCTCAGAGCCATGACCGGCTTGGCCATTTGGAAGATCTTATCGTCATAGCCCCATAGGAATCCCCCAGCAGGAACTGTGACAAAAGTCTTGGCCTGAAGTGTCGTCAAAATGGCGGTGAGAGTGACTTGAGCCATGAAGTTGAGATCCCGTGAAAAAGCCATGGCGGTAAAAAGAGGAACATTCGGCACCCTGATCATCTCATCATCTGGCCTGCCACCTTCCCATTGGAAGGCCCTCTTCTCCTGGTAGGTGATGGTCCCGTTCTCATGGGATTGTACGTTGACCCTGGTCAGGGTTTCCCTGTAGATGTAGGGCCCAAGTTCCTGGACCTTCAATTTCGGGTCCAGACCGCTCTCGAACTCGTCTACGTTTGTATAATTGAATATCCTGATGCGATAAGCCGCCCTTACGAGAGGTCTTTCCCAGAGGCCGTAGGTCGTGGTGCCGTTCTTTAGCTCCAGGGCGGAGAGAATGGCGTCCCTGAAGAGGTTCGTGCACCAGAAGACGACGAGGATGGCAGTCCCGACGATCGCCATGCTGCCCATGCCCCACACCAAACAGGTCCTCCCTGCGCAGGACTTCTTCTTCTGGACCACCTTGGAGTCCATCTTGGATGCTGCGAGAGTCTTCGAGATCCCTGGATTTTTTCCTTTGAAATTTTTCCTACTCTCCCTAGAGTTTGAAGACGATGATCCAATTTCAAGCGATAAGTTCCTTCCTCAGGTCCTGGACACAGGATCCGATTTCTCGATCTTCCTTCTTCCTCGCCCAGATTTCATATACCAGATTATGTCTTTTGGAGTTAAATCTTAGACAAGGACCAGCTGACACGATCTTGGTCGATCGAACCTCGATGATGGGGACTTTTGAGATAGATCCTCGATGATGGGTCTTTTGGAGATAGGTGCTCTATGATGGGTCTTTCGGAGATAGGTGCTCGATGATGGGTCTTTTGGAGACAAATCCTGAACAAGGACCAGCTGACACGATCTTTGTCGATCGAACCTCGATGATGAGGTCCTTTTGCAGATAGATCCCGAACAAGGACCAGCTAATACGATCTTGGTCGATCGATCCTTTTCGACGTCCAACTTTCCGACCGCGAGACGACCGAAGTGGTTTTCGACCGACTGACTTCCTGAGCAACGTGCTGCTGGACTAAAATCTCCCTCCTCCGGTTTTTGTCCGTTTCAATCGGCAGTGATAACCTTGTCGCCGCAGTGACCTCTTCGGTCAATACCTGCGATATCGACGATGGTGCGTCTCATCGACGTGGATCCTCGGATGCTGCTCGTACGAGCCTCGGTTATCGACATTGGTCGAGGGGGATAAGCGATTATCGCAGTCTCTCGAAGATGCTGATATTTCTCGAGGTTTACTTCCCCCTGGCGAGGAAGTTGCTCGATAACGGATCCTCGTCGATTTCTGAACGTCTCTCTTTTGAAGAAAACTTCGTGATTGATAGTCGACGCGTCATCCGACATACATACGTTGAGTTATCAGTAAAGTCGTCATATCGCAGGTGTTTTCATCTTATTTTCAATATCTTACGATAGTTGGTTTCTAATATTTAGTATGATACTATAATGGTGAGTTATTATATATCGCAAATTCCTCGTCACATTTCTATTGTTTTAGTATACTCTAACGAAATTTAATACGCAATTTATAGCCTGGAATGACCCTTTTCCAATTACTCCGAAATTTCACCGGCCCGAGCACATGCTTCCAAGGGAGAGGAAAGAGACACATTAAAATCATTATTAAGCATTAAATTTACATTTAAAACGCATTATACGAATATTTCTAAGCAGTTGCGGACTCTGCACAATTTTCTTCCCACGTAACTCTACCGGGTTTCTTTACAGAGTGTGCATGGCTACGGTTATCATTAATTTTCATTAATCTTTATCGCTCCATTGACCTAGAAAACTTGACAGACTTGACACATTCTATAGACCTCAATACCAGTTTTACAAATTCTCGCTGACAAATTGGAAGCGGCTGAACGTTTACTTAAATTTTGTCGAATCGACCAGAACTATTCGAAAAACGCTGAATCGGAACAGGGTCATTATGAAATACCAGGAATTTCAGTTGAGAAAGAACCCTTCGTATCGGACGTCATCGAATACTCCTTAATGTGCTTCGTAAAACTTCCATAATTAGTGAAATTATTTCGATAGACGACTAGAAATTTCGACGCATCTACGAATTCCGACATTTCCACGAGAAGAATATAGAAACTCTAAAACGACATGTTTACATATATAACCTGCATACGGATTTGCAAATATATCAAGACGTTGCAAAGTACGAGCTGCACGTCAAATACATCTGGCGACATTTCTTCATAATTTAAAGGATAGGAGTTTAAAATTTATTCGAAAGATACGACCAACGCCACTCAATTACGAGATACGCTCGTAGACACAACGAACCGCAGCTCAATAGCTGTCAGATTGACGAAACGCAAATCTGAACATTTCTTTGTTTAGTTTCCACCCCAAAAGGATGTAATAAAATAATTAAATGTACGCTGATCCTTTGTACTAAATGTGTACTTTATGAATGTCTGTTATTCTCTTTTTTTTTTCCCCTTGTACGCGTTTGATGGACACCTTGCATGTCGAAATATTTTCTTCTCGGTAAGCAAGCGCAACTTCATTTTTCCATCTACGTTTAACGTCATGGGATGTTGTGGGTTCTGCTGAATGCACCACAACGAAGGGTCACGTAACATTTAGCCTTGAACCCATTGACGAAATCATGTCTACGAACAAAATCTTTACCAGCCAGCTTCTTGCGTTCGCCGAGGCCGATAAGGATGGAACTTATTACGTATTAGCGAACGCGATGTTGTCGAACACGAGATATCACGAGGACAGCTAATTTGACAAGGATTAATTAGTTTGGGCCAACGTTCGCGTATGCAAATCATTCCAGCATTTCCTCCTCGGGACTCCCTAATTATCCGCAATCCGAAGGACTTGTCGATAGGCTGACCGAGATTTCAAATAGCTCGACAAAACAACGATCGTTTTTCCGGTAATCCTTCAAAAACGTTCCTCGGGGTTTTTGAAGATCGCTCGATATGTCTCGTCTGGGAATCGAGACTGTTTTTCTTTTTTTCATCTCGTCGAGACGATAAAGATGTGTCGTCTCGTTCGAAGTCGTTTGTAAAATTCCAGCTTTCGATCGTGCCTATGTTCAGTAACGCCGCTGACATTCTTCTGCAGAAATCGGAGGGAAAAAACATTTCCGAGTGTCTTCCCTCTTGCGATTGAATCTTCGTCATGGGGAAAATTTCTCTGGTGCAATTTCTAGAAATTATTACAGAATTACCTTAGTAAACAACTACATTTCAGTTGTTAACGGTAAGAAGAATATTCAAATTATGTTTCTGAATTTTATGACAGAGTTAAGATCTTATTAATCATGGAATCAACCCCCAGCATTTTATGACGCGGAATGACGGCATCGCGTCAGTCATTGGTTCGCCAAAAAACAGAGTACGATGGCGAAAATGAAGAAACTATCAATAAATGTTGAATGCGCTGATTACAGGCATAATTAATATTCCACTTTTGTTCGAAAGTTTACAGGAAATCTACTTAAGAGGGTGATAATAATAGAATACATTTTTCTCGGCTCAACCAGCATGCCTCACAAAATGGCGGCGTCGTGTCGGTCATCACTCCATCGATTCAGACGAAAAATACGGCGCTAAAATAAGAGGTATCCACAAATTAAGTATACACGATTACAGAAAAACTGAATATTCAAGTTTTGGTCGCAAAATTAACAGGAAGTAGACTTAAAAGGGGGTTAATAATAGAATTCATTTTTCTCGGCTCAACCAGCAAGCGTTAGAAAATGGCGTCGTCGTCAATCCATTCAAACTAACAAGAAGGGATTTTAAATAAAACGTAGCGACCAATTGAAGGGCCGCATGATTTCAAACGAAATTAATATTCAAGTTTTGCTCGAGAGTTTACAAAAGATCTACTTAAGACGGTGTTAATAATAGAATTAATTAGACAGCGTCGCATAATGGCGGCGTCGTGTCAGTCGTTGATCTGCTCAGACGCGAAGAACTGTTCAGGGTGGATGTTAATTGGAACATGAACTCGTACCGTATTCGCATTACGGCGCTATCGAGGGTTAATCGAGCGTCGCGAAGAATAATTGATGTAACGCGCGTCCTTTTTTCCCTTTCGAAATCCAGACGATAAGGACTATTTTTGCTCCCCGGCGAATTGGATATCCCGGCCCATGCGCTATCGCGGGGAAATATGGGGGATCCGGCTCGTGCGACTCCCACTATCACTGCCAGACGGGAAAAATTCTGACTTCCGATAACTAGCCGCTGAATTGACAACGTTAACGTTAGAGGCTGAGACGAGCGATAGCCTCTCGTCTGTCTCTCTCCTCTTCGGCCGCATCCTCGATCCTGTCAACATTTTCGTTTCACGTGCCTCCGACATACGTAACATTTACGTACATATATTTATATTCTTATGTAATACATCAATACATGCCCAAGTAACCTCTCGTATTCCTATTTTAAGCAAATCACAATCGTAGTTCAACAATTCCCGGCCATATTGGATAGGAGAGACCAACCAAGGTTGGGTAAGTATAATACGTCAAGTTACATACGTGGTTTTCTACACGTATATTACAACGTATAATACGTCCCTAGTTTTCTACAAAGGGTCCAAACAAGGTACAAACAAAGGTACAAACAAGGAAAGCTACCGTATTATCAAGAATTTATGAAGAGGCTCATAATCAATATCTATTATAAGTTTCGCTAATGTACTTCATGTACTTTTCATTTAAATGTAATTATCAGGAATTATGTGGAGTTCTTATACAATGATCATAAATCGTACGGTCGAACGTCAAGATCTTCGATGACGGATTGGTGATGTTAAATTACTAGATAAAATATATATATATATATATATATTAGTGGCGCCCAATGATAAGCGACCTCTTCGCCTCGGAAGGCGTCGCTCGAGACGAGGTTATTTTTTCCCAAACTTCTTCGGAGTCTCGTGTCGCGGATTAGATTATCTCGCGAAGGAAAGGCATTGGCAATTATGTCTTTCTTTTATATCCGAGCGGCGTTTATATGCAAGTGGAACATTAACGTACCCGGAGAGATAATGGTAATTGGTCTTTCATCATCGCAGATATCATGATCGCTCCTCTTTTCGACAGGGTCTTGAATCGAAAGAGTATATACATCATAAAAATAATTTTGCAACCCTCCGAGAGAGAAGCTTCAGCCTGATTCCGAAAACAAAAAGCAGGAATTAACTAACGACAAGAAAGGATTCATTGTCTGTAGCTTATTTATTAAATCCTGCTTATAATGTCTCTAAAAAGAAGTCTCGTATTAATCGATATTTAAAGGTGTATTCTTGTCGATGGCTATGTACATGGTTAAATTCAAGGATTTCCTTGGACTCGGAGAGATTTGTGAGATGATAAAAGAATATTATAAGGAAGGGCTATTTAATGAGAAAATGGTGAGATGAACGCTTGCGATGAAATCGACTTTGATGTCCTGCTTACTGGGTGCAGATAATTTTGAAATGTTCTGGGAAAATTCGAAGATGTATAATATCAGTATGTCGAAGGAACGTTCTAGATATCCTTTAATTATCAATTTGTTACGTTGGATGCCAGTTATCTTATCAGCCCCATGGTACACGGTTGTATCGCAATTATAAGAGAAACCTGAAAAGTGCATTTTTCAAGCATTGAGCAATTACGCAAATCTGTTCGTAGATATCTGAAGTCTTGACACCGTCACAAGTTCGCATTTCCTGCGTGAACCCGTAAGTGATTGCGTACAAAAAAAAATGCCAATTTTGCATTTCTACGCAGAAAGGGTATCGGATGAGAAACTGACATCCGAGTACCAGGCAAGTACTGAAACCTGGACATAAAAGGGTGAAAAGTGCATCAGGCAGACATAACACCACTTACTGTTATGAAGATTGGCTCGTCAAATCACGGTGACATTTAATATCAGCCACGATAAATAAAACTTACTTCTAATAATGCGCGAATAAATAAATATATGTACCGGTTATACCACAAAACAAATAAACGAAAAATTAAACTCATTTTACAGTGACATATTTCAAACGATATCCATGAAAAACTCACCAAGTCCACTGACCTTTTTTACAATTTATTCAATCAGTGCTATACAAAGTATGAACGCGTGAGGATAATTATTCGCTAAAAAACATTACCTAGTTTACATCACCGCTACATTAGGCGTCTCGTTCACATGATAGAGCAACTTTGCTGGGGATCAGCTCCCAGTGGTAACGATGGAAGAATCGGATTTCCTTGGGGATCGAACTGAAGGAGAGGTGCTTGATCACCAAAGAAATCCTCCGGGGGTTGACCGCAATTGTGCATTTCTTGCATAAGTGTAAATTTCGTTTCGAACTGTTGTTTTTTCACCGCCTCGGAATCGTCCTCTTTCTCCTTCTCCAATTCTGCACAAATCTAATCATGCGATATAAAAGTATATTTTATCGTGTCCAACATATGTTCCATTAATGCGGTTTCTCAATTATCTTCCATTTCGGTAATAACATATTAACTGTTTAGACATTATTTTCATTAATAAATGTAATACCATCGTACCTTTAACAATAAGTCCAATTGTTTTTTGTATCTCTCCAAATCGGCAGGGGGTAACGTATCCTTTTTCTCCTCCAACCAACTTGGATATCTCTGCACGAGCTCTGATAAAGGTCGATGCAGAACATCTTTCGACAATAACGACTGCATTATTCCTTGCATAAACGGTAACACATCACCTGCACCATCATCTAACGAGATTTGTCCGAACATTGCACTTAGATCGGCCTCGCTTAGGTTGGGCCCTTTAGGTTGAGTCTAAAATGATGGAAAATAAAGTATACTTGGTAAAATGATAATAAATTTAAAATTAAAATATGAACATTCAATTGTATTGCAACTTATGCACAGTATAAAATTAAGGATCTTAGATAACTAGATAACATATCCTTTCAAGTGAATGGCCTCTCAAAAAAAAGAAATGAACACATTGAAACAATGAGAAAAATGTTGCCAGTAACAATATAAAAAAAAAATTATTCAGTTTCCGTTTCATAATCTGCATCGTCTGTTAAACAACTTCAACTATCGTTTGAAAAATGTTATCTTGGTAAATTAGAGCTTGTTTCTCCTTCAAGTACATCAGATGTATTAGTATTAAATAATTGCACCTGTGTATTTTCAGATACTGCTGCCAATTCTTTCAAAGCTTCAGCAATAGTAGATTCGGCATGTGAGCTTCCAATTTCATTTATATTTGATAAAGCACCAGTCACGGTTTTCACAGCTTTTTGAAATGGACATCCTTCCTCGGTGTTTACCCCTAATTTAAAAAACAAATAGCATAACATTATTTCAGTAATTCTAAGATCTTACCTGTAAACATGGGCTCGAAATATTTCATAACACGATCTTTCATTTCCTGTGTACACTCGTCTGTACAAACATCGTCGAATGATGGTATTCCTTCAAAAAATTCTGCCGCTGAAGCAAGGGATGTAGCTTGCTCATCCTTCATTTTTGCTTCTACCTTAGGTACTTTGTCAAAGTCTTGAAGAGCACCTAAAAAAAACTTTTAATTGCATTACTTCAATTTAATGTTTGCAGATACTAACTGAATTTCAAATGTCATATGTCAAGGCTGCGATAAATACAATATTTAACAGCAGTTTAGTCAACGTAAGGAAAGAATATTTTAAAACTCTTATGTAATCGCCGTTTTCAATACTTATAAAATATAATTTCTACTTATTATAAGGCAATTAATTTATATTCTGCAGTGATAATATACTGGTCTTCCTGAAAGTCATTGATAATTCTAAGATTACATCCTACATTCGAATAGCACAATATACGTTATTTGGGGTTATGTTTTCATTGACTAATTTCCAGTTTTATGTTAAAACCATTGCATGACGTTACTTCAATAGAAGTTCAACATACTGTCTAATAGATCATTCAATTCTGGATCTTCCAATTGTTCGGGTTTCTTTTCTTTATCAGTCATTTTCGGCTTTTCTGATTCAGCACTTTATAACAATCATGAAAACTATTACAAGCAGAAATGAGTTTGGAACCTAGAGTTTATACGAATGGAGAGGATGTAGGTTAGGGTAGGGGCCTCAGGAGAAAATTAGACAGAGAGGTCTCTTCTCACTTTATTACTGTCTCCACCGTCGGTATTTATCATGGAAGTATGAATATCAGATGGCACCGCCATCGCGAGTGCGCGAGCCCCCACCATAAATGAGTTTCGACGCCACTGAGGGGTAACAGGTAACAAGTACATACGTTAGCCGCTCACGTCCACCACCAAGGGGCAGCATGGGACAAATACTTACCGAAGTTTGTGCGACAAGGATGCAGAAACACCAAATCTATCTCTCTGGAAAAGCGAGCCGTGTATTCTTAACACTTAGCCGACCGAACGGAAAGATCTCCCTACTTTAAAGTGCAAACTCTCAAGTACTTTTAAGTAACCGGTTTGAATCAGAGATGGCGCTTTAACCTTCGTCCCATTGTTGAACGATGCCTCGGGTACCAGAAGCATCCACAGGAATAACGGCGCTCGTATCGCAAAAATTTGATTGCTGTGTCTCCTTGGGTCTAGCTACTCTCGCCTTTTCTTTGCTATATATTTCAATGGTTCCATAGGACGCACCGCGCGTTTGTGAAGCAGCCATTATACTCACATAGAAGTATCCCCCTCCAGATTCACGGCAAGTTGTAGCAAGTTGCAAAAATGAGTGGCCGTAATCAATTCGATTTAACCCCTGAAGAACGAAGTATTTTGGAGAGAAGGGCTCAAATACGGCAACTTAACCGGGAACAATATTTAAAACTGGTTCACAATCCACACAAAACAAGCGGTGGATACATGGCAAGTACTTTCTCTGTAATCTCGTTTATAGAAACTGTGGTTACTAATTACTCTATGTACAAAAGAGAAACATAATTTATTACATGCTAGAATATTAATTGCATCATAAAATAGTTGTGTAGTAAGAAAGTAAAATGTATCTTAATGCTTACAAAATTCCATATTAAGATATCTATAGTTTAACTTACCACATGATGTCCTATTATGTAATGTCAACTGCTTACAAAAAGTATCAGCAATCGTTGCTTCCTAATCTGTTGAAAATTATTGAAAACAAATAGGAAAGAAATTGCAATTTTCTGTATCTCTCATGATTACATCTATGGTTCTGTAAAAGATTCTTAATATAGTTAGCATTGTTTCTAAATCATGGTGTATGAATGTCAGACAGACTGCGAAGATCAATGTTGACAGAAATTTGATTAGTGATTGCTTATGCTCCATAGTAGTGAAATTAAATAATTGTTATATGGCATTTTCTGCATAACTGATAGTCTAATGTTCTGAAAACATAACCAATTGAAAAATGTTTTCCTTATATAGCTTGATGCTGGTATAGAACGTTTTATGGCACTGAATGCTAAAGCAGTTGAGTACTTTAAACCATCAATTAAAAGTGGTCTCATATCGTTCGCTGTGACTGTAGTGCCTGTGTTTGGATATGCATATCTCATCAAAAGCGAGCGAGTAAGTCTTTACTTGAGTTTTTCTAATACATATAAGTGGATATTAACGTTAATGTTCTTTTCAACAGAATCATAAAGAACATCTAATTCGGACTGGTCAACTTAGTTACAGGGATAGGACTGGCAAGCTTGTATAGATCAACAACATTTGATCACTTGTAGAAACAGTACTGATATTGAATAAAGAGAAAGAAATCTGTTACTACTTTTGAAATTTTGGAAAAATTTAGAACAAAGTTGCATATAGTTTGCACAATTCATTTCTATGAATTATTTTGATTTCTTCAATGTCTGTTTGTGAACTCAATTTCAAACCATTTTTCTAATTCGTTTTGATATATTCATAAGAACATTGAAACATAACAGTCGAAAATGAACTCACGTAGATTACATTTTTCTGCATCTTAATAATCTTATATTTAAATCCATTCGAAATACTTGCAGATAGTGTAGAACAAGTTATAAAGTTTAATTATACAAAGTAAATATATAATTTTCTAAAATACTTTTATTCATCGATCTTCAAGCTGTTTATCTCGAGCTACGACTGCATCATCAAATTTGACCATATATGTTGTCCCTTTATGCCAGTGTGCCGTCACTTTTGCAGGCTGCAAGAATCACAACCGATTACATGTCATCGTACATAATATTTCAATTTGCCACATCCAACTTAATATGTAGCAGTGATTATCTCATATTTTGAAACAAATTATTTTATAACCAATTAAACTAAGGAAATAAAGATTTTTAATTTTAAAATGTATTTAGTTTTAACTGAAAATTACCAACAAAATATACAATATAAAATATTAAATATACTTACAAAACCACAATCACAAAGGACAGCTTCTACAATTCCAGCAACAAACGATGCACAGTTCAAACTCCCTTTATCTTTTGGAACAGAAACAAATTTATTAACTAATGCTTCTTTCTCAATAATATAATAAGTACGTTCATCATCATTTGCATGCTCCAGCTTATCGGCTTCGCGTCCAAACAGTGATTTCCATAAAGTACTTTTGACAAACAATAATGCATTTAGCAATTTAATTTCGCGTTTCCCGCCTTTCTCTCGTATCACGAGAAGATCAGTGATCCTATGCCCAACTTCAGCACCCATTTCAGCAAGCCTGTCAAGGAAAATGATTACAAGATTGTTTCTTCCTGTATAAATAATGTAATAAGCACTTACAAAAATACTTACTTGGTTTGTAATTCTGGAACAGTATAAACTCGATTTTGACAGTACTGAACGAGCTCCGAAAATAAAAGTGCGTAACAGCTCAAACTAACCTCTGCTTTCCCTTTGCTTAATGACTTATCGAGGATACTCGTCCGAGGACGAACCGCGGATATTATGATAGCTGACATGTCGTGAAGATTGGATTTAAATTAAACCTGATACCAGTTAGTATGAATATAATCACGTTTCTTCAAGTTTACCTGTCACTTTGACAAGTATACGAACATGAAGTAGCGAACAGTAGCGAACGAAGCTCCCACTTTTATGTAAAAGCGACCCTAATTTCCTTATGAGGTTAGCCAAAAGTAACACTAGCGACTCTTACGGAAAAATCCAATACTTTTAAATTTATACAGTTAGTCCATTCAGAGATGAGTTGGGAGATTGCTGGAGATTGCTTACGGGCAGAGCCAACGCATCTCTAGGGCAGAGTCATGTGATCGATGCTGTGCTGCCCTCTGGTAACTATAAAATCGGTGTAAGGTAGCAGGTATAAATGTACTTAATGAAGACTGCTGTTAAATTAAAACCCGGTTCACAATTTTAGTTAACCGAAGTGTCACTGGTTTACACGTGGTTCAATCTGCTATAAACTAGTTAAACTTCGGTTAACTCGAGTCGTGGAACTAGGCCTAAGAGCCTGTGCTACGAAGCTAAATCTCGGTGGACACAAAAAGAAACTATAGAGAATCAGGATCTACTTCGAGTGGATGGAGTGGGTGGTTCAAAAATCCATATAAATGGATTTCATTAAGAGCCGAAATGTTACTTATTTGTCCTTATTTTTTATTTTAAGTTATTTAATTACATTACCCATGTTTCTAATATCAATTGTTTTGATCTTCATTGGTTATTAACTCAAAACCTTTTCCATAAACACAGATTAGCGCCTGGCCATGCCTATAATTTAAGTTTCATTTAATTATGTGGCAAATATTAGTTAAGAATTCATTTAGTTATCAGACTTAAAAAATACACTTGTAATTAATTTGTGATTTATAACACCCTATTTATAAAATTAACATATTTGTTTTGCTTCCGGAATGGAGCTACATGATATTCTGCTTAACAACCAACGTTTCACAAATATTCCAGATTGCATTGTCAGGGATTGCAGGTTCATACTGATGTCAATGTAGATACATCTGTTCTTGATATAAGAGAACTTCCCAAGAACAAAGGTACATTGACATCAGCGTTTCCAAGCTCTGATGATGCGAATTGGAATGTTTGCAAAACATCGGCTGTCAAGTAGCACTTCATGTGATTCCATCTCAAAAGCCAAAAAGTATGTAAGGAACATAGACCGTGGAAGCCTACAATCCTGATAAAATTAAGTTTAAACTTAAAACGTTAATAAACTATTTACATGCTGCTTAGATAATGAAAGTCAAAAGGTATACTCACATTGCGTGGCAAAGTGACATTCCCTGTACATCTGACACTGAAGTAATAATTGTTTTTACACAGGATACATATAAACATTCATTGTCATACGTGTAATTGTACATTGCTATTAACCGACCCAACCCAACACTGAAAAATGTGTTGCTTCCATAAAATTGTACACCTGAAACAAGTTATCCAATAAATACCTACAAACAAGCAATTGCGTGTTATTGATAATATCGTGTTTGATAAGACCCACAAATTTTCAAAATATAATATGATTCATAGTGTTACTAACATTGAGATGTAATAATGCAACAGCATTCTCACTATCATCACTCTGACTTTATAAAACATGTATATTACCTGTAATTTGGGTTGAATGAATTGAATTAGAATTCCACTTTGCTATGGTTTGAATGGAAGGCATTTCATTATCCGATATATTTAAAGTAAAATAACTCAGATTAAGTAAATTGTCATCTCCACCAGTGGCTAAAATGTATTGATTCTGTCGTGTTGTATGCAGGTCAAAACTATTAATACCAGATTGATGCAAATGCAAGTTAGCAAATGGACAAATTTGCTCATCGGTCACTTGACTTTTACATTCGGAAATGCTTATCGCCATTGCTGTAAAATCCCACAAGTTTACCACTCCATCAGTTGCCATTGATAACATAATTAACTTCTCATTGTGCATGAAAGAATGTGTTTTCAAAATGCAGCGCTCATGATATGGCACGGATGTTATTAAATTCAGACAGTTCTTTACTATATGATATGAAAAAATCCTGAAATAAATTAATAATTTTAATCAATTGTTAAATAAATGCCTCTAAACGAATGTTTTATATGAAAACTATAAAGTTACTTATTACCTAAGATATCCATCGGAACAGCCAATAAATAACATTACATTGTCTCGATTTTGAGCATGTTGATGAATGTTTATATGCATAAAACGAGTTTCAGGATCTATGTTATAAGATTTCTTGGGATCTTTCCATGTTCTTCTCCTATGTTTATCTTCTCCAAGTAGCATATAACTTTTGAGTTCGGTACAATGTATGTCGTCTTCAGGCACAAAATTGTCATTAATATATAAAATAATTTCCCACACTTTAAGTTGTGCTCTTCCACCTCCAGAAACAATTAAATATTTTTTATGTACGTAATTTTCTTCTAACTTAAGGACAGCTATAGATTTAACATTTGATATGTGTCCTTCTAGAATATTTAATGTTCTTAATTTAAATTCACTACTGAGTGATTTTAAATTGGAAATGGAGCTAAGTCGCAATGTACAGTCTTCTCCTCCAGAAATGAAAATATTTTCACCAAATGATGTAGACGATAGGAGTTTCATGATGTGTATTTCTTTCTCATGAAAACCATTCTGAAATAGAAAAGTTATTAATATCATAAATTAACGACTTAGAACTATACATAAATAAATCAACATACTATTATCGGTGGCAATGATAGCGAATGTAAGTTATTATTGACCAGATGAACTTGCTTATCTCGTATGTACATAAAATTAAGAAAATCAGTATTGAGGGTGCAATCCCATGAACGATGCCCTCCTCCGCAAGGAATTCTTACTAAACATCGACGAAAAACTGTGCTGTACACAATAAAATCAATCTGCGAAGATGTTATTGTTATACTTCTATGGTGAAATAAAAAGGACCAGTAACATCAATTAATATATTAGAATAGATATAGATCACTTTGTAGTTACCTCTTTGAAACCCAATACATACAAATCGTTATTAGTCTTAATGATACTGCATCCCCAGTCCATAGGTAGTTTTATTGCATGTAAACTGTGAAGTGGTTTATCATAATCATTATCTTGGATTTTGTAAAATCTTAGAGTACCGTCACGACCCGTTGATAATAATTTTGTACCGATTACAGTACATGATTGAACTCCAAGTCTTCCATGAATTTTGTTTAAAGATTGTAGAGGCTCTTTCAAGCTAGTGTTCTTGTCTATACCAGACCCCTCGACTTTTACACAATCGTCCAGTTTAAAAACGTGAATACTTCCCATTCTATCCCCGCATATTAATAAATTTAAATGCATAACAGCAGTAGTTACCCAGCGTTCACGACTAAAGGGTAAAAGGTGTTTAGAATTAATGCATAATGTATCTATAACAAAGGATGTATTATTAGATATTGAAGAAAAAACCTGACATCATACCCTATACCTCATTATTTATTAAAAAGTATCAATATGAATATACTAATGTGAAGAAGTACATACCGTTTTTTATAGTTACTGTTTTGAGGTAACCATTGGTTCCACATAATAATAATGTGCTACTACTTAGCCATTGTACAGAAAATATTTGGCATTCCATTATGTTTGTTTCTATACATTTCTGCAATCGTACTTCATTTGCAACATCTGTTACTGTCATGATAAACGTTTAAGTTAATATGGCTGTGGAACATAATAATTTATGTTTTTCATATAAATATAAGTTTTGACTATTTGAACTGAATACCTTCATATATCACAACTTGTCCATATCGGGATGCTAATGCAATCATCATACGACATGGTGACACTTGCATGATGCAATAATTAGAAAATATTTGCAAATCAATAGATTCTTGTAAAACATTACTGTTTTTACTATAATGTAATAATTTTCCATCTGTTGTTAGAATAACTGTAACGTCCTTATTTAGAAAAAACACATATTTTGGTAACCAATTTACAGACTCCTGTGGTATACAGCATGTATCACAACTTTGGCTCTGTTTAAAAGACCATGCGTGTACTGCTCCATTTGCACCTCCAGAAATAATTACATTTTCACGTTTTGAAATGACAATACTCCAAATAGCAGCTCCATTATGTGCGTGTATTTTTTTTAGTAATTTTCCATCAATCCTCCATATGCATAATAAAGAATCCTAAAAATATATTTCTTTAATTTCGAAGATATCTATGTACCTTATATAATCTTATATTGTTTAATACCTCTCCAATACTGAAGATATTATTATCACTTATCACAGTTCTCCATACTCTAGCTACATGTCCAAACATAGTAGTTATTAGATTAATCTTTGCCGTTTTCCAGTCAATATGATCTTTTACAGAATTGGATGTGTTTACAGCTTTCCATAATCTAATTGTTCTATCATCAGATGTGGAACATATAAGTCGCTTCTTCTCGTCATAAATCACAGAGAATATAACACCCTGTTATGTTCAAAAAAATTGATTGCAATTAGTGTCGTAAATAAATATCATATTCATGTAAATTCCTTATCAAGTAAATCACACATTCCTTGCATAAAATACATTTCATTCTTCTATAGAGTATTTGCTACATGTTATATTCTATATAATATAGCATTCATAATCACCAATTAGAAAATATGAAAAACACTGACTTTGTGCCCTATTAAGCGATGCAAAATGGATGCATCTTTCTTGCTCGACATTGAGTTGTCTAACTGCCACACTAATATCTCTTGAAATACAGTACCACTAAAAATAATTAAATTCTTTAAGTAATCATCAAAAATAGAGCCACCATATCTTTTCCTGACGTTAAGGTAATACTCTTGACTTCTTTTTAACTGTACTCAAAATGTATTTATCTCCAAATTCTACCAAGTTTCTTGATATACTTTTGTATTGATAACAAACATCCAATATTCTAGTCATTGTAAAATATCTTTAAAAAATAATAATTTATATCTTTTACACAAAAGGATACAGGATACACTTCTCTTTACAGGAAATATGTTTCTGTTCTCCTGTATTCACATTATGTATACATACATAATTGTGGGCAAATAAAATTACTATTTGCTTTTCATCTATTTGCTGTAACCATTTTACTGCTATTATCCAGTCATCAAAATGAAAAGTCTTCTGTGGTTGTTTAACCCTTAAAGTTAAATGTATAAAAAATAATATTAATCCAAGTTTGATTTTTCTTTCATGTAATGTTTTGAATTAACATACTTTACATGATCTTCCTTAATGTCGCAGTGTATTACACATATACTTCGTCCTCCGAATACAATAATTTCATCATCCGATCCCTTGATAATGCCATGTATTTTTTCAGGCGATAGAACATTTAACTTTGCTGTTATTTTATGAGTGGTTTTGTGAAATACATGGAGTATGCATCCAATACCTGTAAATTAATATAAACGGAATTCTCATACAATAAATATTTATTAAATTTACTATTATATTCATTTTAACACCTATTATATTAACTCATTAAAAGCGTTTCATATTTCGTTGACTAAATTTAAAAATCTCGAACTGCATATTTTTCATATTCAAGTATATATGTATTCTTAAAATTCAAATTTGACAATTGCTATACACTCTTTTTACCATCTTATGTCTTATAACTTCACTGCAATAAAACAAATTAACAAATCTCTATATATATAATATTCACGTACTTCTGACATATATAATCTTAATTTTTAACTAACCTATAAGAACATACTCGTCGACACATAACAAAGCAAGAACATCCGTACTTAAAATCTTCGACAACATTTTCTTTAATTAATATACAGTGATTATATATCAATCGCGAAATCAGTTAACGCATTTTTTTATATGCAACAATTTGAAACATGTCAACATGCCTCTCTCTACGAGGACGCCATATTGAGTTACATATAAAATCAGGTGGAACACTTGGCACGTCATTCACCCTGACCAATAGAAAAGCGACTCCTTTTATATTCTCCAAAAGAAATAAGCATTCCATTGGACATTCAAGCATTTCCTGTAGAATCTTAACAAATGAAAATCCAGCAAAACAGGCAGTGCTACCTGGACATCTATCGAACACGTGACGATAAAATAGTAGTGGTAAAAGATACCGTCTTGCATAAAGATAATCAGCTTTCAAGGACCATAAACTGTATTCCAGTTTATACAAAACTTAAAAAATTAAAATGGCTCTTATATCTCGTCGACATATATCAGTAAGTGTGCAAGAAAATTGCATTTATGCACACAAACATATTTAGTGACGTTTTTTAACCTTATCACGTAACAGATAACATCGACGACAAAATGTTTGTGATCATCATGGGTGGTCATAACCTTGCAAAGTGCACCTGACGTAGTACACGTGGAAGTGACATTTGACTTGTAGTATAACATGAGAATCCACATCAACGTATTATTCCAATCAAACGATGTGCAAAGTTGTTAGTTGACAAATTAAGGACTGATGGTTCTAAAATTTACTAACACCAGAACTATTGTTTTTAGGAACAGTACTAGGAAATAAATCATTATTAATACCATCAAAGCCGTTGGCAGGTTCATCGAAGTACATGGTTTTGTTTAATGATTTTACGAATAAGTAACCATTAAATTGTTCAAAATGTGGGTCTTTGGTTATGGCTCGCTCATATGGAAAGCTGACTTTCCATATGAGAAAAAGTTGGTTGGACATATCAAAGGATATGTGAGGAGATTTTATCAAAAAAGCACCGATCACAGAGGGGTACCCGGCAAGGTAGGTATTGCATAACGAGATACGTTAAGGTGGAATAAATGTCCCTTTACTTCTTGTCATTCTTGCCTTAATCTTTTTCTATATTACTTTTATATTATTTGATGTTAATAATCTTTCTTTTTTTAGTATATCGTAGAAAGTAGCATAGTTTCGACCATATTTCCTAGTATATTTATAGTCTTTAATCTTTTAGCCAGGTCGTGTTGCAACATTGCTTTCATCAGCAAATCCAACCGACGAGGTATGGGGACATGCCTATAAAATAGCATCCGAAAACATAGAAAATGTTGTTAATCATTTAGATTTTCGAGAGAAAGGTGGATATAAACGGAAGTCAGTCCTTTTTTATCCCTGCAATACTCCACAGCCTAGCAATGCAAATAATCTAAGTGACGTCCCTGCAAATAGTCTTTCAAACACAGATTCCGTAACTCCAATGATGCCTACACCGTCGGAAGAAATTCCATTCCATCTTACCATTTATATAGGTGGGGAAGACAATCCTCACTTTGCAGGAGAGGAAGATGTAGAAACAATAGCTAGACATGTTATTGAAGCAAGGGGAATTAGTGGATCCAATATTGAATATGTCTGTAAACTTGCTGCTGCTATGCGGACTATAGCTCCAGGTGTTAACGATGAACACTTATTTGCACTTGAAGCAGCTGTTCGTAAGTTAGAAAGTGAAAAAAATAAAATGGGAAACGAAGATTTAACATTAAATCAACATATATACAATCACGAAAGTGGTTGAATTAAAAGAAGATTAACTAATGAAATTCTATTATAATGCGTTTTTAATTTAATTTTAAAATCTAAGTGGACAATTTAATATGAATGAAAGTGTTATAGCATTGACAATGTATAAAATGTTATATTATTAAAGATTCTTTCCAACGTAACACTTTGCAGTCCACTGATGGTAGAGTTGTCATGCGAATTTTGACATTCCAATCCGTTAATGACACAGAGCCATCACAGACGAAAAACCTTAATTTTATGATGAATATAAATCAAAACCTAATATGTATAGGAGCTTTTACACTGAAACTCATTTTCAACTAAAAAAAAGTTTGGCTAAACATGCATCATAGGATCAGTTTGCTTGAACCAGACAACGCTATAGAGTACTTCATATTGTGGACTGCGAAGTGTTAAAGGATTAAGAATATAATTGATTTACAAAAGAACAGTGCTTAACTTTAACAATGACATAATTCGGATGTTTTACCGACACTAACTAAATTTTATAAAGTTTAAATTATTGATCTTAATATCAGTGTTTATTTGGGTTCACAGCTTATATACATTAATGTCTTTTAGCGAATAAATAAAGATTTGTTTTTAAGAAAATATATCTACGTATAGTTTTTCCCACAAATATACATTTGAATGGCATGCTAGAGATTCCATAAAAAATGACTGATAAATATGAAAAAATTATTTAAGGCTCAGCAATCTTTTTTCAGAAATTTAGTAATAAATATTTAATAACACTGCTGTAGTAATTCCAAGTGACCTATACTATTGTAAAAATATTTTATTAAACAATTTAAATACGTTTTATTTCTACAGAAACTACAATGCAACTTTGTGAAATATCTGTTATAAGGATAAGATGTCTTTCATATCTCATTGCTAACATAAAAAAGTAAAAAGACTACAGTATAAAAATAATTTTTTAGCCAAAACATTATAACAGCAACTACCATTTTCATTATTTAAAATTGCAGAGAGAAAGTACCGACAAAAAAGACTCCAAAAATACGGTACATCGAGTCGAGTTTTGTCATTTCCATTCATTTCCCTTACAATATTTTTTTAAGACTGTAAACGATCCAAAATTAAAACCAAACGCTCTCAACTTGACACATTTCCCCGATCATTTAATTTCTAACCACTTTTTACCGATTCTCGCAATCTTAACTTCCGCTTAGAAATTAAACAAAAGGTTTTAATTTTGAATGAGATTTATGGATCGCATTCGACGTGTATATATGCTGTCTGGCCAGCCGTTGCAGAATTTGAAAAATGAATTTCGCATTCATGTCTCAATCCTTACGTAATTTCAAATACATAACGCTTATTTCCACCTCACGTTAACATTTTTTGTTCGAAATTTCCTGATAATCGGGGGAAATCAACAGAAATTCTAAATTTTCGCCAGCTAAACGGACTACTTTTCATGGTGCATGCAAGCTGCGCAGCAGCATGCGCAGAGGACCCGCGTCAGTATTGCTGGCGCCTGATTGGTCGAAAGCGACGCGACCGGCGCAGAGCCGTGCGCACAACGATCAGCTGGGTCGAGAGACGCCATTGCTTCTTGTGTGGGTAACTGTCAAAGCTCAGACCGACCAAAGTCCACCGAGTCCTTTCTTTCTTCTCGATCGTACGCTACAACAAAGGCCAGGATTGGGTAAATCATCGAAGGGAGTGCGTCGGGACGCATCCGGGTAAGACATCTCTATTCTACAGGGATTTATGCGAACCGCTGCTCCTAGACTTATCAGGGCTTCGAAACACAAGCACAAGATAGCACAAAATGCGTAGTTCAATTTTCATGCGACACTCCCACGGGGCTTCTCTTTGTCGAAATCAAAGAGCCTTTGTCAGTTCTGCTTTGCTTTTGTCTTTCATCTTGTACTCGCCTGTTTTCCGATATCTCATCGAGAGGACTGCATTATTGATATCGACGATGGTACCATATATCGGGTTGTTTATTTTCCAGGGCAATGAATGGGATAGCTCAGGATGACATAACTAACGTCGTTGCTCCTTTTCTATATTCTCGCAGCTTTTCATTTAGATTTCTTTCAAGTACCTCGATTATTTACTTGATCTTCACTTCCCCTTATATCCTCAGAAATCTGCTCTATTGCATTCTCATGTATTTCATTGCATCCGACTCTAATAAGTACTTTAAACATCTCAAATTTAAACAACTTCTAGATACTACACACCAATTATTAAGGATTAATCTCTGGGAGAATTCTAAAACGTGAAAATTAAAATAGACCGACAGAGGTACATCTTCCTTTTCACTGTGTTCTCTATTTAATCATCTTTGCCGTCTACAAATCCGCATTTGTGCCCTCCATTATCCAACGTCATTAATTAATGTTATGATAGGTTGATTAAATGAGTAATGGTTTGTTGATGGTAGATTTGTTTTGCTCCCGTCTCCTTGGAGACGGAGCGCGTCCGTTTGACTTCCTTAAATGGAAGTAAACGAACGTTATATTCCTACGGAATAATTAATAATCATTGACATAGCTATTGTCAGTTCGATCACAAGCGAGCCTCGTGAAAAGGCGACCTTTCTTCGGATACGAATGTCATAGGTCACTGTTGTTGATATTGCGTTTAAGCGAATGACATTTATCTGGAACCTTGTCAGCTCCAGGTCGATTCATTCATTATACAAAACTGGCCTTCGGTTTCCGAGGTAGTAACAAGTCGAGACGGGAACAATTGTCGCACAACTGCCCCCCACCATTGCCTTGAAGCGCCCCCCTCTTCCCCTCTTCCCGGATCCGCCGCGCCGGATACGTATTTCCGTACCCTATGGTCGTAGGACCTATGAACCCCGCACTATAATCCGCCCATAAAGAAAATAAAATTGAAACAGAGAAAAGAGATTGTTTTTTCGTTCTTTTTTTATATGAAACAATTGTGAAGCGCTACAAGGCGACAGCCTCTGTAAGAGCAAGAGAAAAGTACGATATTCCAGAACTCGTAGTCATTCCTGAAACTTAAGGAACTGAAAAAATTTGAAGTCGGTACTTCCTCTTTGACCTTTATCTCAAGTTATTGTTTACCGAGATATTAATCCTTTAGTTACGAAGCGCCACTATAGTGGCTTCCGCCTGATCGGAGGTATTTTTACGATCGTCACTATAATGGTCTCCTTCGTTTCCATATATTCAAGGCGATAAATGAATATTGTATTCATGTAAAATATCACTCCCCAGCCGAGCTATAGTTAACAGTAGTTAAGGTGCTATAAAAGGGATATTATATATATGGTGAGTTGGTTAATTATTTGCATAACAGTGGAAATGATTAACCAACCTCAAAACAATTCTCTAAAGAATAAAACAAATTTAGACAATTAAACCTTGTCCTGATCAGCGATTTCGAAATGGCAGCTAGTTTGTAGATGTGTAAATGAATAGCTAATTCAGGGATAAAGATCTAAACGATCTCTCGGAATACCAGATATTTATGTATTGAAGTTTTAGTTTCGAATATTATCATTGATATGATGGAAGAGTCGGAAATACTCCACCGAGACCTTGGTCGCTTTAAAATGGTTCATTTATTATACAAAACTGGAACAATTGTTGTCCCCCACCCTATCGCCTTAAGGCTCCCCACTCTTCCCGAACAGGTGACACAGCGCCGGGCGAGTATTTCCGCATCCTACACGGATACCTATATTTTAAATATTGTCGTTTGATTTTAACGCAATGTCTAAAATAGCCCCTCTAGCCCGAATAACCATGTTTTAATGTTTCAGCCAATTTCGTGTACTATTTTTCATGAATAGTAGGGTATTGATTTCTTTAATGAACTCACGGAATGGTAATTTACGAAACCGCTTAAATAAGCAAGAAAATGAATATCTAACTTTTGAATAGAGATTTAAGAAATGTTAAATTATATAGATCTCTAGAATGGAAATGAATTCGTTTTCTTTGTTCATTTTGCCATTAAATGTAATGCATTCTTTTTTGATGCCTCGAGGATGTTTACGGTGGGACATTATCGGTATACGTGACCATGTTCCGTAGAAGTGGTACTTGTAAAAACATCCGGGATCTCTTATAATCAGTGAAACGAAGGTTAGTTTTTTTCGACCTTATGGTATTTCCAACTCTTATGAAAGAAACATAAACACGCGCGGCATTGTGATGCATTAAATGTACGAGGTTGCAAGGCAATTTGTAATTTCCATCGAGGATTAAAGAAATGGAGTAGCTCGGGTAAATAAAGGATATAGTCGAGCCACATATAACACAGAAGATAGAGATTCCATTAAATGTTGTATTATTCCTTTTAATTACTAGCAAACGATAAGTAACAACTTTCTTACTATATTAATCGATCAACAGTCATTCCTCGTGATATTTTTTTAAGTGAAACTTCTTATGACACGGTAGTACGTGTAAGTTCATATGTTACAAAAGGGGCATGTTTCGGAAAGTGAACATCGGAAGTGATAATGACTATACTACACATACTTTTAATAAAGATGAGTTTACACGTTTTCTCGTTGAAAAGAAAGAATTTCTCTTCTATAGAAAGAAACTATGCACGCGTATTTTCTTCAGTATTTTTTTTTTTGAAAACCAATAAAACTTAAAAAAAAAACTAAGGACGTAGACAGCAGGATCATTCCTCGCCGCAGATGATCTGGAAATACGTGACCCGTTCGGCCGTCACGTCGACCACCTCGTGCTCGCCTCGTGCGTCTTCGGCCAACTTCGGGCGCCTTCGGGCCGTCTGTTCGCGGCGATTACCGAATCCCGAATCCAGATGCAGCAAACAACTCGAAGCGAACGCTTCGCGCGACTCTTCGCTCCCGCAGGAGCTCTCGGGCGATCGCGATACGAAAAACACCATTTACAAGTTTTCCCCAGTAAATTATCTCTCTCGCCAGTGACTAAGCCATCCAGCTAAGTGCAGAAATTCACTCGAGACCATGGACTAGATCCGCGATTCGCGGAAAGGGAAGTTCTCGCCAAAGAAGCCTGCACTCCGTAACGGTGAAACATAACCTCGCCAGTGTTCATCAGTACTTAGGAAGTATCCGTCCAAGATAGTTTTATCGACCTTTGGCACGGTATCGAGGAATCGTCCGAGCATTAGTCACTTTTACGCGTCACTGCCAAATATCTCCAGAGGAAGGTACCTCGGGGAAGATCGAGACTGCGAATACGCTTTTGGTAGTATAAAACAGTATATAAAAATCCGTCCGAAAGCGCCTTTTTGGAGCGCCGGAGAGAGGTTAGGTTGCTCCGTAAACAATACACGAGAATCGCAGCTCGCGGCTGTGCACTCGGCTGACTGACGTTTCGTTGCATCAGCCGTCGACCCTCCCCTCGGCCGACGACTTCTTTGTTCGCGCTCCGAGTACTCGGCGCGAACTCGAACGACGACCCGCTCTGCGATAACCTTCACTTCCCTGCTGATGTGAGTATTTTCATCCGCCGCGGACGTTTCTTCTATTAGCTATGTATTTTAAAATAGAATCCGCGCCTCTGGAAGGTCGCGAAGCGACGCGTCCATGAAACCGTTGACGCCGATTTGTTGCTCGACTGGTAACATCGTTTTAAACGATCTTGTTTATTCCACTTAAGGTGTTACGAAAGTGTCGTATACGTGATACATTACGTGATAGTTTCAAATTCAATATCACGTAATTATGGGAGTATTAATAAAGGTCTTGAAATTCACGAGATTTTAAATTTCGCCAAAGAATTTTTGCCCAGGCTCCTGTCCGGGATAAATGAAACATTGCTGTTTTGAAAAATGAAATCTCGCGAGTTTCGAGACCTTCGTCTAGGATCTCCATGATTACGGGTTAAAGTTTGAAATGATTCGGGGCGCCTAGCTTGGAGAAAAGTTTTATAAATATTTTGACGTTTTGATGTATCTAGAATGACACTTTCATGTCACCTTAAGGAGGGTTACAAAGTTGTGCGAGTGTTCATTCCGTTGAAAGAAGTTGAAGTGTACTTCTACATAATATAATATTTGGATCGTTTACGCATTCTTTAGTCGGGTATGAAAATTATGAGAATATGAGAACATTATTATATTTCTGTCCTGATCACGAGTGTACCAATTTGCATACGAAATATCTCGGCTAGAAAGTATTCTGGGTTTCCTTGTTTCGACAGTAGGTTGTGTTAGGAAATTCGGGCTAGTGTTTATTTAAAGTTCTGCATACGGTTTTGGGGCCGGAGAGAGAGAGAGAGAGAAAAAAAGAGAGAGAGAGAGGAGATCTTAACTCGTCGTTGGTCGCCTTCTGGAAAAAATCTAACATTTCTGAGCATTTCATAAGGATTCAGCGGTTTTATTTTAAGTATTTAAATGGTTGGTTGCACGTGTATACGACGTATACCACGTGTAAATAAACCAGATAATTGGCTTTGTGTTTATTTATAGTTTGAGGGCCAAGGAGCGATAAGCTCCTCTTTCCCCATCATTAAACACGTTCTGCATTATTTTTGAAGCATCTCATAAGTACTTGACTGTTTTAGGTGAAATATTTATACGACTAGTTTGTACGTGGATGCGATTCATACCGTACGTAAATAAACCTGATAATTTGCCTAGAAGGCAAGTATCAAGGATGCGGTCGCGAGAAAAAAGGTATAACGACAAATATAGGAGGAATCGTATTTAAAGAAATAAACGGTTTGCAAGTTAAATAGGCGTACACTTTCTATTCTCGTCGTAGAGCGCGCTAATTTACTCGGTAATCTTGCTGCACTTTATTGCTCGTTACCGACGTATTAGGGCCCCCTCGTTAGGAGAAACGTCAAGTCGAGCTGGATCTAGGGGAATTTCTCACGGGCATTTGCACTCCAGTTGGAGGAAATTAAGCTAAACGATTATTACTCCTATGCCTTGCTTTACCATGCGAGAGGAAAGAGAACCAGGATTAAGGTGAACGTGGAAGAGATTATCTTAGAAACCTTTTGTAGGGTAGAAAAAAACGAATGCAGGGTCCCTCGCCTTGATTCGAGGAAACTAGTGCAATGAGAGAACACTGCCCTTATTATATAGATTCGACGTAAGCCAATTTTTTTTCTTCTGGAGAAAAATCAAGCGAGTGAGAGACCACGTTGCTATCTCTTGCCTCTCTATCGTTCTAGTGACTTCTCGGTGATTCGCTCCAGCTCGTGCCGAGTCACGCGCGTGTCGTTCTCCGTTTCTTCTTCATTTTGTATCTGTTCTTTCCCCCGCTAGTTCTCTCCACTTTTCTAGTAATCAAGTTTTCTCATTCTATCCACTTTTTCCCCGATCTTTATCGACTCGTGCCGATTACCACGGTGCTTGCAATTTTGCACTTACATTAATGCGCTGTTTTTATTCCCCCGCTCGTTCTCTCTGCAATTTTGCACTTTCATTCGTGTGTTGTTTTTTCATTTCCTTTGTTCTTTCCCTCTCGTTCTCTCTACTTCTCCCAATTCTCCAGTTCTCTGGATTCTCCAGCGTCCGTTTCTCAGCTACTTTTACGTTTTCTTTTTTTTTTTAATAATTTCTTCCCTCGCATTCTCTCCACTTTCCTCGATGTTCGTTCCTCGCACCGATTCTAGTCATTTCTAGAAGTTAGTGCGTACGTGCCTCCGCGCACGCGCAGTGGTGATTCACGTCGGGACGAAGGGTGGGAGTAGAGGCCCCAATATTTCGGGCGTGTCGTAAATCATTTCCTAGGATTGCTTTAGATCGGCGAGAAGGACGTACCAAAAACTCGACTTGTACTTGAATCAAATCCCCATGTAAAAAATTACCGGTAGTTAGGGTATATATATAGGGTTCCTAAATGTTCACCTGACACTTCCTACTTTCATGCGCGCGCACGAGTCTTCGCGCGTAACGAGCTCTCCTCGTATTTGGTAATCGCAACCTACATACTCGAAGAGTCGTGTACACGGTAGAAAGCGTCCCCGGTGAAGTTACGAAGTGCGCATCTTAGCGCTTACCCCTTCGTCGAGTGGCTTTTCCCGTCGAGAAATTGTCGACATTGCGATATAACCGCGTGTAAGATTAAAAGAAAGAAAATGAGACGGGAAGGATATATCTCTCTCAAATGTCCCGGGGCGGCGCGACCTCGTCTGCTCGCCGATGTATCGCGAATTGCGAGATCAATTAAGTAGCAATCGAATTAATATTTGCGAAAATGATTATTCCACCGACCTTGGCCAAGGTCGGTGGAATAATCATCGGGGACTTTTGCCCGAGAGCTTGGCTTGTTTACAAAACGCATCTCGCCCGTTGCACTTACACCTCTCTTTCGCTCTAGATTTTGTCCTCATCTCCGCGATATATCTAAGCAAAACGCTGCTAAGTGGTGCAATTCCCTTCGCTCGGATGTTCTCCGACATTTAAGGGGATGTGAAAGTGGCATCCGAAAACTGAATCGTTGATAAAACTTTTCTACGAGAACTGGGTGTCTCAAATCGTATCATACTTTAAAACGTGAATGTGGAGACCCTAAGGTAGGTCCTGAAACTCGAAAAATTTCAATTTTTATAAACTGTTTTTAAAATGCCTATAAACAAATTAGAAAAGAATTGAAATTTCACGAGTTTCAGGGCCTTCCTTATAGTCTCAATATTCACGTTGTTAAGTTACAAACTATTCGGTAAACCGAATCGGGAGAAAGGCTTTATAAACAAAACCTCTTATATATATATTTATTTTTCTCCCTTCGTACGAAAATTAACGCAAGCCGCTTAATTGTTTAGTCGTAAAAAATATCCCACCTTTTGTGACAGGGGTTATTTGAGGGGAAAATTTCTTACGTTGCTAGCGCTTTTTCGTTTCATTGTTTGGTCGGAGGTTACGCCCCACCCGAGGCGAGAACAAAGACGTTATTGTACTCGAAAAGAAAAAGGAAGTTCACTTTCAAGGCGCGCATCGCGCAGCCACTTTTTTTCTTTCTTCGTTTTCCTTCTTACTGATTTTTTGTTTTATTTTCTTTTCTTTTCTTTTTTATTCCGAAAGGAGCGCAATTCCGCGCCCTGCATCGACATTGGCGAGAAGTGAACAAGACGGGCGTGGATGATTCTTTATCTGCGGAGCTCCTCTTTTAATTGCCGCGGTTTATAAGCCCGAACGGCGAGTCGTTTGTGTCTTCGACGAAGGGGGGGAAAAAAAAGAGTCATTTCCTAATCTCCAGGCGACGCCGGCGCTATTTTCGAATTGCTGGCAAACGGCGACTTTCGCTCGGTCGACGAGTCCCTCCTCTTGCGGAGGTGCGCAGTTGTCTCTCTATGCGAAAATAAATATATCCCTATCGGACGATTACGTGAGTGTAAACACGTCGTGTGGCAAACAAAACAGTCCACCTTTAGATATTCCCCGTTGATTAAATCGACGATCTAAATATGAAGGCAATAAGACCACGTCCGAAGATAATAAAACCCGTTGTGTACTTGTCCTTCGGTAATGGACAATCTTTTCGTGATTTTTCCCTCCGCAGGCTCCGAGTTTCTTTTGCGGATCGTAAGAGCGACATTTAATTCTTGTTCTTATGCGACATTCTTATTCAATTACACACCGTGTGTTCTGACGCACGGTGTAGGTACTTAATTTTTTTTTTTTTTGGAGGGGAATTGGAAGATCCCACTATACCATTGATAACCTCTTTTCAATTTCTTTTTCTTTTTTTACTTTCCTTTGAGAATCCGGCTTTTTGAAACTGATATTTATATCGAATATAACAACGAGCCGCGGCGACGGAATTTACAAAAAAAAAAAAAAGTGTGCGTTATCACTTGGCCTTAGGGAATTGATCAGAAATTCAACGTTTTGTATTGCAGATAAGTCGCGTTTGAACGACTTGAATGCATTTCCAAGGCTTCTGAATGCGCTTGATAATTAATACCTCCGTACTAACGAATAATAGCGAGAATACTAAACTTATGATAAGAATTTCATTTTCGATAAACACGGACTCGTGAGTAGTACTCGATAAAGAATCACTTAACGTTTTATTATTAAATTACAATGCATCAGTGGTGATGCAATGGTGATGCACTCGTGACTGAATGAAATATTTATTAAGCTGTCTTTTGGCAGCCTGTAGCGCGTTGACGTTTTCCTGTTGGAACGAGAACTCGTCTTGTTTACATAAATAGTACAGTGACCTCAGTGAACGTATTTGTCGTGGATTGAAACAGTTGTAATTACGGTGATAAGAAAGGCAACACTATTGCTTTTTATAACAAATTGTTAGCCAAAAACACGAATTCTATGAATTTATATGCTCAATGGCAGGCAGAAGAGTTGTCAAGAACGGATATCCAAGGATTATCTTGCTGCTGTTTTTTTTATTAGCCCAATGTCGCTTTTGTTAGTACAAAGATTGTAGTCTGACAAGAAATTTGTCGAATTTGTATGATCTCGGAGGACATTGTTTTGCCTTTATTATTTAATTGCTCTTCAAGGTGGAGAGTTCAATGTAATGTGTAATATTAGCATGAGCGAGAAGTGTTAATCGGATGCAAATTGCAAAGTCATGAAAGAAACCGTTCTTGAAGTTAATATCATTTTCACCTTTTTACTCGATGTAACGATTAATTTCATTTCCATTTTGTTACAGATACTAGGCTAGCCAGTTGGCCCATTCTTGTAGTGTGAGGGCTACACTGAGACTACGGATTTGTGGCATCGCTTGGTGACTGCAAGTTTCTGTCGCAGTCCACTACCGGCCACACGTTGCAGGAATGGACTCATCGGGCATGCCAGTACCGGATGCAATCCACCCTCTCTTCGAGCAGCTCCGAGAAGACTTGGTGCTGGAAGAGAAATATCAGCCTAACCTTCAATTACCCACCACCACACAAGTAAATATTAGTATATTTTACAAACAATGCATAATTTATGAAATAAACCACTGGACACTTATTCTTATCTTCATTCAGTCTTGTAATCGTTACTAAACATACTTTTATTAATGTAGAAAGTTTAATAGTGTAGCTACATTGAATGAACATAACCTCAATCAGCTAAGAACAGGTTAAGTTCATTAAAAATACTGCTGTCGATAAGAGTTTGATTAAACTGACTTGCTTAATCAATTAAATAAGCGTTGCTGGTGTTGCAATATATTGATTAATTAGTTTTTACTGTTTCGCTAGATTGCTGCAACAAATATTTAATCATGCATGTCATCTTTACAGAATGACGAAATAACGATTGGCGCACGAGATGGTTCCGCACACGTATTAAGATGCCTCAAAGTGTGGTACGATTTACCATCGGATGTCTTCTTTATTGCTATTAATTTGATGGATCGCTTTCTGACAAAAATGAAGGCCAGGCCAAAGCACATGGCTTGCATCAGTGTATCGTCATTCTACATAGCTGCCGTCCAAATGGCTCAATCTCTGGATGCCGATCATTTAGTATCCATTTCTCAGTGCAAATGTACAGGTGGTGATTTGAAAAGAATGTCCGATGTAATTCGCAACAAACTGGAATGGGCTCCTGGAACGCAACCTATCACATCTCTTACTTTCCTACGCCTCTTCAACGTCATGTTTCATGCTGCTGCCTCCCAGTTAGGTCTTGGTGATATTTATTCAAGCATTGTACCGGTAAGTTCAGTGCTATGTTTTATATCATGTCAATATCTGTCATTTAATTAAAAATAATTATATTTTATATTGATTGTTTGTGAAAGGATAATACATGATACTGCAACGTCACATTCACATTATATCAAACATACAACATTCCAGGAAGCGGAACTTCTCCTTCGCCTTGAAATGGTTGCCTGTAATGGAAACTGTGCGAGCTTGAGGCAATCCGAAGTGGCGCTTGTTTTGTTGTGCACATATTTGGATTCCGCTGTTAATCGTTTGGATTCAAATGCAGACAGCATTAATGTCGGAATGCCTGGACCGTCCACTTTGAGCACACCTTCGACACAAGCTTGTCAGATGTTAAGGCTTGTGGATTTTGCAGCCGAAATACAGAAGATGTGCAAGGTATAATATTGCAAATTTGTAATAGAACTATCTTAAGTCATATTGCACTAGGATTTACTTTACTATAATTTGATATCTTTTTATTACAGATTCCAGACGATAGCTTCTTCGCAACTCATGAATCTGTAGGAGCAATATTGAGCAAATATAATGCACAGGAACAAACACCACACAGACAAAGGCTGATATGGAAATTATCTTCTCGTACAGCTCGCCTTCTACGACCCACTGACAAGTTCACTTCCGTATTACCCGTCATTGCTGAACATGCTCCGGTCCCTTCGCCAAGTAGAATCAGGTATGTGTTCATTTACAAGTCCTACTTGACATATTTACCAATATTCTCATAGTTTTTGTACAGCTTTGTCGTACAGATAACTATTAGAAGTATTATAAAATTGTAACAATTAAAAAAAAAAAAATAACTCGTTCCATTTATTATTTTTCAGGAAAAGCCGCAAGTTCGCACGTCGTCATGGGAACAAGAGGCGCTAAAATGCATGATCTTCCATAAATCTGAGGTAACTATTACAAAAGATTTTGTGTAATGACAAATTGTTTAGTCAGTTGTTCATTAACTACATATGATGTACCTAATAACCATACTAAAAGTGTGACCGTTTTTACTTCCAGATACGGCAGCATAATTCGAAAGCAACGTGAAGCAGTAATTACTAAGAGAGAAGACTTAAAGCATCGTGACGGAAACGGAAAGTATGCCTCCCATAATTTTTTAATTCTTCGTTAGAGTATCATTCTCAAGGTTTTTGTACAGTAACTGGAGTGACAAAAAGAGGTGCAAACTTTACAGCCCCGTTTTGTGATTAGAATTCCACAATCAGTCTCCGTAAAAGTGTATGTTTAGTGGCTGTCACTATGCAGTAAATGTATATATGAAACTGTGACGGTTAAAAAAAAAAAAAAGATATTCAATTGAATGTGGAACCATTGTGTAGAAACATTGAAGAAATTAATGTGATACAAATTCCACAGTGGTTACTAAATAGTATGCCACTGTCGTGGAGTTAAAACGTATAGGTATATATATTCTATCTATATATATATAAATATATATATATATTTACTGAATCATTAAAAGAAAGAAAAAAAAATTACATAATGTCAAAAGAGAAATAAAAAAACAATTTAAAAGGAAAACATAGAAAAAATGAAGCAGACAGAATGTTAATAAGGGAAGAGAAGAGAGGAGTTTAGAATAGTGCGAGCAGGTAAACTTCTTTACGTGGCTTTAACGTGGCAAAATTATAAAATTGTGATCGACTATTAATGTTTTACATTTGCATGTAAAGAATTAGCAGTATGTATATACGTATACATGTATATATACATATATCTCTTTATGTCCCATTGAGTGTTGAAAGTTAGTCGGACATAAAGTACATATTGCTTCGTGGAAGGTACAGGTGAAAGAATAATCGATGTTACGTTGAAGCATGTAAAGATGTTTTACGATTAATCTAACGCGCAAGGTTGTTTCACTTTTTAAGCCCATTTCGTGATGGTTATCTAAAGAAGAATTATATATGGTAGATCTGTTTCACGATGTTAATTTAAAGATCAGTTGGCGCATCTTATAATTTCGCGGGACGCACTTAGATACAAAAGTGTATTCCCATTTTGCGCTGATTCTTGTGTCGGTTGACCAACTAAACTGATAGCGCGAAAAGTGATATATATCGCCGTGTGGCTAGGGCCTCGGAGGGTAACGATTAAGCGCATACACGCAAACGAGTGGGTATGACCCCCTCGGCGTTTTGACAAACTAATCCTCATTGTTGCGATCGGGCACGAGACTCGGACGATTAGAAGAAATTTCATATCATATTAAATTATTTACCCTGAAAGCCTAAGCGCGAGGCCGCGTGGGCGCGCTAACGTAATTTATTTCCCTTATTTATTTGAACGTGCCAAATAAGATCGAGATACTGAGGAGGAGATTTGCAAAGGTTGAGCGGCAATTAATCGGTGTGCGTTTCCAAACTGAGCCAGTTTGTGCTAGTCAGAAGCAATCTTCTAAATAATTAACTTTCCTTCCCACTTCTTAGCGAACTCCAGCGCGTTTTCCAGTTCTCTCTTTTCGCACCTCTACGGTCTCAGTAATCGGGATAATTGCGAATTGCAACGAGAGAGCAGGGTTACCCACAGGTTTTGTCTTTTCTTTTTTTTTTTTCCTCTCTCTTTGCACCGGTAACGGCTTGTGTTTGTCATCCGATAAACTTGTTTATACGTGGTCGTTTGTCCGATGAACTTGTTTATTGGGTCTTGGAGTTTCGTCAGTTTGTGGAAGTCGAGTGGAACGTTTCTTTCTTCTTTTTTTTTTTCTCGTCGAAAAACACTCCACTCGGCTGGCCGCAAACTGGGCGGATACGATGCGGTAAGAAGGACTCGGAAAATAATGTGTATTAAATGTGGATTTTTTTAATAAATTTACATATCTCAGGGTGATGCTGGCGCTGTGAACAGAAAGTATCTCTGAGAAATGTGGAGTGTTCGGGAATGAGAAAAAATTAGGGACGCACGCGTAGACGTTAATCGGACATAATTGGAGATGCATTTAAAGTGCATTTAGTGGTCGTTTTTCTACGGGTCATATCGAAGCTGAGCACTTTTCGTATCTTCCTTGAGCACTCCGTGACCGAATGTCGGAAATCGTGGATGTTCTCTCATGTACTTCTATCGCATCCCCACCAACAAGTACTCTCAGAAATGTTTTTGTATTCCCTCGATGGTTTCAAAGTATGTCCAAGATATCCCGGCGCTAATGATTTCGACTTAATCAAATTATCGGTTAAGTCGAGGCAGGCATTTGGATAATTCCACCAGAGGAATCGTTTCAGCGGACATGATAAGTAATGTAATAGCGCAGAGATGTGTCGGATGTTCTCGTAGGTACTATAATCCGGTCGGCTGAACTATTCTATCGCTACTCGGACAGATTGGGTCTAAATGCTGAAAAATAGTTTCGTAAGGGATTTACATTTAATGCGATTTTTATATTGTATCTTCAATCAAGGATTAGTATGTAACGCCTGTTGGTCATTAATTAGTAAGAGTCTCGGAAATGTTGATTGTGAGGAAATCTGTGAGGATACTACGTATAATGGATATCTCCCGGGTCCCGGTTGTCGATTAACATTTTCCCTACTTTTAGTAATTAATTAGGCCGAGTTAGGATATCCGCTGCTGATCGCTAGTTGAAAATCAACGACCAGTAATCACGTTAGGGCAAACTTCGGATAAGAATTATGGAGAATACCATTGCGTACCCAGGGCTGTACCGCCTACAGTATTTCTCCCTGCTGATCGACTAGCTGACTTCGTCGGTAGATTCACTTTGAGAGGAGCGATGAAATTTATTTCGAGGGCGCCCGATTTACCAGGTCAACGCTAATGCCCGGTTCCACCAACCTCGGTTAAGGGGATGATGTGTGAAAGTGGCGTAGAAGAGGTTTTGTTTATATAAAACTTTTCCTCCCACCTCGATTTACCGAGTAGTTTGAAACTTTACAACGTGAATAGGGAGACTACAAGGAAGGACCTGAAACTCGTGAAATTTCAATTCCATTCAAATTTGTTTATAGGTATTTTGAAGGTAGTTTATAAAAAATGAAATTTTGCGAGTTTCACTACTTACCTTAGGGCCTCCATATTCACAATTTAAAGCATGAAACGATTTGAGACACCCAGTTCGTTGAAAAGTATTGTGAACGATTGAGCTTTCGGATGCCACTTTCACATCCCCTTAAATCATCGATTAACTAACCGTAGGTCAATGTTAACGTGTCTGGGTTAATCATGCGGTAAAAATGTTAATGTTCCACCACATTTATTTGCAGCGAGATTAACTAATCGTATACGCCGTTCCGAAGTAAGTTGCAATTGTCGGTCAATCTAAGTATGTTGATTGTTCCGTTACTCCAATCTACTTGGAAGCAAGATAGATACATCCTTATCAAGACACCAAGGTCCCCCTACCTTCATGCAAGAACTTATTCGATAGATACTAGCCTGAAGAAGTGATGTTCCTCGGCTAATAATTGATATAAAATATTTCCAAGCGTACTTCAATCACGAAGAGATTGTTCAATTCAGTCAGAAGCGTCTTCATCCGTTTCGTCATGAGAAGGCGTTAATACACGCTCTCGATATAATCCATGGTTTTCTCACGTTTGCATAGGCTTTAGGTTGAAGCTTCGATTAATTGGCGCTTAACTAACTTAATCTAATGTGGCTGGTTGATCCAATCGGCGGTCGATGGAAATTACCCCGTAGTTAAAATGTGGTGGAACGGGCAACTCTTTGCTACCTAGGGTGGAATCGGGCATTTTATTATCGGATCCAATACAAGAGGAAGTTGACGCGTGTTAAGGACGCGTGCGTGGTACATTAGCCAGCCCAGATGTAAACGCGTAAACTTAAGGAGATACTGGCGAGAGTACAAAATAATTATTTCAATTCGTTAGAGGAATCCAAACGAATGTTATCTTACCTCTGATGCCCTTTACAAGGGCTTATAAGGATCTCAATCGCGGATGCTCGGTCTGATATATCGTGTCTTTCAACGATTTGATATGTATGTAACGCCGTGTAATAACGAGGCGCCTGCCTCCCTCGGTAGGCGCGATCCTTCAATGATAGGAAGAAAGAATGAAAGGAAGGGAACACACAAATAATTCTATCGTGCGCAAAGCGTCTTTTGTAAAAGCACATCGCTAAAAACTAATGTGTCATTCCATTTGTATAGTTTACGTGAGCTTTAACATGACTTCGATTAATTTATAGCTGTTTGTTACGGAAGAATGGCCGCAAATCAAATTTTTCTCGGGAATATACACACTACGCGTAGATTAATAGGCTTGAAAATGATGTTATCACCGTACCGATCGTTTACCCTTTGTTTATGTTGCGATAGAGGTTCACTTCTTGGCCGATGCATGTCGAGCTTTTTTGCGTCTTGCACCGAGGTACTTCTTGAAAAATTTCTCTCACAGGAGTGAAATATGCGCATCTTGAATAAAATTAAAAGAAGAAAAAAAAAAATTAGGAAATACGTAGGCTGATAGCATGCTTTGTTATACAGGGTTTAACGGTAATAAGTGGTGGCAAATTTAGGAGCGCATTTTACCCTGATCCTTTGGAGGGTCGTATATACCATGAGTCTTGATGTCTAATATCAGATGTACACATGTCTCGGTACCGTTGTCATGTCCTTTCCGTTAAGTGCTAAGATAATAATATTTCTTGTCTATTTCCTTTTCGCAAGTCCTTGCCACTAGTCTCGAATTGCATCGTCACTTAATACGAGGAAGTTTGTAACATTTTGCTGATTATTAGAATACCTCGAGTGGTCCTTATATCCATTAAACGTTGATTCGAGATATATGCACTGCAAAGGCGAACCATTTTCCAAAATGTTTAACGAAGCACGGTTACGGTGCTTCGTAATAAACGAAATTCTATTTTGGATTTTACGGATATCAAGTTTATATACGACCTTTTCTCCGCCGTACGTTGTTAACACATTCGCGACCGCTGACGTGAATTCACGTCTTTTCAAATTCTATCCCTGGTTGCCGCTGACGTGAATTCACGTCATTTTAAATTCTATTCCTGATCGCCGCTGACGTGAATCACGTCCATGGCGATACACGATACAAGTTTGCGGTAACCAGTTTCGGAATTTCATTATTTTCGCCGGTACTCGGTATTTGAAACGGAAAAAATTTGCCAGTCGCGAATGCGTTAATCTCAGATTCTGTAATATCTAAGAGGTTGGGGGAGTATTGCGTCAATCACGTTTGTACTCTCTAAGCGTGTGTATTGTACTTTGAGTATTTTTTTTATCCAACCGGCTCCCCACCACGCCGTAATTTGTCATCTCGTGATTGGCTCTTTTAAACGAGACGCGTATGCAAATGTGCCCCCTCCACTTTGTAACTCCGACCACCTGGTGGGGGTCGGAGATAAAAAGACACTTTAACGATAAAGTAAAATGCGCTCCTAAGGTTTACTCGGCTGCCCTGATAAATGTCGATGGGAATTTACATACATTTTTAACGCGCTTCGTAACTTTAAGTTTCACATAGAGTAACGTAAGATGGAAGAGTTACAAGTTAGAAAAAAAATGTATGGATACACCCTGACATTGTATATTTACCGTATTGGTGAATTTTTACTTGAATTTAATGTAACCTCACTGTAATTCCTCGTGGCATCGGAATAACCAATGATTCAGTATGTAAATTTACATGGGCACTTTTATCAGTGTGCCTCACTTATACGCCGTGTATCAAGAAACTCGACATATAAGGTGTTTCGCGCCAAAAAAATATATATATATATTTTCAGGCGTCGCCGTTCTCAGACTCGACCGATAACCAGTCTGATGCAATTCTTTACACCGGATTGTATATTAATGAGAAGAAGGGTTTACAGCGTAATCAATTAACTAACTCCGACGCCTCATCGCCGGAACTACTTAAACCGAAAGGCAAGAAAAGAAGGAAAAAAAAAAGATACGATTGCACAATAATTCTCCCTTTTTACTCGCTTAACCCAAGAGGAAGTAGTTTGTACAAAAAAAAAAAAGAAGAAAAAAGAAAGAAAATTGTCCCGTATGTTCAAAACCTGTAAACAATTGTCACGCCTTCTTTTATTTCCCGTCGCTGTAGTTTGTCGAAGAATTTCCCGTCGCAAACGGCCGATCAATGAAATCATGTGTAACTGGACTTACGGGAACTCGTTTCCCACGCTTCAAAATCTTACAATTTAATAAAGTATTTTGATATTCAAACACGGACTTGTTCGTTTTACTCTAGATATCAGTTCGTTCGGCTTATGGTCTTCATTGTATCCGATACTCTCTGATCGTGCATATTCGTAAATATCACAATCCTTGTGAGGTACTTGAAGAACATTTGGCGGGTTTACTATTCGATTCGTCTGTTAACCTCCGATCCTTTACGATCTTCGTTTTTCCTACTCTATGTGTAGAACCGAGGTAAAGACAAGAACCGTTTCTTCAGGGGAGTTCTTCGTTACCGACAGGATTGGATTCGTTAGTACGTATTCCTGTGGGGAGAGGTCGCCACGAATTTATTCCCAATGTTCTTAGCTCCATCTCGCGGCTACTAAAGTAATTGACAGAGATGAGTTGGGAGATTGCTCACGGCAGGATCGTGCGATCGCATCCTGTACTGCCCTCTGGTTTCGTAAATACGTTAGCTTTCACCGTTTTTTGCCCCCAAGGACGGCGCAACGAATTTCTGATAGGAGGTCGCGCGCTCGCGATGGCGGTACCATCTACCAGTCGCCGTTGGTGGCTCACGTACTCGTGATGGTAATACCATGCGGCAGTTGACAGTGGTGGCTTACCTACGCTTACCAACACTGCTCGCTTTTGATGGTAAGAGAAGAACACTCGTGACGCTCCATTTGACTTTATCTACTTATCTACTACTATTAAGTACATTGTTGCCACGAAGTCGACGTTATGCGAAGCTTTGGGGCACGCGTCGGTGTCGCGTACGGAACTCTCATGCAGCGAATCTGCGTGAGTGCGATCGCTCCTAGAAATCTTCGCGCGTCCCAACTAGCCAAGCGCCAAGCTACGGGTCGAGATGTTGAGTATATGTGCGATCGGCGCTACACTCAACGAGTATGCGTGAGAGTCGAATACTGCGAAAAATCCTACCGAGGCTTACCCAACTGCAGATATAAGTCGAGTCATTTCGCGTATGATTTTTACATTTCCCTACTAGCGTTATCGAGCGTTTTTCGACCGTTTTCGAGTGTTATCGCACGTTTTTAGAGCGTTATCGAGTGTTTTCGAGCATTATCGAGCGTTTTTCGAGCGGTTTCAAGCGTTTTCGAGCGTTCTTCGACAGTTTTCGAACGTTTTCGAGCGTTTCTCAATCATTTTCAGAGCGTTTTCGAGCGATTTCACGCATTTTCAGAGCGTTTTCGAGTGTTATCGAGTGATATTCTAGTGTTTTCAATCGTTATCGAGCGTTTTGCGAGCGTTTTCGCGCGTTTTTCGAGCGTGTTCGAGCGTTTTTCGACCGTTTTTGAGAGTTTTTCGACCGTTTTCGAGAGTTCGAGCGTTTCCCGATGATTTTCAGAGTGGTTTCGAGCGTTTTCAAGCGTTATCGAGCGTTTTTCGACCGTTTAATAAAGTGAATTGAAGCGTCACGAGTGTTCTTCTCTTACCATCAAAAGCGAGCAGTATCGGAAAGCGTAGGTAAGCCACCACCGTCAACTGCCGCATGGTATTACCATCACGAGTACGTGAGCCGCCAACAGCGACTGATAGATGGCACCGCCATCTCGAGTGCACGAGCCCCTACCAGAAATTCGTTTCGCCGCCCTTGGGGGCAAAAAACCGCGAAAGCTAACGTACGAAATCAGAGGGCAGCACAGGATGCGATCGCGCCACCCTGCCCGTGAGCAATCTCCCAACTCATCTCTGGTAATTGATATATTAGAATCCATCGATAAGTGATTGATCGACTTCGACTTATCACGGCGTCTTTGCAACGATTGTTGCAGCAATCGGAGAAACAAAAGATGAAAACTTAAGAATCACATCATCAAAAAATGAAATTCACTTCATCGCGATGCAACGCTCGTCGAGGTTACCCGAAACTGTTAAATTAAGAATCTTCGAAATCGATCTCGGTATATTATTTAAAAAAAAAAAAGAAAAAGGACATTTGCGTGGACAAACGCGGAAAGGTACATCGCACTTCTTAAGGTGAAGTGAAACACGTCGAGGAACTTGATCAACGTCGATAAAGACGATTTTTCTAAATGCCTACGTTGCCGACGTTCGTTTTTATATTGACAGCTGGGTCGAATTATATTGTGTATTGTACCAAATGGCATATTCCACCTGTCGTTTTCGTACAATAATTATAAAGAAATCGAAGTAAAACTCCAGAAATCCTCTGGATTCATGCCTTCTGGGCCCTAATTGACTGCGGAGGGACCCCCTGCGCCATCTGTGATTTCCAGGTCAATTAAATTTTCACTCCGAGACCTCGTATTACCATCGTTTTAGCAAAGAAGCGCATACAACACTTTTTTTGCCTTTATTCCGTTCAAATGGGAATTTATCGATTACCAGAGTGTTCGAAATTCTCGTAAAATTGTCCTGACCCTTTCGATTCTCATATCAGAGTCTTCGATAATTGTATATTGATCAAAATATGAGAGCTCGACGCCATTTTGGTTCTGGTCTGGACTGAGTTAAAAAATTTTTTTGAAAGATCCAAATTTTTAATGTGTCAGGACAATTCTTAGCTGATCAGGAGTGATGTGTCAAAGTTTTGGACAGTTTGGTCTAATACCCTTAAAAAAAAGTGTTGTATTCGAATCGACTGATTTGAAGGATGTTTCACTTCACCTTAAGCAAAACTCAGCCGTCCCCGATAGAGACAAGCAGGAAATTGTCGAGGCCCAACGAGTGTACAGTATTTACTCTTTATTTATAATAATGAAAAACAACAATTGTGGCGTTTCTAAACATCGCGAAGTACCGTAGCCATTAGCTGGGCTCCACCCTTGCTGGCATCGAAATTCTAATCTCTCCTTCTCTCGCCTAAAAAGAAGTAATCGCTCCCACTCTCTTTCTCTCTTCGTACTTACAAGTATCCGATTTAACGTTCTATACAAAGATACTTCTAAAATTAAATACCATATATAATATAACGCAGGCACCGCGAGCATACCGTCGCGCGAATAATATTTATTCCTTCCCTCCTCTCTTCCTCTTAATAACATATCCAAACGTGCCACGTGCGCCCCTTCGCCGTTTCCTTTTGATTAAAAAAAAAAAAAAATACTCCTCATATACAAGTGAACTGTAAGTTCGCAGAAGTTTCGGATGGTTCCCGTGAAACTCAAGTAACACGGTGAACTAATGCGAAATAACAATCCACGTTTCAATGTCCTCGGGTAATGATATCTCGTTAACCTTTCCAGGTGTCATGCACGCATCGCGCCACGCTCCTTAATAAACAATTGGAGCACGGTGTACAAATAATGAATTAGTGTTCGTACTAGTAAAAAAGAAGGCGTTCAGCAAAACAAGTAATTATCATCAAGTGAGATGCTAAGCGATAATCGCTCCCCAGCGTTATATGAAATAACGACCGTGTCGACCGATGGGAGGACTGCAAGCGACACTTTCCTTCTCGACCGACTCGTTAAGAAAGAAAAAGAAAAAAAAACAATGTTAAACAGCTAACCAACACTGCGTGGGCGTTAACCATCAAACATGTTTATACATTACAAACAGAATGTCCACTTAACCGACACAGCTCACGCGGTTACATCAATAGGTAAATCGTCTCTAGGGTCTTAGACTTTTAGGAAACCATGGGAATTTTCTGCCCACCCCTGGGTGCCTATTTGGAACAGTTTCAAGCTCCACATTAGCCCAGCTACGATGCTTCCGATTTATTCTCATTAACCGGGAATCAATTTCGCACCTTACGAGTAACCGAAATGTATCTCTCTCATCGCTCAAAGTATCCAAAATATTAACAACAACCACGCGATCCTCCGTAAGACGTATGAAATAATGTTTACTGGATTCGAATTCACCGCTTGAAATTAATCTCTACATGTTTCCGATATACGATTACATTTTCGACCCTTTTGTTAATTAACGACTATCGACACCGCGTATAAGTATATCCACTAATCACCGGAAATCAAGTATGAACGCCCTTTTCAGCTAATCCTGCATGAAACCAGTTCCAATAAGCACCCAAGGTTCGCCGCCACCTTCCGTTTTACAGTTTGCAGTGAAACTTATGTTAATTACGCATATCCTTGTCCGAACTAATCGACGGATCGCAAAAGTCCGAGCGGACCTCCGTCAATAACGGCGGACAGATCATATCGTCTCACGCATCGACATCTTCCCGTTATTTCGATCTAAAAAAACAAATCTGGATGGCTACTTGAAGTACCTCGACGGAGAATAAATCTCAGAACAGTTTCATCAGACACAATAATCAGGAAACCAAGAGAAAAAAAAACGTGAAAAGTCATCAAGTACCGAGGCCTTTAAATTCATTTAAGAAAGATTTCCAAGCTAGACACCTCTTTGCTTAAATAAATTTCCTTAAACAAAACGAGACTCTGTAGACATTATTTAACACACAAAAGAAATAATAAGTGTAACTATAGTCAAACCCAAATAAATAGAAATTCCTGCTCGAGACAATAGCCATAGCAAATACTGCACCGAAGTCTTCCGTGTACAAAGTTACTTCAGACAGACATCCAGATCCGTAATGAGAAACGCTGCCCCTCCTAGAGACAGCAGAACCAAAGAAAAAAAAAAAACAAAAAACGAGGAACTTTCTTTTCCGATTCTCATTTCGTCAGCCACTTATTATCGAGGCACTCTTGTATCAATGTAAACGTTCTAACAATAATGAAACAGAGAGGCGACCCTCTCGACAAAGTAGTCAAGTTGTTAAGCGATAACGGAAATGCAATCCTAACTAGCAACCTCCTTGTAAAACTAGGAAAACCGTCTGTCATACGTTCTATAGTTATTATACATCGGTAGTTTTATTCTCTCTCTCTCTTTCTCTTTCTCTCTCTCTATATNAAATGTTATAAAAATAATTTATTCTTAAAAATGTCTCTTCCCTGGAAGTACCGCGTTCGGATCACACGTCTGAGTTTGGAGAGTGACGAGTTTAATCGTTTAAACCGTATGCAGAGTGAAATTGTACCACAGCCACTAATATATACTTGATAACGCGCAAGACTCGCGGGTGGGATTAAAAACATGCGCACATCTCAGTCAATGCCGTTAAAGCTATTGAGATATACACGGAAGGCCGATAACGCGTGGAAATGCAGTTCTGCTATTAACACCTGGCTACGATGAGCTTGGAATTCTCGGATTGGCGAAAAATTCGCGGATTGATGTGTTTGACATGACGGAGGATAAATGTCGGTTACTCAATAAACGGTTTGGCTCCTTCCCCATGATTGTATTCGATTACCCAAGCCACTGCGGAAATAAAAGAGAAAGAAATGGCGATCATGCTTTGAAAGGAACTCATTCTCATTAGGTCACAAAGTGCGGTGAAATATCTCCTCATGGTGTTTTATGACATATAGCATGCAACTCCGTAGGACCTGAGTACTCACTTGAAATAATATTTACGAGAATATTCATCAGCGGATATTAATTGACGCGTACTAAAGATCAATCGACAACCACGCGTGACCGTTATCGCACGTTCATTAATTACTGAAAGTCTCGGGAATCGTCCTAATAATTCCCCATAAGTCCTCTGGACTTATCTAAGAAAAGACTTTTGAATCATCTTGGTGGTTAAGATGAATCGTTAAAAGAAATTTCACAATTCATCGACACCGTAGAGACATGTTGATTAATGAGGGGGAATATCCCAGTCAAACGCGGGCACGTATAATAGTATCTGCGTGGGGAAAAAAAAAAATAAAGAAAGAAAATTGCGAGCGCTCTGCCGATGCAAATGTACAAATAAAACCAGCTGGAATTTCAAATGAATACCCGGGTCCAAGACCACGGTGTAAAGTCGTCTCGAAAACGACGTAGCAGTTGGAGTACCTTCCATCAACACATGCATGGTAAAACTGTTGATTGGAGGGTAATCAAACCACCCCTACGTCGAGTCCCCAGGGTCCACGGCGTTCTCTCCTCTCCCGGAAGTCCACGAGATCTCGCTCCAACGATTAAGACCTTGGCACTTCCGTTGGAGCGACCTACAGTCAATAATTACTTTCGTACGTCAAGAAGAAGAAATATGTCGAGGGTCTGTGCAACGAGATTCCCGTACAGTCGTTTCTCATATACGAGGTTATAGCTGTTACGGTACGCGTGCAATTTAACCCTGCATACCGTGAGTACTCTCTCCTAATTTGTTCCTTTGTTTCTACCAAGCTCCGGCGACATTTCTTTTTTTTTTGTTTTTACTTAAAACTAGATTAATCGGATATCACAATATGAAGGCACCGTAGGTACCGCTCCCAAAAGCGCTTTCCTCTCGCCCCCTCGGGTGAGCCGAGGGATTAAAAATTTGTAGTGCTATTACTACGATTGACTTTTTTCCCTAACACTCGAGACGAGGTCCTGGTCGGCGTGGGCCTCAGTTTGTATCCTCCGGAGTTCATCGAGCCGTTCATCGCGGCCACGTCGGGAGCGATTGTTTTCAGACACTTAGCTGCTTCCTGAAGCTGCTTAGAGAGGATCTCGTTCTTCAGCTTCTCGGCATTGAGCTCCCTTTTAAGCTGAGCCTTCGTCTTGTTCCCAAAGGGACACAAAACCCTATGCTGGATAAGACTGATAGCCGATGGCCTCATCTCGGGATTAGGATGGATCATCAACTGCAAGTAGAAGCATTTTCACACTTTAGAAGATTGCATCATACTCCACGAGATGTGGACTAAATATGTAGTGATCCGATAGGACATTTCAACGTATACACCCGAAGATATTGTCTTTTCAATGGAACTAATAACTGTCCTTTCGGTACGCGGATAAGAAAAAAAAAATGGAGGTTCAATATTAAATTCGCTGTTATCAGGTTTCAGAGATCAACTGATTCCGATTGTTTAAACTGGTCATTGATGACAAAACGGAGAAAATATGTCCGCAGGAATGTTCCGGGTGGGTGGTAAAATTTGGTGTGCGGTTTGCTTAACTTCAGTTGTACATTATACCAATATTAATGAAATATTGCTTTCCAAGTGTAAATTTATGCAGCAGGTAACATCAGACGCGAAATAATTGACGAGCCAATAAGTGAAGAAGCAAAACGCGTGCCTTCTCCCCCAAATATGTACACCTACGGTGTGCTCCACGTATGCAGAACCACAAAATAAAATGAACTCAAAACTTCTCCAACAATTTGAGGAACCTCAAAACCGCGAAGTGGCAGTATAGGTTTCATCGTTGGACAATCCTTTCAGACGGGTCAAGTTGCCCCATCCTACAATCCATGCCACACTTGTGGTTCTTCGTTCCATCGGCTAACAAAAAAAGGTTTCACATTCTTATAAGATGAGACCACGCGTCGTTTCAAGATTTACGCCCTAGAAGCACCGACAAGGTTTCCCGAAGTCGCTCAGCTTCACGGCTCTCGTCATCATCTGTAGCGTCCCAACAAGGCGACAAACAGATCTTCCTTTGGAAACCAACAAACTTCTGGGAAATTTCTTCCCTCCCGTTTGAACCATGACTCTGATATCACTAATCGTCATTAATCTTCATCAAACGCCACTAAACGTCACTAAACGTTTCGAAACGTTGCGAAACGTCACGCCGTCAAATTTACGGTTTAAACAGGAGAAAAGAAGTTTTCTCCAAGTTCCATGGAACCAAGCACCCCCTGTTGGTAAAAATCATTGCATGAAGTGAAATAGTCCAATCACCTTGAGTAGATCGTTGAAATCGCGACTATATCTAGGCAACTCCTTCAGGTTCCCATTTCTGATGTCATGCCATTCGGGTCCGTTTTTGGGCAGAGGTCCACCGCCCCCTGCCTCGTACACCGTCAGGCCCAGGGCAAAGATGTCCGCCTTGGAGAGGTGAGCGAAGTCCTCGTGGAGGATCTCGGTGGGCAGGTACCTGCAGTCGCCCTCCTCGACCTGCGGATTGCTTATCGACGTCACGTGTCCGAGATCGCCGATCTTGTAGGTGATCTCCTCCTCGACGGTCTCCTCCTCGTCGAAGCCGTCGTCCGCCGAGTCGTAGTTGACCAACTGTAGCCTCTTCTCCTTAGAGATGAAGATGTTCCCGGGCTTGATGTCCATGTGGACGAGCTGCATGCTGTGGATGTACCTGAGGCCCTCGGCCACGTGGAGGAGGAGCTGCCGCACCTCCGCCTCGGAGAAGTGTCGCTTCTCGGCGCGCATGTTGGTAATAGCGTCAGCGAGGCTGCCGCCGTTGCAGTACTCGTTCTGGATGATCATGTGGTTGTCCTCGGCCCAGGCCGAGTAGTAGCGCACCACGTGTTGGTGCTTGCCGAGGACCGCGTGGGCGTACACCTCGATCAGGGCGTTCTTCTCGTTTACGCTCCCAGCGACCGGCTTGATGCTCTTCTTGATCGCGTATACGCACCCGTCCAGTCGGTTGATGCATTTGTACACGGAGCCGAATTCCCCGGTGCCGATCAGCCCGAGCTCGTGGAACTCCTGGTGGTATCGCGGGATGTTAGACTCCTGCAAGGCCACCCGCTTAGTTGGCTGCTCCACCTCGTTGTCCGAGTCCTCCGAGTCGGGCAGGTCGAACTTCGGAATCCTGATGTCGGGAGACCTGCGTCGGAATAACAACAAATTCACGGTAATGACAAATACTTGGATTGACGTCGGAGCCTCGATATTTCAACCTCTTTTATCGAAGTCAAATTTCAATGGAATGAACCATTAACGAAGTATCAAGGCTGCATCTTTACATAGGGAGTTCACCATTGCAATAAGAAGCAGAACCACCGATCGCAGCGCCATTTTATTTTCCAGAGACTGGGTAGGAACAAAGGAAATTGTCGCCCTATCACATGTTGTTCGATTTTTATACGCAATTTTCATAACTTACGAATGCGATCTTCCTGGACTTGGTACTCGCGTATCAATGTTTCTCAGAGTTTCTCGCAATTGAGCCTCGGATAACAGCAAAAAATTAAAACGTCGTTAAAATAATCAAATAAAAAGGCTGCCTCGAAAGTGCTTAAGCTGCTTTTGACTTTACAGAGCTGTTAAGATATTTCAATGACCGGGTAGCGAGCTCGTAACCCAGACTTAACGGGTCACATGCTCCGGTAATTGAAGTACCCCGACAATAAGTACCCTCTGTAACTGTCACTAGTGGGGTATAGTGATTATCCAGACAATTATCCAGACCAGACAGGACCCGGCCGTTGTTTGAACATTTCATTGCAACGTGCTCTGCTCGTAAACATTTGAATAACGGATAGGTAGCTAAAAATAACTGGTTCAGAAAAGATCCTCCCAGCTATCCCAAAAAAAGAGACTCAGTTGCCATCCTTTACTCCCACCTATTTATAACCATTAGATGACATTGTCGTTTCTCCTTCCAATTTGTTTAAATAAACCTATAACGCAACATCGATGCAACCTTGAATCGAAGCACAAAAACAACTATTGTGTATTATAATAATAGTAGCAATGACAAAACACAAGGTCACAATTGAACATATCGAGTGTAATATAAATGATGGCCATGGTTATAAATGTTTATAGGATATTACCGGTCATTAGGAGCTGTTAAAAATAGAGCATTTACGTCCTACGTTTAATGTAATAGTTCAAACCACTGACATTACAATGAATACTTACCCATTTAGACTGCGTTTGGATCGAGTCCTTTTCCTAGCAGTAAGTAGCATCCCACTTGGAGTGAATGGATTTACATTGGCTGCGGGTTTATCGGATTTACTTTGAAAACATGATGGTGTAGCCCTTGGCTTGTCCATGGGAAAAAGTCTGGTGCACTTGGAAGGTATGGGAGTGTGCATCACGCTCTTCTCCATTAATGTTTTTGGAGTAGTTGGTGAATCAAAAAGACGGAGAGCACGAACGCGTTTGTAAGGGGGACTGCTCGCCATTGATATCCTAGATGACGAAATGCCTTCTCGATGAGGAATCTTCATCCCAGTAGTGCCTATAAAAAAGAAGAACCTACTTTTTAGTACATTGTACGACAATATAACTCACAAGGATTAGACAATACAAATGAATGAATTTACTGTTACCAATTTTATTTCAAATTGTCATTTGTGTACCTCAACTCGTTCTCATTGGGTAGAGACTTTACGAGTTCACAGTGCTGCCATTCAACACACGTAATGTCTCTCTATTACGACTGGGTACCATTGTTGTGGTAAATCATAGTGGTAATTAAATTAATTATGACGTTAAGTTTTAAATTAATTATATACCCATGTTCATGCTCAGTGTGAACAAAATTGTCTCAGTGTTAATGGTATCAATTGTTTCACATCCTGTGTTAACATATCTTCGTGTTAACATGTTACCTAAGATCGATTAGTGGTTCACGATTAATCACAGAAATAACTAACTATTTTGTTATGAAATCCATTTATAAATAATGAAATCCATTTATAAATAATGCTGTGATGATTGCATTCGCATTCGGCAAGATTGCTATATTACGTTATAAATTATATTTAGTATTATTTATGCGTAATTAATGTTATGTTAGAACAATGTATTGTGTAAATCGCAGTAGTAATAAAAGTAATTGTGTTAATGAAATTTTGAATAAACTACGTACCCATCTTCATGCTCAGGGTGAACGTAATTGTCTGGTGATCATGTCAATTGTTTCACACCTTGTGTTAGTATTTCTCAAATTACTAAACAACTTAATATTTATTAGTATTTCACAATTTATTCCAAAACTGAATAAAACCATTTTTGTTATAACAGACTCATGAATAATACTGTATTGAAGGCATTTATATTTGATAAGTTTAGTACAGAATGTTATATATTATATCAAATGTTAAATGAATGCAGTTACTGATATGTTAAATCTCCATATCGACATTCTGGTCCATGGCCTCTAGGTATTTTCCTTGGAACAATTTCTCATTGCCGGTATGATCCAATAACCAGTATTGATTAATTAATTTTTTGAAACAAACCCCAAAGTCAATCGCATTCCTTTTAATTTTTAAGCAGCATTGTAGCTCCATATAAAAAATCCAACAAAACAGTCGATAAACTGCTGGATCCTTTGCCCTGAAGATGTGGACTGCAACGTTCGTGAAATGCCAGCAATTAGCAGATAACAGCTGCAGAAGACATCAGGAAACCATAGACGAGAAAATTTTTACAGTTCTTCCTAGAAACTTTACGGTCATATGATTATTTGCAAAAATGGTAATAATTACTTTTCAAGTTATTCCAATCATATCACATTTAAGAAACAGTACATAATGTGTTTACACAAGACATAATAGATGGCTTAATTGGTAAAAACTGCGATTTGGTCATATGTGAAACTGTATAATTTCACTTTTCAATATGAATTATATTATCTGGCATGATCATAGAAATTGAATACTCATTACAAAGTAATACATCATATTGAGCAAGTAAAGCTAAAAAACAACAGCAGTTTCAATGCACCAGTTCCTGTGCAACATAATAATGTGTATGGAAAAATTGAACCATTGTTTATTTCATCAATACTTCCATACTATTATTTAATTCAATAAACTGTTTTCTAATTTGAACAACCACGCGATTATGCAATTTAAAATAATAACTAGTCGTCTGTTCTACTTCTTTGTGTATAACCATGTACATACAGGATACATTTCACAAAATCGATTATTCTCAATATTTATTTGAAACACGTTTGTAAATTTATATTAAAAACATTATTTTACAAATTATCTATCCTAAAAGATAAACAATATATCATCAAAGCATTTTTAGTGTAAAAAGGAAGTTCTATCGTTAACAAAGAATTATAACATTGAAAGTGTACAGTTTAAAAAAAATCATAAAAAATCATTTTCATATTGAAACTTCAAATTACAGAACATACGTTTCCTTAGATGTTTTCTTTCAGAAGCTGAATTCTTTCTTTGTGTTTTTTGGAATCATTTGGAACTTTATATTCTGTTAATAAACTTATGCTAAAGAAAACCACACTAAACAAAGGTATACAGCTTTTCTAAACATTCTAAAGCATAAAACATGAAACTAGAACACACTGGAAATTTGGTAACTCTTATCCCATCATACTTCAACTACAATACCGATAACAAACATCATATAATTTGTAAGATCTTCGCATAAATTTAAAAAACCCCTCAAATTACGTCATGCATTAAAATCTGATTCGTTCAGTTAAATAAACCAGCCCATAAGCCATAACATAATCCACTTTACTATCGTAACCAAGATAAACTTCAATAGTGATTACAACCTTCAACATTAAAACGTATCATGCCAATTTTAAATTAAAAAATTATGGTAAACAATGCGTATCGTCAATGAAGCAATAACGTCATAAAATACATTTTCCCCCGGTACAAAAGTAAGTAATCATTAAGAAATAATTCTTACAATTCTATATCCACCTCCTCAGGCCTTACCGAATTAACAAATTATATAACAAACGCATATGCACCGAGCGTCAAAAATAATTATTTAACCTATAAAGAAATGTAATTTCAAAAGTCTACTTAAGGACAATAAGATCTACAGTAGTTCTTTTATAACGAACATGTATATAGACGTTTCACGCGTCCCATTTTTGACTATGGGATGGGCTACGGGCTGGGTACGTCGAGGCGTTGCGAGGAACGCGCATCCCGAAATGCAGGAACAAGATCTAACCTGTCACCAAGAGTACAGGAGTTCTGTTGTTGTTTATGGATACAGGTTGGTTGGTCTCGCTATCGCTGCAGTCCATCGAGCTGCCGAAGGAAAGCTTCCGGGGCTGGGGTAAAGGCGAACACCTGAAATCTTCGGCCGATGAGTCCAAAACATCATCGATGTCGCATCCCGAGCTGTTGATACGACAGCTGATGTTGAGTTCCTCGTCCTCGATATCGCATGCCTCAAAATGCAGCTTCTGCGCTACCTCCATGTCGACAAGCTGTCACCATAAGTCGGCTAGCATTCAAACGGCACTTTTCATCTCAAAAATCCACGGATAAACTATGACCGATCAGTTAATTTAGACAATTGCGCGACAACTGGTTCATTCGAATGCGATCGCACGTACCACGCTACGTTCGTTATGGCGGGTGGCCCGGTGCTCCATGGGAATTCGTCTCGGCCAATCAGCCGCCATCTTGCGACCCGTTGCCATGGAGACGAGGCCATCGAGCGGTCCGATTGGTCGGCCGGCACACAATGAAAGCCTATGAAACGCCACCTGCTCGGAGGGTGACTCGCTGTACGCTGGGCTACGAACCCTATGCGGGGTAGAGGGAAAGGGAGGGCTCGAGTTACCATGGGCATCTCTCATATCGTCGTGTCTTTGTCGCACCTATTCCAGAAAGCGGCAACTAGGTCTCCCGAAAACTGGAGTGGAAGCGTTGCATTAGGCAGCTATACGCAAAACCGGCGTGGCTTGCTCCCTCCTCGCGTCTTCCGACGCGTGTCTTGCCGAATCTTACCGAATGCTACCATCTAAAATTCTTGGTAATCTCTCCCGATGATAAATGTCATGGCCATTGTGCCTGTGCTTCTTACAGCATAAAAATTCAATTACACCTAAAGTAACCTAAGACTCTGTGTAAAATTCTTCTTACTGTTACAGGGGGAGAGACAGCACGCGGTAGAATCAAATTCTTTGCTCGAGATTGTCCGCGATTGAACCTGATTCCTACGACATCGAAGAGGCTTTCTTTCAGAAGGACAAAGAACTCGGCTCGTCCAAACCTAGAGGCGGTTCCTTTCATTCATCATCCACGGAGTTTTTGTATCTCTTAACCGATTCGACGCATCTCCACAAATGCGCCTGAACTTTCTTCAAAATAAAATATTTGGATGTTCTTTATTTTCTAACTATGAATAATTGTACAGAAATCGTCGCTACGTTTAACGTTGCCACGTTTTATGCGATTGCCTTTGGGAGTATACATATCTCAATATTCCGTCATTTTTTAATGCCAATTTAAATCCCCATCGATATTTGACAAGAGAATGGTTTGGATCAATTCGTCTCGCGGCATATTCCTAAAAACGTCCTTTTAACCCAGTCTCTAGACTTTCACTTTCTACATCATTTTGTTTGTTCCTCCCGGATCCTACAAAGAGCCTGGCTGGAATACGAAATCATCTGCTCTCCGTACAAGGACGAGACGTCTGCAAAGAGTCATAGAAATCGCTGCCAGTTAAATGGGCCTCGAGGCCTTCGCGGAGTTTCGGCGAATTAGCCAAAGGCGCTTAAAGGTACGAGAATGATCGGGCCGAAATGGTTGCCGGTTTACATGCCGGGCGTTTGGGCAATAAAAGAATTTCCGTCGGAGCAGCTGCAACCTGTAGCGTGCGTAAGGGGCGTCGGGGGAGAAGGGAAGGCGTAGTACGATGCGAGAGGTTATACTCGTCACCACACCGCGGCTTTATAGGCGACCCCTGTACGTGCACGTTTACCGTGCTGTGTGTGCGGGTCGCGTGAGCCTCCCTTTATACAGGTATACGGGCGCGCACTCACACCGCTACCCCGAGCCGGTTCGGGCGAGCGTGTGTAGGGGTGCGCGCGCAAGCGGGTGACCGTGAGCCGCATGGCGATAGGGGAAGGGGTGTGACGTAGCAGGACTGGGTCTTTGTCATTTCGTGGTGCTGGTATGGCCACGAGTTACGAGATGGGTAGAGCAGCATGCTTATTGCGCAGTTTCGGTTTGCATGCGATTATCCAACAGGAACGCTCTTACCGACGGAGACAGATAGAGAGAGAACTATGCAGAAGTGCAAATCTCGCGAAATCTAACCGCATTTAAATAAATCGATATTGGATGGGCAGTTTTATTTTATTCGTAATTGTTATCAGGATTGAGTAATTTCATGTTCTTCCGGCTTTTTGACGTATATTACGTAATCCAAGTAGTTTACTGTAGAAAATGGTAGAAAACCAATAAATTACGTTTTTAATATGAAGAATCCCGCAGACGGACAAGATACGACTTCTGTTGGGTTATAATCGTCTTTTGAGCACATATAAATACAAAACAATTTTTAAGGAATAATTAATTTGGCGCTGGCGTTGAAAATGATTTCGACTTAACCCTGTTTAATGCCAAATTTCTAATTGGATTTATTTTGTACATAGAAATGGAAGGGCGTAATGTACTTTACACTTGTGTGGAAAACGGGACGTATTTTACGTTGTAATATACATGCAAAAAACCACGTTGTATGTTACATGAAAATTATACCTACCAACCCTGTTCATCCCCAGAAACAAAGTTTAAACGCAGTTACCCCAGCTGTTTTAAAACATCTTCAGGAAATACATTTAACGTGGTTTCGCTTCGAAGCAGCTGTTCGCGAATCTATGGTTGTCAAAGATCGAAAACCACCGACTCCCACGAAATTGTCGAAATAACATCTGGCAAGCAGAGAGGAAACGATGTTTTCCGTAGGAGTAATACCGAGATAGAGAAAGACGGACGCTCCCGATGCAGCTGTCTCTCTTTTACCAATTTCGTGTTCCTATACATGGTCATGATATGTACGACTAAAATCAGAAAAGAGTAAAAAAAGGTATTCATCCGTGCTCCTTTAAAAGCCCGTTGAATTTTAATTTGTTGTACCGCGCGATGGAAGTGATTTCTATGAACCTAACCTAATCGCGTCGCATTATCTGCGAACCTCTTCCGTTGTTCACGAATGTCAGCCCTGTTGATTTTACCACGCATGCATTTTCGGTAGCAGCCAATCACGCGATTGCTTATTATCTGTAGTTGGTACAGTACTTTCGATATTAAATTTCTATACTTGGTTTTGCAGGAACCTCTCTGCAGGTGCTGCGCGAAAGGAGAGTTACGGACGGTAGATCAAAGAGTATCAAAGAGTATAGATGTAGATTGACAGCTGGTGTTGAGTAGAACTGGAATCACTCTACCGATTTTAAACCAAAGGAGATAATATGGCTAATATAGACATCAACGTTACGGGCGACATGCAAGCTGCGCATCTTAAACAATCTACGAGCGGGTAAAATAAAAATATATTCACTTGTCTGTGACGTTGTAAACATATGCCTAACCTCTTCACTCTTATTTTGCATCTGTTATGATTCACAAAAATTGGGACTGATCATTTTCAGCTACTATTAATTATTGTTAGAATTTTATGGATTATTGTGTAAATAACTAAAAGTGTGAGAATTAATTTGGAATATTAGTCGCTTTGTTATTTGGGTCGTAGAATTAAAGTTATCTATTGTAATTGAGAAATGATGGGTAGGATAGGTTAATTTTAGTTGTTTATGCTCTGAAAATTAATTGTTTGGAAATAAGTGGTATAATATTAAAGATATATAGTATTTATTTGATGATTCCTGGCAAGTATAAATTTAATTTGGTCGGTATCAAATTGATGTCACTATTTTATGACCTACATTATGTTAAATATGTATTTTGGTAATAGAGTGAATGCTTCTCTGTTCCATATAGATGAACATGTAATATGAAATGGTAATATGGTTGTTTAAAAATCAATAGGTTAAACTTTACATCTCCATTGTTACAATATCGTTATTGTCTTTTTATTGAATGTTTTTCATTTCATTTATCAGATACGAATTTCTACAGTTGCCGCAATTACCACTGGGGCAATTGGGTTATCCTTTGGCACAGGAATGGATACAACATAGAAGAGCAACGCTAAGGCCATGGTCTTTATTTTTGAATACTAATAATATTCGTCCACCACCGAGTCTGACAAGATTAAGCAAACGTGTGATGAGAAATATTGAATATTTTCAAAGCAACTACTTAGTGGTATTCATCGGGCTGGTTATATACTGCCTGTAAGATTGTAATATTTTTTACATTTATACGCCAGAACATTTAATATTAATTACAATGTAGCTATATATTGTTTTAATTTTGCTTATATATAAAGTTACGTTAGCTATCTTCATAACTAAAATCGTTGTTTTTCTGCTAATTTAATTTTCATTAATGTTTCAGAATTACATCTCCACTTCTTTTACTAACTGTAGCAGCATCTCTCGGAACTTGTTATAAAGTGTCTCAGAGACATGCAAAGCAAGAACTGATGATTCTGAATCACAAGCTTACACTCGCACAAGTGTATTCTTTAGTTGGTATCTGTTCATTGCCTTTATTCTACTTAGTTGGAGCCGGAGCTGCTCTTTTTTGGGTTTTGGGTACGTGTAAAGATCTCAAATGAATGTTATTATGTTAAAATACTTTCATTAATATTAATATTAATTTATTACGTTACAGGGGTATCTTGGTTTATGGTAATGTTGCACGCTGCTTTTTATAACATCGATTCGGTACTGTGCCCTGGGGAAGATGAATTAAATTCATTGGTATTACAAGAAGTATGAAAAGCGTGTTTTGTATTGACTTTAACATCAATACATATCGCTCGAGTTTAACCAATTTGATCAATAGTACTGATAATTTATTACGTTACAAATTACTGCAATATTCTCTGAATTGTTAATTTTTTAAATCGCAAAAATTGTTTCATAAAATATATTATTGTTCATAATGTATGGAATATACTGCAACCGTTGTAATAATTTTTACGTAGGTAGGTCATTTTTGTAATAAATCTTTATATATTTCAACTTTTCTGGTACAAAAGCGCAATTAGGTAGCTTGCAACATAATTATATCATGACTTAATATTAAAAAAAAAATAGCATGAAATTTATCTAACTACATTTATTAGGCAAGTACATTAAATCATACTGTATATATTATAGCATTGCTGTTGTAAGATCAGTTCTATGTACAATCTACTTCATGTATATTAAAATATTTTGTATTATAATTGAATTTTTTTGTGAAAACTGAAAATGCTCGTATACTTATAATCATTGTATATATATCTTTGATGGTTTCCTAAATTTCTATTCAATGATGTCATGTAAATGTATTTTGTCATTCCTTCGAATCTGGTATTAAAACGAATGCCATAAATACATAACAAAGAATAAAACTAAACATCGACGTGTACAAAACCTATTAATTTGTCTGGTTAAGATTTGTTTTGTAAGATACAATTGCACTAAAGTTTGTCGCGAGTATTTAATAGAATGTTGGAATCTTAATAATTAGAAAAGGGCAGGTAAACGAATCGTCAGGAAAATGATGCCGTCCCCGTGTCACAAATTTCATTCGCAGCCATTTCATCCTCAAAACAATGTCACTGTGAGTGAGTGTTCGTTTTCATGTTTAAATATAACCGCTGACTTCTAGCACCGGACATGTTCCGTTCGTCTGTGTTCTTCGACATGAGGTGTAAGAATATACCCTCTCAAGAAAGAACCAACGTCTTATTTTTTGTACTGTGAAAGGCTGGTAAGAATATACAATTAATTTCAATCGGGCACCCTATGTCATTTAGTTTTTGTAATTAATAACAACGAAACAGAGCATGATTTATTGACCAAAGCAGACGACACGAAATGAGGAGACATTTTTACCCTTCCCTATGATTTTACATTCGGATTATTTACATGTTAACGTTAACCTTAATTATTAAATTATCACGATTTATGTATTAGCGAATATTTCGACGAATAATTAAAAACGTAGCGATCTTGGAATATCATGGTATAACCTCTTTTAATATTTTTCTTCGTACGGAAGCCAGCGAGAGTGTACCGAAATATTCGCAGTCGGTTTGCGCGCCATATTTGAATTTTATAATTCAATCGATGACAATGCTATACTTATATTGTTGCACTATAAACATTCGTATTGTATTCAGGAAAGATGAAAGTATTCATGCAATTTAAAACAGATTTTGTAAACAGAATGCCTTGGACAATGATGTCTTTGTTATTGATGAAGTTTCATAGAATTGTGGATAATTAATTATTTAAATGATAAAATTAATATGCAAACGGATGGGCATTTGGACGAAAGAATTAAATTAAGAACGTTTCTTACAGCATGTTGGTTTCCCGGGGACATCGTATATCTGCTTCCATTTGTTGGCTTATCTAAGAAAAATAGAGCAAATCTCCAGCGAATGAATAATGGAGGAAGATGACGAAGAGGCGACGCTAACCAGTGAACAGAAAATTTCCCAGCCAAGCATTTATCAATCCGCCCGAAGTAGTTTCCACCAAGACTCTGACCAAAGTAGAAATATCTTTAACGACGGTTCAATTTTTGTTAACAATTTGTTCACTGCAGTTTCTCTTCCGAGCATTCAACAGTCTTGCACCGATGAAGCGTCAACTGTTAAGAGTAACAAAGAGACACCCGACGAAGAGAGCTGCGAAGACACCATCGAGCATGAGACCAAATCGGTAAAAGAACGCTTTCTAATACCGTAAATATAAATACCTTCATTATAAATCATTCTTCATCTCGTAATAATAGATGACACTTTTATGCAGCTTTCGCATTACGAGGAAGCCTCGAGTTTGTACTTCCGTGATAAGACTCGCACCATTGACTTTGTCCTTGTTTGGGATCATCTTGATGGAGAAGCAACTACGTACAGGAGTGTTGAACGCAGACGGGTACAAACATATTTATTATATGGCGTATTTCCCCCTTTTTGGTGCTATCTGTTTATATATTAGCCAAAACAATTTTGGACTAACCATTTTTATACCACGCAGCAAAGCAAATGCTGACAAATATAAGATGAATAAATTTGTAAACTATACGTAGAAGTAAAAAAGATGCGCTATGTATGTCTCTATGCTACATTATGTGGTATTTAAAGCGATTCATCATTGTTTTCGTATAATTTTTACATGTACGGTTTGCAAAAATGTTCCAACCTTTTACACAATTTTCTTTAAATTATTAGGTCTTTGAAGGAAATTTGGAGAAGGAAGGCCTGGAGCTGGAGTACGAGAAACCCGAGCCAAATGGACTGCATTTCATTAAAATTCACGCTCCCAGGGAAGTCTTGCGCCGCTATTCCGAAATTCTGAAACTCAGAATGCCTATGAAAGAAGTACCGAGTTTGAAGCTAACTCAGTCGTCCTACAATGTTATAATCAACGAAGTCAATTCTTTCGTTAAAAGAATTATGAGACGTTATTACGTGGATACTTCTATTTTTCCTACAATGAAGCACCGATTTACAGCGGTCTACAGCCGAGATAAGGAGTACTTGTTTGACTTGGAGGCACCGGATTTCTTTACGCCGGCGACTCGTTCCAGAATTGTGCAATTTATTATAGATAGAACAAAATTTAACGAGAGCAACCAAGAGAATGATATCTCATTCGGTATCGATAGATTAATCGCCGAAAGGGTATATGAGGCAGCTTACCCACTTCATGATGTAAGTTACACTTTTACACCTTTCTTTTTAACACGCGCAGCAACCTTTTAAAGGTCTCTTTCATCTTTTTTTTTTTTTCAGTAGAATCAATAGGAAACATACCAAGCAACATATGAAGTATAATTCGTAACACACACGCATTAAACACTTTCTGAAATTATCCAAATATAATTAAATGATTTTATTTAATGGCGCACATTTTTTTTTGCGTGTACGTGATGAGCTTTTTCACGGTTTATGGCTTTAAACGGTTCTCTGCTATTCTTGGAGGCACGTGACTTGGTAGTTCATTGTTACCTGGTACCGTAACTACTATGTACCTTCCTTTAAATGACCATGCCACATGATGTTTAAATGGCTAAACCTCAATGTAGATTTAAATGCCAAGCGATATAATATTTAAATGCCCAAGGAAACAAGGATCTTCCCTGCCGGATAATCCTATTATCGAGTTCGCATTGTTCATATTTTCGTAATGTCCTTGAGGTAAATCCGAGTATTCTGGGTAGAGAACCTTAACCGTGATTTAAAAAGGACACGAGAGAAGTTCAATAAACTTTTCATTTGGCCTGTGAAAGCCCACCATAAACCGCTTTGTCCTTTGGGCAACACCAGTCGTAACTTTCTATTATTAACTATTCTAAAGATTTTTGTGGTCATTTCTAGGTAAAAATGTTGCACATTGCTCTTGCGGTCTTAGGCGAGGGAAAGTAACTCCTTTGTTCTTCTAATAGCTTATGAATAATATGGGTGAATGCAACCTTTACACCCTGTACACTTTGTTACAAGTTTCAAATTTCTCGACATTAAGGCTCCACTCTCGATGTCGTCCTAAACAATTCCTAGTACAGTTAGGTTACTTTTCAGGATCCCAGGACATTGTCTTCGTTTGGGGGGCGCCCAAAGGACTTACTTGGAAAAAGTTATTAAATAATCGGGATAAGATCCCCCGTTGAGTCCTCAACCCTCTTAACAATTTTACCTGCTCTGGACCTGACCCTTCTTCCACTATTTTCTTTGGAATAGTCGTTTCCTAGTTTCAAGAAACTGTCCCAACAATTATTGGAACCCTGTACCGATATAAGACCATGGAAAATGTTTAAATAACTCGCACACAATTTCAATATCCTTATTAATATAGCGGCATATTCGTTGAATTTCAAGATCTTCTAAAAAATAGTGCACATAATTATACATATTTATCCGATATTTTATTCGAGGCTTAATGAAATAATCAAAACGTATTATAAATAATATACATAAAACATCATGCAAGTGTATTTATTCTATTGATATCTCATGAGAAAAGACAACTTTTAATGAACTTATTTTAAGTTTACGCTAAACTTTACTTTCAAGATTTCCATTTTTAATGATTAAGTGACGACGTTACGTCGTTTATAATTAAATTATCTTTATGTTCTGCTTGATATATAACCGTTTGAGTCCTAGGGGGTATTGAAAAAACACTGTCGAAGAATCCCGAACAGCGCAACCGCGCTTTCTCTAAATGAGTACGAGAAGACCCAAACAGCGCGATAGCGCTTTGTTTATTTTATGTCGATGAATCCCACTCGGCGCGATAGCGTTTCTTGAATTGTAAGATGTATTATTTACACCCTTCCGTTACGATTTAAATTCCAATAGCGCGTACCGTAAACAACAAAAGTGTCGGTCATACATCGGCCTATTTCACGGTTTGGCTGAACGTAACTTCTCATACGGTTTGTTTACATTTGGCCCGATTGACATACCACGTCTCTCACACGTTTTGTTCACGTTTGGCCCGATTGATTTACCACGTTTCTCACACGATATTGTAAGTTAAGAGTTTAAAAGAAGGAGCAGTGTAATGTACTTGGGTCAGTGAATCTGAGCGACTTTGACAATCGGTGACGCACCGTCAGTTGTCCACAACGCTCGAAATGTGTTGGGTTTTCTCGACATAAAATCTGAACAGCGCAATCGCGCTGCCTGGGACTCAAACGGATAATGTCATTAAGTGTATGCAACGTGAATTTCAAGTTGCATAACATATGTTTTCTGATTTGTTTTAGGGCAGTCTCCATACACCAGGATCTATGCGATATTTATTGTCCACAGAGTGGGCTAGCATAAACAAATGCTTTCATTACCAGCCTTTGGATTATATTAAAGAGTACTTTGGAGTAAAGATAGGGCTCTACTTTGCCTGGCTAGGATTTTATACTCATATGTTATTGCCGGCGAGCGTCGTTGGACTCCTATGTTTCATATATAGTTGCGCAACCATATACTCCAACAAGCCTACGGAAGATATTTGCAATGCAAAAGAATCCATCAAAATGTGTCCTCTGTGCGATAAGTTTTGCGGTTACTGGGAACTTAAAGAAACGTGCATATACGCACGAATCGCATATTTATTCGACAATCCGTCAACGGTATTTTTTGCGATATTTATGTCGTTATGGGGTACGTAGTTTTCAGACCAAGAAGTAGAAATCTAAGAATATGTAAAGGATAATCAGGACGGATGCCTAAAAGAAAAAAAATTTAATTTCCAATAATTCATTTAAAAAAAAAAGAAAACGAATAAATTCTTAGATTTCTGCTTTCATTGCAGCTACGTTGTTCCTGGAATTGTGGAAGAGTTATTCCGCTGAAATAACTCATCGTTGGGATTTAACTCGATTTGATACTCAAGAAGAGCATCCTCGGCCTCAGTACTTAGCAAGACTGGCTCATGTTAAGAAAAAGTCGGTCAATATTGTTACAAATAACGTGGAGCCTCGAGTTCCCTTTTGGAAAGTACGATTACCCGCCACGATATTGAGCTTTTCTGTGGTTTTATTATTGGTAAGCATACGTAATTAAATGAATATTTTTTTCATAGAGTAATTCCACATTTTAATGTGATAACATTTGACCCGCTGGTTATGTTTCTATTTCTCCTTTACATGATATTGATGAAATATTATATCCAGTAATATTTTGCAGATGGCTGTAGCAATGGCGGCGGTTTTGGGCGTAGTTTTATATAGAATGTCCGTTTTGACAGCGCTGAGCGTTTCCGGAAATCCAATGATGACAAGTTATGCTACATTATTTACTACTGCCACAGCCGCCAGCATCAATTTATGTTGCATTATGCTATTTAATTGGGCTTATAATTGGCTAGCGGAATATCTGACAGAGGTAATTTTCAACTGAAAATGTAGTAAAAACGAATCCAATTGGTTTTACTGCAACAATTGTCGAAGAATCTTCTCTATGTACACATTATTCTTTATTAATTTTCTACATGTTCACAGATTGAAGTTCTACGTACTCAAACGGAGTTCGACGACAGTCTAACTCTGAAGATATACTTGCTGCAATTTGTCAATTACTATGCGTCCATATTTTATATAGCATTTTTTAAGGGCAAATTTGTTGGTTACCCTGGAAAGTACAATCGCTTTTTCCGAATTCGACAAGAAGAGTGCGGTCCTGGTGGCTGTCTTATGGAGCTGTGTATCCAACTTAGTATAATTATGATCGGGAAACAGGCCATGAATACGGTCCTAGAAATGTTGCTTCCATTATTTTATAAGTGGCTAAACACTTTGAAGGTTCACGTCGGAACGTCCGATAATGGAAATAGAACCGCAGACGGTGCCAAAATGTCGTTCAATTCAGGAAAGCACGTCCAATGGGTACGGGATTTTAAATTAGTCCAATGGGGTCCCAGAAGCTTATTTCCGGAATATTTGGAAATGAGTAAGTTAATACTCCCTATTGAGACATTTTAAAAAGACGCCTCGCCTGCGTCTTGCTTTTAGGGCGAGGGGCAACAATGTTGCTGAGTGTTTTTCGAGTTGCAGGGTAGCTCGCAGAAGTGCGACCAGATTTACTAGTATACCTTGTAGCAGCCAATCCTCCAATAATTTCCACCAGACTATTTGTAATAATTACTGAAAAATTATCTCCGTGTTTCTTTGCAGCCTGTAAAGCATTCCCATCGCTCTTTGTTGCTTGTAATTATTCATTTATTTCTACAGTTTTGCAATATGGATTCGTGACGATCTTCGTGGCTGCCTTTCCTTTGGCTCCGTTTTTCGCATTGCTGAACAACATTCTCGAGATGCGTTTGGATGCCAAAAAATTGTTGACCATGTATCGAAGGCCTGTTGGACAACGCGTTAGAGATATAGGCGTTTGGTATAGAATACTAGATTCCGTATCGAAACTGTCGGTCATTACAAACGTAAGTTGTATTTTCTCACCCTCAATACGTAATTCTTAAGTTATTATCTAATTTCAAAGTTACTGAAAAGAAATTAGTTCCGTCATTTTGTTGTACAAAACTGACTCATGTCATCAGATACTTTGCCTAATGTAAACAGATTTGGTAGAGTTTTGCTATATTAGTTGGGTTGTATTTTCTTGATCGAAACATTTTCTTTAGGGCTTCATCATTGCATTCACTTCGAATTTCATTCCACGACTTGTGTATCTGACGACTGTTTCGAAAGATTACTCGATGGATGGATTTCTTGAGCATTCTCTGTCAAAATTCAATACGAGTGATCTTCAAAACGGAACGGAGCCTTTGCACGTGGCTGACAAAACAAATGTTGAAATCTGTTATTATGCCGATTATAGAGAACCACCAAACTCTCCGAATAAGTACCAATACACTCTTACATTCTGGTACATTCTGGCTGCAAGATTAGCTTTTGTTGTGATATTCGAGGTAAGCATTTTTCATGTATCCCTATAGAGATTTATTGTCATAGTTAAGTGATTCAATTATTAGTTTGGGATAAAAGCGTTTTTGATCGTATCACTCCCAAACCGCGTATTAGCCAGTAGACAATTAAGTTTTATTTTTTTAACTCTTCTCTTATTTCCAATTTAAAGTAGAGTAATGTAACATTAAATGATGTATGTATTATATTTTATAGAATATCGTAGGGGTTGTAATGATCTTTGTACGATGGTGCGTGCCGAGCATGAGTCCTCAACTTCGGGACCAAATTCGTCGTGAAGCATATATTACAAATGAAATAATAATACAACAAGAAACCCAACGTGCTTGTACTCGAACTGCTAACGGATTTTCTAATACCAAGAATCATGATTCAAACCATGGTATCTCCAATCGTTGGAATCGAGTAATCAGATCATCTTCATCTAATTCTCTGTAGTGAATTCCTGTTCAAATATTTATCCTTCATAAAGGAAGAAAATTACTTACAATATCTACAACCTAATCTATGAGACTATTTAACCTGACTGAATAATCATTATTCACATTAGTACGTATAATTAATAGAATTGAAGTCTAATAATTTGTCAACAACTTCAACAACAGTGACAAACAAGTACTTACTACTATTTTTTATTAAGACAAGAAATGGAGCATATTTTAAGAAATACCTCAGCAGCAAAGCTTGCTTTGCTTCGTTATGATATTCAAAATTTAAAAAAGTTAACATATTTCAAATTTTTAAGAAAGGATATACTGCCAATGGAGAGTCCTATATATTGTACTGTAATGTAATATGTAAGAAAACTTATAAGTTATACTGTTTTATTGATTGAACTTGACTAATACATAATATTTATGATACTTAATTATAGTCTGTAATCAGGGACAGTAGATTTATTAAATCGAACAGTGATATTTTTAATATTTTAAAAGTCTCTTGACAGACTTTTTGTCTGCGTTTCTAGAAACAGTAAATGTAACGATAATCTTTCCGTAACTATAACATCAAATGTGAAAAAATAATTCTGTTACTGTTTCGTGTTACTATATTAGTGAAGTGATAATATGAGTTAAGATAATGTCGTACTTTATCTTAAATATTTTATATTATAATTTCTTTATACGGAATGTATATTTTTCTTCGCTACTTTGATATCAATATCTGTCAAGCGTATAAATAAATCGTGATGATATTTTAAAAATAACCTGCATCCATTTTAAGCTCGGATATTCTGTCATGCTCACTCCTATAATAGCAAGTAATTTTATTTAAAGTATATACAACATAGTAATGAAAAGTATACTGAAAACAATTGCTGAAAGCGGTCGTTTGTTTTAGATATGCCTACTTCAGAACGTTGTGCATGTAATAAGTAATTAAGAGACATTTAATGAGTGTGTATATTTAACGTATTTTTCAAAGAGAAATTTCCGTAACTTATAATTAAACCCCAAGGTAATTTGTTTTTTATTTCTGTATATGAATCATATTGAGGGTGAAAATTGAATGATAAACGAGTCACTAGAAAAAGTCCCTCCAGATGGCAGCATCGACGCCGTAATGCAATCGCGTTCCTGCGTGACTCCATCCTCGCTTGTTCGACTCACATTTGACTTAAAACTTCGAAATTGTATTAGCTATGATAGTTACACGAAGAAATTCTATCCTGGAAAATTCGGTATGACAGCCTGATCGAGAAAGGTAGAAATACAGAAGAGATCTCGGCCAAACGATGGGAACCGTTCACGCGAAGGTATATCATTTTAAATCGAGAGGTATAACCTCATGCCTATTTTGGCACCAACGTGTCGCACCGTTCATAAGAATTTCCATTGACACGAAAGCTTTGATGTAGGTCTCCTAGCTTGCTTGTCATCAGCCCGAAAATGATTAATTATTTCTTGCAGATTTCTGTGAGTTTCATTCACATTAACTCTGAGACCTGTTCCAATGTTTCACTATAGGGTCAGTTAATTTGTATCAGGGATCTAGTAGGCTACAAAGTTATTAAAAATAAATGATTTCGAAGGATTTATTTTACAGTGTATGATAGAATGTGTGTATCTAAGGAAAATACTCCAAGATGTAATCGTACGTTTATTGGTTGTATTTCAGGTCCAATGAAGAAAAATTAATTAGATGTAAATATAAATTCAATAAGTCAATATAAAGTTACAGGGAGTACAATCTTAAATTAAGATGCCAAATTTGTTTTAAGTATGTGTTGAAATTAAAAAGTTGAGGTCACTAGAGAATGGGATGTAATATTCGGTGTAATATATTGTTGTTAATTTTGAACGTTGAGACATTAAAATATTTCTTTTTTTACCGGTAGGAGCCAGCTAGTATACCCAAAGATATCCGATCACCATTGGATGATTCGATAGCAAGAAAGAAGAATGATGGATTAAAAGACTCTGATCTAGTAAGTCATTAAATTTGGCCATATTTGTTATTTAATTATTAAGTACATTTCTGTTAAAGTTTAATATCTTGAACTAGTGACTATATCCTATTTGTTTAATTAGAGATTTTGTTTTAGTCATCTCATTTTAATAACTATCAGGATTCTGCCCTGATGGACCAACCTCCACCTAGAAGAACAAAAGCTATACATTTGCAAAAACTGAAGGTATTGTTTTCATATGAAGTTTGTACATATTCTAAATTTCATAGATATAACAAAGTTTTAGAATGTTATTACTTAGCAATCAAATATTGTACAGGCTCGAGTAGATAAAATTCACATAGATGGTTTAAGGAGAACGAAAGATGATATAATAGAAGCTCAAGTATCGGAATTATTCAAAGCCCACGATTTTCAAGATGTGATCATACGGGCGCATAAAGTTCAAGGAAAGCTAGAAGCTTTAGGATGCTTCACCGATGTCGGGGTTTTCATTGATACCAGTGAAGGACCGGGTGCCACACCAGATGGAGTGGAAGTACGTCGCTGCAACAAAAGTATTCTACTGTAAAGATTAAATTAACTTAATTTTACAGATACATAATAGTGCAATACAATTGATTCTGTTTAAATTTAGGTAACTTTTACAGTAAAGGAAATGAAGCGATTAATGGGTGGTGTAAACACTATGGTTGGTAATAATGAAGGATCCCTTATAATCGGTGCAAGGGCACCAAATATATTTGGACGGGGTGAAAGAGTGCAAATGGAGTATTCGTATGGAAGCAAAAGTTCTACTAACGTTAATATTTCAGTTGTGAAACCATTTGTCGACAGTTGGATACATAAAGTGTAAGTTTACTTCTTTATACTTGTAAAATATAAGTTTGCACTTCAGTTGTCATCTTGCAGATTTCTTGACTTGAATAAATCAGATTTTGCGAGGAATTCCTGTTGTAATAAAGATGTTTATGTATCTTATTACAGATTGACAGCAAGTATATTTAATAGTACAAGCGATTTTCCATGGTCTGGTTACAAGCTAACTGAAAACGGATTTTTATTGGACATGACTGTTAATTCAGAAGAACTGTCAGGTTCAAAACATAATTTCCAGTATGAAGCAGCTTATAGAGAAATTTCTGCTTACAAGCAAGCATCATTTAGAGTTCGGGAGCAGTGCGGTCCGAATTTAAAATCTGCCCTAAGACACATCTTATCGCTTGATAGAAGAGATGAATCCATATTTCCAACTGTTGGTTCTCTCTTGCAATTCACCACAGAAGTTGCTGGTCTTGGGGGAAATATTGGATTCGTAAAAAACGAACTCATTATGCAAAATAATTGGACGTTGTTCGATTACTTTGTAAGTACTGTACATTTAATATAAAAATTAATTGTTGGCATAAAATTTTCAGCTCTTAAATCTTAAATTTATAAGATTATATATTTACATATGGCATATTTGATCCAACCAGTGCATTCATTTTTATAATGTAATTGTTTTTATCTTTGAGTATAAAAGTTTGTTTAATGAATTTAAATGCAGTTGCCAATGATCCATCTATGTACAATATGCACGTATTATCAAACATTTTCTATCTTTCTCACAATTTTCAGACTATCCAACTCGGAGTACAATCAGGTTTACTACGTGGTATTAGCAATGATATGCAAATCAGTATTTCTGATCAGTTCTTTTTGGGGGGACCATTGAATCTTAGAGGCTTTGAGATGAGAGGCTGCGGTCCTCGACATGATGGAAATTCTTTGGGTGGAGATATCTACTGGGCAATGGCACTTCATCTCTACACTCCATTACCATTTAACAGAAATCATAATTCCTTCATGAACCTGTTCAGACTACACGGTTTCGTTAATGGCGGCAATTTAACAAATGCAGCTTTAAAATTTGGTCAGTAAGACTTAATGAATTATTGTTGTTAACAAAAGATGTTAGTCAAACGGTTTTAAATCTACTAATTCATTCACATTTCAGGCGGTGATTACAGGGAAAATTTCAAAATTTTTAGTGACAATGTTCGCTGTTCTGCTGGTGGAGGTCTTGTAATGAAGCTTGGCAATGTCGCAAGAGTCGAGTTAAACATAGTAATACCATTAATGTTCCTTAGAAGCGATCTACTTCAGCAGTTTCAATTTGGAATAGGTCTACAATATTTGTAGGTCTGAGCACAAAAAGAATTACAACAAAGCTGTTATTTGTTACTACTAATAGTAGTTGTACATTAATAATGTATAATAATTCAAGTGTGAACACCGTAAATACTGTGTAAACTGAACACGCCGAGCAAAGAATAGATTTGACTCTGTCACATTTCTAGTTCTGTTCAAACTATGTGCCTGTACAGCATTTCAAATAAAAAGAATTACTATTTCTTCATTTATACAGTATTTGCTACAGCAATGCCTATGGTATAATTTATTAAAACACTAGTATTTTAACGTTCTTAATGTATGTAGAGAGACTATAAGTTAAATGTATTGTATCAATTATTTTTTTCAATGTTTGAATAGTTACAAATAAACCATCTTAGTAAAGAAATAAATATTTGCATATGGACTAGATCTGTTAAGAACATATTTGTCTTTAATACCTATAAGTTAGGAGTCATTATTAAATATAAATCAGCTATTGTTATTTTTTAGTGTAAAGTATAATGTGTTTACGTGTTTTGGAATCGAATATAACTAATTTACTATGCTAAAAGCAAGTAATAAATTCTTAACATTTGAAATTAAAATACATTGCTGATTTAAATGTAACTATCGTTGTTAATCTTCCAATTCCTTTATTTTCGCACAACTAGATCCGATTGGCTATTTCCGATATATCTTGCGTAATAATTAAATTGAAAAGTGACCTGCAGTACAAAATTATTGAAAGGCATTTACATAAATCAGAAAACTCAGTAGAATTTCACGCGAAATACTGTACATATAAATTATTAAGATGAAATAAGTGAAAACTACGTATTCATATTATTAGTAACATGTGCGTTTAAAAAGTTCATTTCAATTTGTTCTATTTTAATTACCAAATGTAATCTAATAATTAGCTGCGTAAGCATGTAAAAGATTAGTTTTTAATTTGCCATGACGTCACGTTTTCCGTTAACGTATCTACCTTCCCGATAAAGACGTTTTCCTATTGGCTACTAACTAGGGAATAATGCGTCCAATGAGATGACGCCATTTTGTATTCGATTCCTTTAAGCCGGATTCAAAAGGAAAGCGACAAGTCACAACCAATGAGCGAAGCGAATTTTCTCGGTCCTTCTATCGCTTCAACAAATCCAATATTATAATTCGTTGCCGCTTGCTGCTTGTCTGTCTCGATCTGAATCAGGCCTTAGGCGGAAGTGAGAATTTCTGAATACAGTCTTCTAGTCTATTCTACCAGGTATGGATCGGCTTCAAGGTGCAGCCGTGAGATTCCCCAACAATAGTAATTAGGTAATGACTCATCTTTGTCCAAGAACCGTCTCATGAGAACTCGGCATTAGAATTTAATCGAAACCCAAATTCGGCCGTCTGATTGGTCAGCAGCAAGTGAAAAGGGTACGGAGAAGCACGCCGAGAATGTTGAAACGGACTACGCTAATCTTGTAACATTTTCATATCTCTTGGCAGTTGGACACGGATGAAATGTAATATCGCTCGATTGTAAAACTGTCAATGCAATTAATCCGTATACGAAGTCAGGCCGTGCGATACATGCCTTAGGCTTCGTACGACTTTACTAACCGAATAATACTTACCAAGAAGACTTACATAAAGGCCGATTTATACCGAATTACACAACGGTGCAGGAAAAAATCTCTGGTTTACTGTTACGTTAAGTTGATCATTTTATCAGAGCTGAACGATTATTATAAAGGGCAACGACCAGTGGGAAAGGCAAGACTTTGGAAAGTATTTCCTTAGACCTATTCCTGCGATTTTCTTCGAGAAACGAATATGAACGATGGCTAACATTGTGATAACCACATGGTTCCTTAAGTAAACTGTGCATTTTTCAACTGATATGAGAACAGTTCCTTCGAATGTGATTAATTAAGCGTGCAGTGTTTCCACGCCTGGCATAAGGAAGTGCCTAGCTTGGCAAATTTTTTGAAGAATGTAAGCAATACAATGTAGCTTTGCATGATGTCAATAGTTTCTTAGATTGCTTTACATTGCACAAGGCCGTAACAATTGTCTAAAGGCTTAGAACCATCCTTTTTACATTATTCTGTTAGTTAGTGACTTTATTTTCTAGATATGTCGTGTAGTTTTGTCTCTAAATTTGTGTATGTTTATCATTGGAAGTTAATGCATTTATTTGGTTAGGTTTTTTATTTATCAAGTGTAGAGTGTAGTATATTGGAGATTTTCTATATCAATGCATTTATTTTGTGAAGTTGTACTACTTCTTAATGTATATTTGTTGACATTACGATGAAAGGTATAATTCGTAATCATGTTGATGACTGATATTTTTAATGACTGTTGTCTTTTCTCGTGCATACGCTATGGCAGTTTTTTGATAGTATTTTAATTCCTGTGGAACTGAAAAGATTAATTGCAATTTCTGTGAATAAATATTTATCTACCAATAGCATAAGCAATTGAGTAAGCATGGGAATGCTAACATAATTTTCGTATTACAGTTTGTGATTTTATTTTAGAACATAGGAACAAAATGGCAGAACAACAGAATTCTCCTCCTGGATTTAAACGCATGTCCTTAGATAAGATTATCGAAGCAATGACTGCGGATTTAGAAAGCTCTACCGGTCACTATGTACAGTTTGGCGTACCGCCTCAACAAACATCACCTCGTAACTGGGGAGATTATTCTTCTGAACAAATGAGACAATACATGACCAACCAGCAAACCCACTCAAGCACACCTACTATGCAATCGATGAATCCAATGGCATCATCTTTATACATGCAGGACATGTCGACATACGACTCTACTCCAACAGATTCTGTTTATTTTCCACCACAACCTGTGAATCATTTAGGAATAAACGAAAACAATGACTTGATTGGAACTATCGATGTCGGAGGTGGCAATTATATTAATGTAATTTATGGGAATGCTTCGCAAATTATGGCAGAACAGTGTCAGCTCAACAGCTTAGCATCTTATTCTAATCGGGGCCTCATAGACCGACAATATGGTCTATTTAATGAACAGCAAGGGCCCACCTCTTCAAATTTTCCAACACAAAATTCAAATGGGAAGCAACTGATCGATAATCTTGTTGGAAATTGGGTACCAAATCAGTCAGGGACTTACAGTCCCTTTGGCGGTTCCCCAAACGTGACTCCTGTACCACAGACTAATTCAGAAATGAAGGAAATCGAAGAATTACCAAGAAGTATTCCTGATACTCATCAAAAGAAACCGAGGATGGTAGCAGAGGTTAAGCCCATGAGACCATCGTATTCTGATGTTTTGACAAAATCTGCACCTACACCTCCAGCGCCGTTAACTTTTCCCACTGTGAAACCGAAGGCTGAACTTACGACAAAAAAGGTTGCCAGTAAGAATTCTAAAAATAAAAGTAAGCCTGCCTTATTGAAAAGACAAAACTCATCCGGCAGCGATGATCACGGCTCACCTAAGTTACAAATTTTGAAGAAGACCTTGGAAAAGAATAATTCAAATCTTTCACGACGCTGGGTATCCCTAGATAATCTTGACACGCAAATCGAGTCCGATGAATTAGGCGTCTTTGATAGACCCGATCAATTTGAAGAGAAGAAGATATTTAAGATTCCGAAAAAGGTAGAGAAGAACGAGGCTTTGAATAATTCCAAGATCCCAAACAGTAATTCAAAGCCTACCGGGAATACTCAGAAACGTCCGATTCAGATAAATAATAACTTGAATACAATGAATAGTTTCAGTCAGACCGTATCACCCGATAAAATAGAAAAGAATCAACAGACTAATAACAAAGCCAGTAAGGAGGATAAAAAGATTGCAAAAGAGAAGAGTTTGAAGCGCTTCCAAGCGGAGAAGGCACAACAGATTAAAAAGGGACAAAGAAATCGTAAAAGAGAGAACCGAGAGTCACCTGTCAAGGATTTGTGTAAAAACCTGAATAAGTACATCAACCGGTGGAGCAAAATTGGTTTGAAGGTCTTTTTTTGGCTCTTGCATTTAATCTCTGATGTTGTTGGAATGAGCGCAAATCTTATTGTGCAACTGTACGTATTCCTTGTATACTTGATTAATATTTCATCTTTGTATATGGTGCGTACTTGTGCACCAAAGTCATAAATAATGGTTTTCGCTGTTCCAGAGGAAAGTGCATCTGGTATCATACAGTCCTTTACTTAAAATACTCTTGGATCTACCTAGTGGGAATGTTCTGTAAAATTCGGTTTTTAAGTGCAATCGGTAGACGACTGGATCGTTGGTTTGGAAACAGTAAATTTGCATTCTGGCACAGAATGAAGTCAAAAACCGACGAAAAAGAAAATACACATTGGATACACGGAAGCCTAGAAAGTAACATAGCATTGCCTAGCACTCGAGAAGAAGCCATGAAGAGACTACTTGCCTGTAAGGGGAAGGATCCGTACAGTATACTCGGTGTTACACCGACGTGTTCAGACGATGATATTAAAAAGTATTACAAAAAACAAGCATTTCTTGTGCACCCCGATAAGAATCATCAATCAGGGTCAGAGGAAGCATTTAAAATACTCGTACATGCCTTTGAAATCATTGGAGAACCTGTAAGTCCTAATTTTTTAAGACATTTCATTATTGACATGTAATAAAATTCGGTATGCATACTTAATAACTCATATTTAGTGGATTTTATATTGAAGAAAATCATTTATGCAAAAATTGGTGGAAGAAAGTATGATAGGAAGTAGCTGACATTGTTACTGTTTATATTTAATTATACTGGTACTTTCAGGAGCGAAGACAAGCATTCGATCAAACAAGACAGGTTGAAGCAGCTTGGGGAGAGCTTAGTGATTTATTATCTCAACTGCATAGAAATATGGAGCAAGCTGCAAACACCATTAGGTGCACAAATTGTGGTTTGAGACATAAACGAGTGCTAACGCAACGACCTTGCTATGCTGCTCGATTTTGTACTCAGTGTAAAATAAGGCATAGTGCAAAAGAGGTAACTTTTAAATATTGCTTCGTGTTAAACGTGTTTGAGGAAACGTCACTAAAAAATGGTTATTGTTACAGGGCGATATTTGGGCAGAATCTCGCGTAATGGGCTTTCTATGGCACTATTATGCTTGTATGGAAGGCGCAGTCTATGATGTAACAGATTGGGCCGCATGTCAAGCTGGTAACTTGAAACATCTTAGGGCAAATACTCATAGCGTCCAGTATAGAATCGTGTTGGGTCAACGACCACCCCCTCAGACTTCCACTACTGGTAAAAAACGTCAACCGACGAACTCCAACACAAGGTAAATATGTACTTGTCTAACAAATAACTTCCTGGATTAACATAATTTTTGTTTTAATTTTGTTCGCTAATAATAATTAAACAATATGTGTTGTGTCCAGCGAAGCAGATTTTGAGGACTTCTTGAACAATCTTTACAATCAGAGTAAGTCCGGTAACCCTGCTACATCGACAGATCAGAATTCCTTCAAGAATGACAGTCGACGACGCAAAGCTAAACGTAAGAAGTGAACGAAATTGTGTGGGGATTTTTTGATCTCTTAGTGATGCACCTTGTATGCTTATTGACTAATATACATGCTCTACTGCTGATCTTTATCCCTTCCTTTAGTGTATGTACAACGTTACCATTGTACAACAATAACGGGTGCCAAATTATTTCAATGATGTTGCACCTAATGAAATTGAAAAGAAATCTTTCTTTTTTTTTTTCGTTCTAAGCAGATGTGCGATATAATTAAAACTAGTATTCCACGAAGACTTAATGTGTATGCATAATGAATGTCAAGATACATATTTATTTGTCCATCAATTTTTTTACCAAATTTTTGTATCCGATAATGCGTGTGTCTTTCAAAACTGAAAAAAATGACAAATACAGTTAAAAGCATTATACCTAGTTCTTTAAGAATTAAATGGTAGGTAGAAGTACAGCTCATTTCTAGAATGAAATTTTAAGGTTACAATGAATCATAAGAAATGCTAGTGTTTATTTCCTTCAATGGTTTGTGTTTAAACACGTCAACTCCTTGTTTTAGAAGAATTGCTTAATGTGCTAATTATGTATGCATACACATACATAATGCGCATGTTGGAAAAATATGCAGAGTGATATAAAACATGTCACTGATAGTAATGCAAACTTTACTAACAGGTCTTGTTCAACTTATCGTTCCTCTTATAGTTTCAAGTGTGCAACTTTCTTCTTAATATAGTATTTATCAAATAATATATTACAGCAGCACTTTTACCGTCAAATCTATTGATTAATACATCTCTTGTGTAATTGAATTCACAAATTACGATTCAAATACTAAAATACTCACTGAATAAAAGTACATTGAATAAACAGATTTGTATGCAAATTTTTTGTCTCTATTGATATTAATAGATATTTACATGTCTTCTACAAATCACTTTATTCAAATTTGAACTGCAATTTGAATGTACTGGAAATGGAAGAAATTAATTGAGAAAATGCGAAATTGAATAATCATCTGAGATAGATTATTTTTATTTGAATGTCAACAAATTTGGGACATCAGATTTGCAATACAAATTATAAATAATAAGGATCTACCATGCGTCGTCAACATAAATGCTGTTGGTATAGTAATGATTCTCTTTACTTTTCTTACCTTGTACCGATAAGTGTAGTTTATAATTTGACAAGTACCTTGGAAAGTTTAAACAATTTGTAATAAAATATTGCTAACGTATCGGCGAACGTATCGACGAAACTGGAGCAATATTAAAATAACCTAGATGTTACAGAACGGATTAGAAATGTAAAAACAGTAAAACAATAAAGGCCTTATAAAAAACATTTTATTTACTTTCTTTTACCACCCTGTTAAAAATAAACATACGTATTACTCCAACGTTCCTTCCAAGAATACAAGGGCATCGATGTTCTCAATAGCGTTTTCTACATCTCGTTTTTGTACAGTTTTTTTCTTAGTCTGCGCTGTATATTTATAAGCTTCTTTCGCAAGTGAATCTATGAAGAGTTCCTAAAACAGAAATAGACTTGTGTTTTATTGTGAAGCACATGTAAGATTTCTGAAAACTAAAGTGATGGATGTAGCAAGTTGCATATGTCCCCTTTATAATAAAAAGAAACATCAGATAAACAAAAGACGAAATAGTAATAATTAACAAGAGGTTAACTTCAAGTTCCATTTGCCAATTTAAATTAAAGTATCACTTGCCGTTGACTTTGTTATTAAAAACACAGCCTCCTGATTTACTAAACTAACGTCAGGATCCATTTTAACAATTGTCTTTACTCTGCCAATTGGCAATTTAAGTAGTTTTTCTTTCTGCTCCTCATCGGCGTGAACTGTATTCTCAGCTTCTTCCTGAGAAATTTCTCCAGCATTACTGGCAGTACTATGATTCAAGTCATCATCAGTGTTACGTTCTTCTGTCAAATCTTCCATATTTAACATTTTTCATAACAATAAATATTTTCAAGTAATACAATTTCACAACTATAAGGTCTCATTTCGGAGCAGGTTCTCTACTTGTGAATATACATGTTCCACTGTTGAAGGTATCGTGATTAACGGAACATAATTAAAAATTGTTATATTTCGTGTTATAAATAATATAATGAATATTATCCTGAAACAGTCGGTATAAAATTTCGTAGGCAGTAGATACACCCGTTAGAGAACTTCGAGTACAGTTAAATACTTCTTAAACACTTTAAAGAGGACTCTGAGTTCGAAGGTTCGTTTGCGTAACAGAAGTTGCATATCTTCACTTAGCTAACCTATGACTTGGATACTACCGATGACAAGTCGCGTCATATTTTCGAGGTTAGCGGCTTTTTGCTGAATCATTTTTTGTTTGTTAATCTTAATCACTGTATTTCCTGTATTCAATTGAGGTTCTCAAACAGAATATATTACAGATATGAGCCGACTTTTTCAATTAAAAAATTACTGTAAAGAATTCCATCAATTATTCATACCAAAATATTGTTTTTTACTCCAGTACTCGCCAGAAAATCCTTGCAATGATCACTAATAGAATTTAAACGCAACATTATTGTAGATATTTATTAATTTCTGTGTACATAACCTTGGTCGGGTGTTTAATAACTTCATTGATTTCAAATGGCTTAAAAACGATATCTGTTAATCCGTTATTTTGAGCTAAATACAAATGTTTACTTCTAGAAAAAATTAAAGAATGGTAAATGAGGAAGTGGTGGAGACCAATAAAAAACCTCAACCTATATTTAAGAATCCCACGTTTCATAAAAAATTTCGCCCTATAAGCAGTTCTGGGAAAAAAAGAACATGGCGTTCCCTCAAGCAAGTACTAGCACAGGAACGTACTCTACCTTGGCCTCCTGAAGTAATTCACTGTAAGATTGTTTAAAAAAAGAACTTAACTTTTACTTATAATATAAAAACAGATGGAACTTTTATTACAAAATCAAATACTTACCATTTACAATTATCAGACAGCTCCATCAATGCTCCACCTAGCTTCAAACCAGCAAAGAAGTATTCTGACATTTCTGGATTACCAGTAAATATTTGAATTCATTTAACACTTAAAATTTTTTTTCGATTTGTTACATAAATTTCACATGTACAAAGAGATATTTTACATTTCTAGGCAAGGTACACGGATCCACAGAGTAAGTTATATTATGCCACGGCAGAGGAATTTGCCACAGTTCGCAGCTTACCGATGGACATAACCGCAGGATATTTAGCATTAAGAGGTGCCTCTAGTATTGTCGGTTAGTTTTGTAATTGTTGTAACTATCATGTATTCGATGTTGAAATAACACAATATTGACAAATGCAGTCTAATTTTCTTATAAATTTATATTTGCTTGCCATGCAGCCTTTGTTTCTGAAAACAAAGCTCACCTTCAGGGAACACAGGCTGGTTAAGTAATATAACAGAGTTACTTGGGAAACTTGACAGATTTCATATATTCTTAAAGGTATATTTGAACGTAAGTTCGTGCAACTTGATACTACATACGGACTTAGTTTGTTTCTGGGTTGTTCCCATATTAAACAAGTTCTCAAAGCGCTTTTGGTATTTTCTCATTACTTTATCTTATTATTTTACACGTTTAATCAATTCATCATTAAAAAAGCTTGTCCATTATAACTTAGTTTATGAACTAACGACTAAAGGGGATCGTTTGGAAATCTTCAAAGTTGCATTACTGTTTATCTGTTTGTCCTCTGGTGTTTGCTAGTCGATGGACAGTCTTTAGCGCACTTCATCTGTTAAATTGCTAGTTACGTCATCAGCCATTGCAAACTTGCAAACATGCTTCGCAATTCAAAATACAAGTAGCACTGGCTTAACGTAAGATAGCGATTTCGTGCGCCAACGATAAGTTGCGATTCATTTTGAGAGGAGTAAAATGATTTAGAGTCAAAGACACCTCACTCCAGGTCAGGCAGATCCTCGTCATCACTATCTGGACCATCGGCGTCGTCTCCGACATCGTCTAGATCATCAAAGTTTGGTTTTCTGTCTCCGGATCCACCAAGGCCACCCATTTGTCTCATCATCTAAAAACAATTATGATGTACTGTTTAATAAAATATTTTGTCATAAATAAGTTTAAGAATCTGTTTAAAAATGTTAAGTATTGGTTCCATATTTTTCATCAGTTAGTGGAGAAAAGAAAAAAACAATAAATAAAACTGGAGCTGGAGTTTATTATTCTAACTTCTACCACATTTCTTGATTAATTACAGTCTGTAACAAGAACATAAAAATGTACTTTTTCAATTCCATTTTGACTAAATATTTCACACGCTACGTAATTCAAATGAAATATCTTGTTACCTCTTCAAAGTCACGGCCTTCAGAATAAGGGACGTCGTCACTGTCATCTTCGTCCTTCCACTTGTTGAAATCACTCTTCAGCCAATGGAACTTCTTACTTTCCTTAGTAAGTCGTGGCCAGTAAGGACCCTCTTCCTTTTTAGTTAATACTAATTCAATGTTTCGTCCCTTTGGACTCTGAATTGTCTTTTCTGGATCAACCTCTTTGTACAGATTAATTGTAACTTCATGCAATTTACGTTCGGTACCACCAATACCTTTAAAGTATATCTTTTCCGGTTCCACCTTAATCGTAGGATCTTTACAATCTTCTAAGCAAATTGTAACAAACAAAATACTGTTCCTTTGTGCCCACATCACGGGTGGGGGATGTAACCTAAAAAAAGTAAGTGAATACATAACTTTGAAATATGTATTTCTATTTTTTTTTGCAATAATGTATGCATAAGGTCCAAAGTCAATCTTCAGTTATAAAACTTACAGGCGAATTAGGTCAGTTCGTGGTCAATCAATCAAGTGACGTAAAAGAAAGAGAATCGACTTGAAACAATTATAACGAACTGCCAGGAAGCAAGTTTAAATCATAAATCTGTATCAGTCTCGTTAGATTATAAGCGTGGATTGAAAAGTTTATAATCTGAATCGTACACATTTTATATTACGTCTAGACTAAATTTTTCAATCCACTCTCGTACTTTACTTCAATTCAAGCAAACGTCGTTTATATCAGTCCTCTTTTTATTACAATTTTAAAGGTACTACAATTCATCCGATGTTTTCGAAGAAAATCTTAAAGTGGATGTAACTGGAATTGCTGCGAAAGAAAGATAATTTGAAAAAAGATAGTCAATTCATGCGCGCGCAACAACTAAGCACGCTTTTCATGATTTGTAAAGCACCAACGACCATTGACCCCGCATAGAACAGTTCTAAATCCCGTTTGAAATATAACCTATGCAGCAAACATTATCATTGGATGAATGTTAAAATACATTAGCAGTCCAGAAGCGTAATTGAAGGTTAGAAAGAAATGTTTAAGCAATGCGAAAACAGCGAGTCATTACGGACGGAAGTAAAACCATGCCGCAGAAATGAAAGGCGCATAAAATTGTTATTTAATTTATACAGTTCTACTGACAAATCGATCGCAATCAGACTTTGGTCGACACCAAATCGAACGCGATAAACCAGACAAAGGAAGCCTAAGGAGTATCATAAGAAACAAGAGCACAGTTATCACGTTACGGCGTGATCGATCACGCTAACGCGGTCGTCCGACCACGAGTCTCGGCTCAATGAAATCACGAAAATTAGACATTCGCAGGATAAAAGAATACAGAAATCATGCTTGGCCGCCCAGTTTCGTTAAAACCATGTTGGTGCGATGGGATTTTCGGCAGATTTTCTAGAAAGTTCGGCTAAATCAATAAAACCATTTTGCAAAATGGCGGAGTTCGAAAGCCACGGAGTGGCACAAGATTCTTCGCTCGGATGCGAATGGTAATTTCCAGCATATTTAAGCAACAACGAGTTTCACGGGTTCGCGTGGAAATTACAGATCGAGTTTATGTGAATTTTTTGGCACTTACTGGCCTTCCTGGGTCATTCTTCGGCTGCTTCGATTCACGAGACGGAAACAAACACACCGCTCTTACGTACTGCTTACGTACCGCGCCGCACCGCGATTCGAGAATGTTTCGAGATCGTAGTATCGATTAAACAAGACTCGCCGACCAATCAGGCCGCGCCTCGACTCCACTCTTCCGGGAGGGAATTTCAAATTGCGAACGGATGGATATGAATTCAAAAAGCGTCACGAGTGTCTACTACGAAGAAGCAAACGCGAGAATAATTATTTTAGTCACACTTAACTCAATTTCAGTGAATGACACTATTTTTACTTAAAATTCATACATTTCGTTTAACTTGAATTTCAACAGAAACAGTTTTTTTCAGACGTGGAGGGTCACGTGATGAACGCATAGCTGTGGCGTCTCGCGTAAACGCTTCTATTCGCTAAACGTATGTTAGGCATCTACAAAGTTACACAATTTACGGAAGGTGGGCGGTTGTTTCAAAAGAACTTACGTTGCCAGGTTTTGGTAATAAATATTAGTCATTTATTTTTTGGAGTTCACCGCGAGAGAAGCAAAGCTTAAATTCAATTTCTTATGTCGTTGTTACGAATAAAGTTCGTTAAGTTTCCCGTGTCTTTTCTTGTCCCTCAAGTTCATTTTAAATAGAACTAATGTTGTCATGGTGGCGACGTCTAGCGGCGAAAATGGAATCATTATTGGACAAATTTTAGAGTACGCGCCCAAAAAGTGATGAAGTATCTGTGGTGCTATCTGTAGGCTGAACTTTGCCGGCCCGCGCGCCCAGTAAAAAACTGGTCTTCTATGTAACGTCTTATTCTTTGACATAATATATAACCTAGCACTATTATCTTCATCTTTATCTTTGCCGAGGGAAACTTTGGCCGAGGCAGGCCGCAGCAAGGGTCGCATCAAGCGGCGTTATCTGCCGGGCGAATCTTTCGCTATCTCTTGCCGGCTTGCCCACGGAGGAAATTTCGTAACCTAAGAAAACGGTGGCCCTTTACAGAGAAATTGTCGTTCTGATTTGAGTAATTTAACCCGGTCTAAAGAAACCCATAAGTTGTAAAATGGATGACGAAACGGAGCAAGAAGGTTTAATTGAAGAGGACTTCTACACGTTTTTAAATGTTTCTAGAGACGTAAGGAACGCGACATCCGCTTATTTCCTTCGATACTAATTTTTAGGTCTTGAATATTACGTGTGGCGGTTTCTTTCATGTACACGCATTGAGATTCTTTTCACTGATTTCCTTTGAAATGAATCCTGTTATTGACTGTTAGAAAAATATATTTGGTACAATGAACTTAATTGCTTTAACTTATACATGTAGTTCTTTCAATTATAATTATATTAACTTTCCTTGAGAAATAATTTCCATGCCATGTAAATACGTGTAACAATTATTTATAAATCGGTGCTGAAGCTGAATAATTAATGATTATTAAATGTGATCTTATATGTACTTGCAAATGTTTCTAGGCGACTCCTGAGGAAATTAATAATGCTTATCGCAAACTTAGCAGAATTTATCATCCTGATAAACATACAAATCCTGATTTGAAGAAAGATGCAGAAGTTTTATTTAATCGCACTAAGAAAGCATATGAAGGTTGGTTCATAATTTTTAATTAATGTTCACTAAGGGATTATTAATAAAATCCTATGAACAAAATTACTGGGATATAAACATCAATAATTTTGAATCGATTTTTAAAATTAGTTTTAAGTGATCCGCATCAAAGGGCAATCTATGATACTGTGGGAATGAAAGGGTTGGAAACGGAAGGATGGGAAATTGTACAGCGTACAAAGACACCGCAGGAGATTCGAGAGGAGTACGAACAGCTAGCAATGGAAAGACAAGAAAGAAGGTTACAACAACGTACTAATCCCAAAGGAACTATCACAGTTAACGTCAATGCAACAGACTTGTTTGCACGATATGATGAGGACTATGAAGCACCGTGTGTATCTATGTTCTTTTTTAATGTTTAGTTTTATTACACAGACCATTAAAAAGTATTTGTCTCCCCTTAGAGATGGATTGTTTTCTTCCATCGAAGTCAGTGGTTTATCGATTTCACAATCTATCGAGGCACCTTTAACCTTGAAAGACACGATAACAATGTCTGGCCAATTGGGTATACAGAATGGTAATGGTTCAGGAACTGTTAATCTTTCTGCCAGACGATTAATATCGTCAAAGGGCTCCATTGAATTTGATGTCGGCGTTGGTAATGGACCAACATTCTCTGTAAAAGGGTTCCGAACCATTACAAAAAATTTATTCTGTAACGGTGCAGTAGTTCTACATTTTAAGAACGAGGATTGGCCTAATATTGTAGGAAGTGAGTGTAACAATTTGTGAAAGTTTTAAAAGTCTTGTTGTGCTGTCTTAATACTGCATAGAGTACTATGATGTAAAATGACAATGAATATAAATTTTATAGCCCTGGCACAGAGATTGGACAAACATACAATAGGATACCTTACATACAGAGGAGGAGGACAAAATGCGATGAGTACAATGGTTGTGAGAAACACTAATCAGTCGTGCACTACCTTTTCCCTTGAACTAGGTCTTGTACATTCATATGTCAGTCTTAGTTACACCTACAAAATGGAAGAGAAGGAACTCAAATTACGAGGATGTGTAAAGTTAGTACTGTCGGATTTCTGTTTAACAGAAATTATTTTTTAATAATATTAATCTAATGGCAGTGTTAACTTGTACTATAATTTATTAAATGATTCTTGTGAATGTATGATCCACAGGGCAGGTTCTTTTGGAGCTTTTATTGAATATGGTGCTCAAAAGAAAGTTTCTCAACACAGTTCAATATCCGCAGCTGTGCGTGTTGGGGTTCCAACTGGAGTTACTTTAAGGATTAAATTAATTCGAGCATCCCAAATCTACAGTTTCCCAATTCATCTGTGCGAAGAAGTTCTTATCGCTCCCGTTTTTTATGCAACCGTTGTTCCTTTATTCACGTGGACGATTATAAAAAAATTCGTCATTGACCCAGCTGTAAAGGAACAGGAGGAAAAGAAAAAGAAGAAACAGAGGGAAGTGAATAAAACGAGAATGATGGAGAAACAAAGGGATGCTAAGGCAGCCGTCAGTCTCATGAGAGCAACCTTTAGTAGAAATAGATCCGAGGAAGAATCTAAAGGAGGATTGGTCATCACTAAAGCGTTATATGGAAGAGTCGTTTATCCTCAAGATCGATCTGCAGGTGACGATGCTTCTACTGGACACAGAGACGAAGTGATAGATGTGACAGTACCATTACAGTGCCTCGTAAAAGATTCAAAATTAATTCTTCATAATGCCTCAAAAGTAAATAATTTCTTCTAACTATGTTTTAATAGCACTTGGCTTAATTATATAAATTTTTAAAAATTAAATTATTATTCCACAGAGCCAATTACCAGGATTCTATGATCCATGCGTCGGAGAGGATAAGCAGTTGTTTGTACAGTACCTCTTTCATGGTCAGACGCACGAATGTATCATAAAGGATGACGAACGTCTTAGGATACCAATGGAGTGTAGGTTTATCTAATTATAATCATTATATCGTAATCGCTTGCCTTTAAATTAAAACATCATTAAATGTGTTGTAATATTTTACAGCTCATCGAGTGAATACTACATGACGCAGACGGCCATTACGCAGAACCAAACAGTGATTGTGGTCTACATTAACTATTTACGATTATTTCCTACACTAGTTCAGTATCAAAGCTTGAGTTATGTACATATTGTATTGAAAAACGTTGAATGTTCATCAGTTGATTCAAACTTGTACGGGAACACTTCCCGTTCAGGTGATAGATCGTTGTACGTATGTTATACATACATACATTCTCAGCAAGAGCCTTGTTACTTATTTTGAAATAATTCAACACTTAACAGGCTCTACTATGAGTGAAGCTATTAAAGCGAAGTGTGTTCATCATGTTTGTTTCAATATTTATGGACAGCAATGAGCTAAAAAGTAATTAGCAATTTAAAAAAACGTACGTGGTACTCTACACTAATCCTTTTATTCCCAAATTCTTTCAAGTTCTTCAGTAAATATGGCAATGACCCGATCAGACGAAGTTACTTCAATTCGTTATTAACAAATCTAGTCGCAGAATAATGCTTATTAGATACACTCAAAGGCAAATTGCAGATACTGAATTTATTTAGATTGTAAGACTAGATTAAAAATATATTTAACTGTTAAAAAATAGTTTTTGGCATATATCCAGATTGTTATATTTTTTGCAATGATGAACTCATAGTATGTTGATTGTAGTTAAATTATGTAACATTTTAGTATTCAGGCTTATTGCTGACGGTAAAATGAAAACGTAGTGTTTAACTCCAACATTAAAATATATCTTTCAAAAATTATTTAATTCTTAACTTATCCTTCTTAATTACATTTAGAAACTGATTACTTTTAATGTTGCTTGATTACAGGTATTACCACATAAAAATTAATACAATTATCAATGTACAGATTTATTTACATATCATATTAATTGCTGACGTGTCATTTGATTTAAGAAGTTTGTCAAACATAGACTGTTCATCGTCCTTGTTCTTAATATTATTTAACGGAGTCCAGGAATGGTCATGTTCTAATCTGAAAGAGCCCTTATAAACTTGTGACGTAACAAAGTTGCCCCATTCCTACAACAAAAAAGTATTCTTGTAAATGCTAAATACAAGGTATACCAAATTATTAAGTAATATGTTACTTACCTCTGGACTTAGCATGGAGAAGTATAATGACCCAGATCTTTTCTGGTACAAGTGGTAGATATGACCTGGATGTTTTATGAAGTTACAAGCAGCATGATGTAATATTGTATTGACTTTCACTTCGGATAAGATGTCATGAGCTTGTTTGTGTAGGAATCTCATTTGCTCTGCTATGACACTTAGCTTATTACATGCATTTGCTTTGATACAATTATCAGCCTATATGTAATATGTTTATTTCATTTTTTCGATAGTAGTTTATTATCAATATATATAATAAAGTGTTTAAAGAATATTTTGCTTTCGTTGATATAGATTATACTTACTTTTTGTATTTCCATTGCCAACTGAAGCAAATCATTTGAATTATTCTTGTTAATTGAAATTGTATTTATTGATGTTATCTCTTGTATAGGTCTGTCATGCATGAAACAAGATACTGCAAAAAAAGAAACATATTTTAATAAAAATAAGATCTGCATCTATTACGATATCATTAGTAAAAAGTATATTTCTATAAATATATTGTTCCATATTTTTGGAAGAACAAGATTATGTGTATGGAAATAAGTTTGTATTGCCACAGCTATTCTAAATAAACTGCAAGTCAAATCAATAGTTTTAAACAATACATTATTACCTTTATTAGGAACATTGTCAATTGAATCCTCCATAATACACGCACGTTTCATTTACAGGAACTATAATAAAAAGTATTGTCCACAGAGCCCTTGTATCTGGTTTCTTAGTTAAGCAGATTTTGTATGTCTGAAAATTAATGAATTCATCATAAAATTACACAACACATAGTTCCTAGTATTTACTAACTTAATAACAATGATGTTATCTGATCGGAAGGTTACAAACAATGTTACAAGTATCTCTTTGTGTGCCTGGATTAGTTATACTACCGTAAAAAGTGAATGTATATACTCTCTGAGTTATTCTAATAATCAAAAACCAATTGTGCATTATTTTACAGGAAAGTGGAGACGTTTGCAATAAATCATACGACGTATAACGTTGCGAATCAATATAACTAACCCCCAAAGTGAATCCAATTCATTGATTGTTAATTCATTCAGGCATTCAAGAATAGTACAAATAACACGAGCATCGTAAAGAATTTAAAACGCATTCATGTATTTTTGAAAATAAAGTATAAATAAATTATACAGAGAGAAAGTATAATAACTGATTAATATCGAGCGAGTGAATTTAGGTTATGTACACCCGGAAAGAAGTAGACTGTGAATTGATTTTCTAGCTTAACTTCTACGACAGATATTTACGTCAGAATGTAAATAGTTTGTATAAACGAAAAGGTAATTTGAAACATAACAAAAAAGTCCGTTTCTGCCGTCATAAGATTAAATGAATGTACGTAAATACATACGTATTTTTAGAATGTGTATGTATGTACATACATCAAATGTGTATCAAGTTCTGCTCAAGTTCAATGGAAACTCTCCTTGTTTTCCGATTTATGTATCCTTATGAGTCACAACAAATTCAAAATACATGGAATGAATGAAGTCGAGGATTTTGAGATTATGCAAATCTGTTAGCGGTGGGTTAAATCAAGTTTTTTAGATATGAATTGATTTATGTATTATGAGATTGGGCGCTACCAATTAATGAATCTACGAGCGAAGTGAGGTTATGGAGGATTAACGTAACGTAAATATAAAGTATTTACAATCTACTGTGAGAATAAAAAAGGGTAAAGAAATGACTTTATTTCATTTCTCTTTTATCAGCCAACCTAACATGTGATGTGTATACGTACATACGACAAGTTTTCTAACCTCTCTGAATGAAGTTTGTTTAAATTCTGTATGTTTGCTTTATTCACTTTTGTGTATCTTTACGAATCGTAAATTATTGAATGTGTTTAGAGATAATATAATAAACTGCGAAAGGCGGTATGCATATACTTACAGACACATAATCAATGAATGTACAAAGTTAGGTTATGTATAATTTCATAATTATAATTTTGTCCAAATTAATTGCAGATAACAGCTGAATTGTATAAAACTGTGATGCTAATATACTGTGTTAATCAAGTATAATGTGGCGAGAGAACTGCTTGGGTTGTCACAGAATTTCAAATGGAGAACGACGCTATTAAAGAATTTTCACATTATCGGTAACTGAACTTGCCATATGAAAATTCAAAAAACTCTTCAGGGATGGATTATATAAAGACTGTTGAGGATGCGGTAACTAGATTCTACGCAGTAGGAGCACATGAGGCTCATTCGTGGTTATTACAGTTTCAATTTTCTCGAGAAGCTTGGAGCTTTATATGGCAACTACTAGATCCTTCTAAGGTATAAACATAAAAATATACAGTCTGTACAGATTGTATAATTTCTATTTCATTATCGAAAATCTTGTTAAATACTTAACGGTAGTTGTGAAAATAAATATTTTGGTTTGGTAGAACCTTTTGTTCTTATTTTAAGTAATTTCAGCATAGCAATTGCTAATTCATTAAATGTGTTATAACTGTTACAGACACGAGAAGTACAGTTTTTTGCAGCTAATACTTTATATGAAAAAATATCAAAGCAATGGGATGAAGTCCCTAAAGAGGAATATTTAACCTTACGGAATCGTCTGCTTGTGTACATGAGGCAGTCTAACGTTCCCAAACTGGTCCTGTCAAGATTATGTCAAGCGGTAAATGAAGTTGATTTCTGTATTTAGTAGCAGTTGTTTTGAAGTTGTTTAAATTCAGAAAAATCCTAATTTAAAAAAGCAAATTCTGTAATGAAGTTGATAAATCTATTAGGTGCATGAAAATTGAGCAATTATTCAAATTAAAAGAAAGGAACATTTTTCAGTTAGCCGTCTTCTTAACCAATAGTCATTCTACAGAAAATGAGGAAAAAGAGAAGACTTTAGTGGAAGAACTTGTAGAAATATTACCTTATGATTCTCCATCGACATTGGACTTACTCCTTCGAGTACTTTCAGCTCTTCCCGAAGAAGTAAGTGATATTTCATACATTTTGCATTCTTAAACTTTGATCCGGTATTATTTTACTAGTTTGGTAAAAGACAAGGGGTGAGGCGAACTAGACTCCGAGAAGGTTTAGTTGAATCTTGGTGCAAAACCACATGGATTCTACAACAAGTATTTTCGACCTGTGATCGTCCTAGTTCTGAAGGTAGCAATAGTACATTGTATCTCTTGGGAATAGAATGTGCATTTTCGTGGTTGAAAATGGGACAATTACCTCTCGAAACAACCGGACGTATTTTTCCTCATTTGCTCGAAGCTGCAAGTTGCTACGCACCGAACAGGTACACCTTGCTGATTACTTTTATCCTTCCAAGAAATAGAATTCTAAAGCTGTATCACTTTTAACAAAGAACGGTATCAAACGAAGAAAGTCACAGAGGCTGGGAAATTGTACAAGAATGCCTGATTCTGGTGGTAACGCATGCCGAACTCCAGAAGAGGCCTCAGTTATTATGGGAATGGTCACGAGGTTTAGTCTGCACTGCTCGTCAGAATGGAGGGAGGCACTTTTGCGAAATTTTAACGGCACTTGGTGAAGCACATAGTCGTGCCTTCCTTTTGGCATTGATTGAAGAACACGCCGAAGAACAAAAGTGGACATCGGAAGGCTTGATCGAGTTACTGTTACAGTGTTCCGAACAAGAGGGAAGGTATCCGATAGACGAGAAAAGTAGTTGCATACCTTTTGGATTTTGGTATGCATTACAAGACGACCTCACAACATTAGATCCTCCATTTGAAAGCAGGGCTTCATTTGCTTTACGACCCATTTACGGTCGCCTAGCACAGGCTCTGTTACGAAAAGCAGCATTACCAAAATCATCCAGAGAAAGTGGCGACAGCCAAGAGCGAGAATTGTTAAGGTGTTATAGACAAGATGCTGCAGACACTCTTACGTACTGCTACAATGTCCTAGGACAAGATTTACTATTACTTCTAGGACAGAGATTGAGTCAATTGAACGACGACTCGCAAAACTGGACCGACGTCGAATCCACTTTACATGCCTTCAGCGCATTATGCGAGAGCATTAGAACCCAGGAAAATCATTACGTTGCCGCATTAATGGACTTGGTCTTATCACATATTCCTTATGGCGAATATCCTAGAGAAGTAAATATAAGGGAGAAACATAACTTCTCTCGTACACTGGAATTGACTACTGAATTAAAGTAAGAGCACTTCTTCCACTCCAGTATTATCGTTTGCTTTCAAATTTTCTAGGTTTTATCTTGTGCCTGCTCTGCGATGGGATCTTATGCAGAATGGATAGGAGCTCATCCCGATCCATGGTTGGAAAGAGCCTTGCAATTGGTGACGTTAGGTCTCACGCAGGGTCCCTTTACTGCTCCTGCAGCTAGCATGGCTCTTAAAGATATTGCAAGAGAATGCGGTCCATATCTTGCCCCACTGGCTCCTTCGATTTTGAATACGATCGGACGCACTCTTCAAACGGTAACTCCTGGTGGCGGAGAAGGACTTCGATTGATGTACGCAGCAGGAAAATTATTAAATTCCTTGCCATCGACCGAAGAACAGTTACGACATTTGGACGCTACCCTGGGTCCTTGTGTGATGCGTCTTCGAGAACTCTTGCAACATCCTGCGTTATCTGCAAGTGCATCGGTGATCAATCAGTTGATGATGGCAGCGATGCTGTTTTCCACTCTAGATGGTTCCATTGGGAAAACAGTGCTAGATGGATTGTTGCCGCTCTTCGAGCAGATAGTTTCTCATCCAGAATGGGGAAGAGATGATGCTACCTTGAATGCGATGCATACTTGTGCGCAGCGTTCTTTGGCGTCTCTCCTCCATCCAGAAACGGATGCACGTCCATTACTTTCTATGCTATCAACGTCGTACAGGATACGACCTCACCCTGCAGCATTGAATCTGCTTCGGCAGCTGGTGATACTCTTCGGAAGAGATCCTGAAAACGTTGTGGGTCCTATATTTGCTGAACTGAGTGGATTGACCTTGGGGGGAGTAGCTGCTTGTCGATCGGTGGGTGGCAATATGTCAGATCTCTCCGAGCTTCTCGAGGCGTATCTTTGTCTGCTTGCGCAAGTCTGCAAAAAGAGTGCTCGGATCCTCTCTCAAGTGCCGGACCAGATTCCAGAGATGTTGCACTGTGGTATGTCGTGAATATGTAATCACCAGTGATTAGAGTGTTAAAAGTGTCCTGGGATTATTAGTTAGCAATATCGTGTTCCAGGAATCGACTGCCTCAGCCTTCCGGAGACAGGAACTGCCAGGGCTGCTGGTAGTTTCTTGACTCATGCCATTATGCATAGTCCTCATCTCCAAACGTACATTAATCCCATCGGTCAAGAACTTGTCTGCGTAATCCTGCAATGCGTGGGTATGATAATGTTTATAATGTACAGAATAATTCAAGAGAAAAGTAATTGTACTTGTTAGGTTAATGTTACGCGAAAACGAGGAAAGGTTATATTCTCACTTAACGAATTTTTTTGTATTATGCGTTCCTTTCTTTTCGAATATAATTCTCGCCTTACGAGTTCTCAATTTTTGAACGGCCGCCAGGAAACAAATAATTCGTAAAGGAAGGAACTACTTGTGAAAAGTTAGAAGTTAGATTTGTGTAGTTTGATTATGTCGCCCATCAAAGACGCATGTAGCAAGCGTATAGATGAAATATTAGTGAAAGTCTTTTAGAAATACTAAAACAGTTAAATGTTTTTTGATAGGAGGCAAGGTGCCACGGAACAGTTTGGAACCTCATGCCGAAGTTTTACTGGCATTGAACAAAACTTGCTTGGAATGGACTGCCCAATGGCTTCGGCGAGCTTTGGCTGAAGGAATCGCAGTAACTGATGCTCAGAAAGAGACCTTCACGCGTAACATCTTACGAGAACGAATCAACAAGCAACAGCTCTCCGAGACGCTGAAGGACTTCAGTTTATTGTGCCGACAGCCAATGATAGGACTGTGATATAGCACTAGGTATTAGCGATTAAGAGATGAACTTCCAAAGGTATAAAGCCATGATAACTGTAAGAACATATTCCTACGATAAGTTACGATATGTCAATAAATTAGCACGGCATCTCACATTGTTTCCAAGAGAAACTAGCCGTAGTGAAACGGAAGAAAATGAAAAGTGAGCTTTTATAAGAGATTACCTTGCGTAATGATTTATTGTTTTCCAGGAGACGTACATGGTAAATACTCACAATTACATCACGGTAGTGACATCGGGCCTTGTACTCTGTAGTATGTCCTCGTAAAAAGAAATGGCCACTTTAAACAACGGAAACGCCGTAACGTTACGAACGCTCTTTAGAAAGGATCAAATGAAATGAAATAAACGTGTGAGGTGCGGAGCATGTACGAAGTCGAGAAGGGAAATTGGCATTCTAATCGACAGATTATCACTTCTTCGACGCGTGCTCGCACGGAAGTCGCGTCATAGAGCAGCATTTTTGTACTGTTCGCTCGCGTGGTCCCGACATAAATCGGAGGGGATTCCATAGACTTCAGGAATATACAGTTCGAACGGCGAAATTCGTGGATTTATCCGCGACAATAGTCAAAGTAACGACCTAAACGCATTCACGTCGTGCTTTACGAGCCACCGGTAAAACGAGCGGCGAAACGGTTACGTGTATAATGCGGTGTAAAATTAATGAAAAATCGCCGCAAAAATTAATCGATTGCTTGGTTCTCTTATACGCTTCGTCGTCGCGAGTCGAAGCAATGAACGTCTCCTTTAAAAATTACAGTAACGTTATCGGGGAACGACGACTGTTTGGCTGTGTTCCAGCGCACGTGTTCACGACCGATCATGGGACCTTGTCCATTCATAGATTACGCGTATTATCGTACTCTTAGAGGGTTAAAAGAGTCTTCACAAAGTTTCGTCGGTCCTTACTAGAATGCGTGAAAATCGCGTTTGCGGTAGTTAAATATATTTCCAATAAATCTATGGAGGAATCGTAGACCCAGTCGTCCTTACTGCTGTTCACCGCCGTTGGGCGAGGGCGACGAACCGAAATTGGCAGCGATTCTGGACTTCCGTTGCCTTTCCATCCGGGACGTTTGTCGATTGTGTTGAGGCTGAGAAGAACTTATTTGCGTCGCCGGTTCCTTAGTCGCGATATCACTGGCTTCCTGCAAAAAGGTGTACATGTTCTCGATAACATCTGGCTATGACATACAGAGGTTAGCACTAAACCAGCATATCAAATAAAATTAAACCTTTTCCATGATTTCCATGATTTGCAAAAGGGTGAATTTGAATTTGGAAAATTTTAACTTGGAGTGTGAAATCTGTATCGCGTAAAAGGACACAGGAAGATCCGTGAAGAGAACGTTGCAATTTGAGCATTGTCTTTGTCAAAGGACGTCTGGTCACCTTGATATTGAAAGTGAGATAACGAACCTGCGCAGAGACTTTCTTGGGCGGATCCGAGGTCGCTTTACGGTGCTCGGCGTGCACGTTTTGACCCTTTCCGTTCTTACTTTGATCTCTAGCCTCCTTAGACGCCGGTTGTGAAGTACTTCTGTTTTTCTTTTGTGCTTGCAACGGCACGAAGGACGTGTTCTTGACCGGAGGAGTGTTGCTTTCCGTTTTCCAATTCGTAGAAGTGTTCTGTACAGGTGAATAATGCCTTTGTTGCATTCTGGGCTGCGACATCATAGGTGGGAATCCTTGAGCCTGTTGATTCTTTGCGTTCCATCTGGGAACGGGCATGGAAGGGGATAGTGGATTCATCGGCATTTGAGGAGGGCACATTCGCATCATTTGTTGTCGAACGTTCGGTGGTCTGTTGCCCATCGGTTGGCCTTCGAACCATTTCTGAGGCGGCGCGAGAAGGACGTTCGCGTTCGGTTTCGGCACTTTGTTAAAGTATAACGTCTGCAAATTAACGCACAGAAATTACCATATCATTAGAGAAGTTTAAATGGCCGGTAAAGATAAATCGGGTTTGACCGTAAGAAATTGAGAAATCGCGTGAATCTCTCTAACATTAATTTGTAAATGGATATCAATCGATAAATTTGCAATTACTTTTCCGTGCAATTATTTACCTGTAAATCTATTTCGGCATAATGCCCGAATTTATCACATGACTTACAATGTAGACATGGTATTCAATCTATACCATAACTGAACGTTTTTCAAAATGCAGAATACTCGATTCTAGTGCACTATTTTTTTTTTTGACACATTGCTCATAAAATTTGGCTTACCTTGCACACTTTCTTTGCGACACTTTCGGCAGCTTGTTCGCTCGTTACGTGGAAGTCGCCGGAGAATCGCCTCATGTCCGGCAATACTATCTGGGCTTGGATAAGATTTTTCTCCTTACAAGTTACGTACGTGTACCGAGGTACACCTAAGCCGTTCATTTGAAAATAATCTAGTAAAAGTGTACAGTAGAGAACACCGTCTTCCTTGTTCCCCGTTTGTCGTGCATGCTGAAACAGATTTTAATTGTACTTGCTGAAGGGAATGCATCGATTTTGATATGAACACCGTAATACTAAAAAAATAAAGATGAGATTCATGGAATATTAACTTACATCGAATAATCGTTGTACTAATGGTGGTGCTTCCGAGGATTTTGGAGGTTGTGGGAGCACAGGAGGTTTCGCTGGTGGTACCGCAGACTGAGGTCGTAGGCTACATTGCGAAGTCTCATCAGGTATTTTCAGCATTACTTTCAAGTAAGCACTGGGATCCCGAGGCTGAAACCGTTAATTATGTATTATTCCCATGCCTCGAAGAGTTAACGCAGTGCTAACACCTACACATGGCATATTTTTAAAACTACAGATCATGTTTGCTTCAATTTTTAAATATAACCGTGCTCAGTTAACTCTATCAAAGTAGTTTATTGCATTATGCTGCACAGAAGAAATGATCTTGCAATGGAATAATTGAGAACGTTGAGATAGGACTAATCTATATCGAATAAATTCGCTTACGAAGAGTTTTATATTCAAGTATGCAAATGTGTTGATCGGAGTCAAAATATATTTACCCAAACGTTCGTTTCCCATGTCTGCATTGACGAAGATAAGTAATTATTGCTTGTGCGGTGTGCGAATAGAAAATAATTTATATTATTAGTGAGATACTCACATTGCTCTCTGTATCGACACTCGTGTTTGTAGGCTGCTTAACCTCGGTTTCTTTTGGCGTCGACGCGGATACTTTGGGCTTACCATTCCATTTCTATAGAAATGATTACAAGTTTATTTACATCAATCAATGAGATCATGTACTTTGTGAACCAACTGTAGCTATGATCACCTGCAATTTGTGTAATTCGTTCCATAACGTCTGGAACTCTGAAGACTGCTGCGGTGTTGTCTTGGGTATATTTTGTTGATACGGCTGCTGTTGCTTCGAAGGCTGAAAAGTCTTACTGAGAATTGCTTTTGCTTCCACTGGTTTCTCATTTGTTTTTCTTCGTGGGTCAATCTGAGTCAGTTGCTCATTGATTATTCTTGGATTCATTGGTTGGGAGGCAGGTGACGATCGATTTCTCATAAAGAATGCTGGCGAAAAGGCAACCTGATTCCCACTAATTGACGCGAAAGCACTTGAGCTAGGTGGAGTTTGAGAAGTCGATGATTGTCTCCAAGATAACACAGGTTCTGATTTCGGTGATCGTCCCTGTTCTACTCGCATGCCATAACTTATATTAATGAAGTCCATTGGCATTAACTTGTAGCAGCGTTTTGAGGTTAATCCGTTTAATGCAAGAGCTCCTGCAATAAATGAATTTTCGTCAAAACAAATTTAAAACCTTTGACATCTTTTTTGGACAAATTTTGAATTTATCATCGTATTAATGACATTTGGGGGTATTAGCTACATTCGATATGTATTAGCTTCCAGTGCTCATATAAAAATATGCTCAATATCGTATTAAGATCCATTTTTTGAAAGTTCTAAAAACCAATATGTATTAACTAAATTTTAATTTCGGAAGAATTAAGACAAGTTTTATGAGTGACACACCAAGTCCCTGGTATACAAATGGTTTCATTAAATTAACAGATCTTAAATCATAATTAACGACACTTACCTGGGAATGGGTGATCAAACAAAACCTCATACATTACATCACAAGGTTTCTCGGCTTTGTGTACAGTCATGATCGTACCCTTATAACCAAGGGGAACGGTATAGCTTTCTCTTACACACACAATTCTGTCGCATAGTTCATGCTGAGCTTTTGGATCAGGTGACAGATTCCCAATATGTAACCCAGACTTAAACAATAAATGCGGTTTGACTTGCATCAAGAGAGTCTTTCCTGCATTGTTCTGCGTAGCTACATATTCATCAATCGTTTTTTCCAGTTCTTTCACTAGATCGACTTCCAAAGATTCGGAACCACAGGAACGGGTTCCAATGCTATTAAACGGCTGAGACTTTAACCATGAGACTGCATCATTTAATCCAGTTGATCTGGGCATATAAAAAAATGGTCTGTGTCCTTAAAAATGTGAAAGCTGTATGAGCTTCTAAAATGAAATCACTTACCCCGAGGGAAATAGTTCACTTTCATGAAAGATATCGTTCACAGAATTCTGCCCTAACCTCTCGAACAGATCAGGACACTGTACCATATAATTGCGTATTAATTCAATGGACTTTGCACTGTACAACCACTGATTGTTTTCTTTGCGGGTGTACCCCGGTACCTTTAAAAATTATTAAGATATTAAGTGGATTAAACTATTCACATCGATAATCCCAGGAAAGTTACGCAGCTTACCTCTTCGTTTTTCTTGTTGAATTTTAAATTCAAACCAACGTTATGTCTTGCGTTCTCCATTGAGGGAGTTTGGGTTGTGTTTTGCGAAACGAAAATAGAACCGGTAATTCTACCGAAAACCCGACTACTTATTCCCAGCCTTTGAGCAGCGATATTAGCTAGCACAAATTGGGATTTCGAATCTCTCAACAGTTTACGGATGGAGTTGAAGTTTGGTTCTGGCATTATTCGCATGGCCACTTTCACACGACCTGCCTTTGCATTCACTCCAGGTTCGATAACCTGTATAATATTTTAAAAAGTGAAAATTATTTCTTTCGCAAAGATTCCAAATGTTAATAAAAACTCAAATAAAAATTTTAATGATTTTCCTCTGCGCAGATTATGTATACGTTAGATATTAAAAAAAAAAAATTGATCTAACCTCTCCCATGGCGCCATAATGTGGATGCCCTAACATGAAACAGGTACTCTTCTCTGGAAATACATCTGCCACGGATTTGTACATTATAAACGTAGGATCATGAACAGCTATGTCTTTGACTACAGCTTGGTAGGCATAAGACATAATAATTTCACTCCATTGTTTCTCAAATGTCAATTTGCCTTGAGCGCTGAAAATATAGCTTCTTCCAATGATAGGCCGTGCATGCACTAATATATGAGTCTCACCTACATCTATGCCCCGACGAGTGAAATAGCTGTAATAAAACATTAACAAATATAGTCAAATATCAACATTTTCAATTGAATATACTTTTATTGGGCCAACATACGTTTCTTTAATTTCTCTCCAATCGAAATTCCACTTAGTGTTCACCCCACCCTTTAATTCTTCCTTCTCTGGATTATTAGGATCTGAATGCAGTTTTAACGTTCCATCTGACACAGCTTCCACTCGAGCTTCGATAAGGTGAGGCCACTGGACGAATATTGTTTGTCCCAAAAATTCTTTTGCAACTTCAGTCAAGCTTGGAGTGTTTCGTTTGACTATGGTTAAAATCATGTTATCATTTCTGGACATGTGATCAAACACTCTGACCTGAAAGGATGGGACAGTTGTGACATTCATATATTGCATGTTCGCGAAATTTCATGTAAAAATTGTTGTCGATAATTGATGTTAAAATTTTATCATACCTTACTCTTCTCGAAGGACATGGTGTGCTTGATGTGTTGCAGTGTGGGAAATCCAGGGAAGTAAACGCTAAGTTTTGCACCAGGTAGTATGCCTTTAATTATTTTGTCAATTGGCACTAGTATGTCTTCGCGTTTTATTACTTGTACTTGTGCGTGGTTTTTAACGCTGGGGAAATATGCCGGTGCATTGTAAAAGCCTAAATCCTCGTCAGTATATACATATATATGCATGGGACCATGTTGATTTCTCTTCAGTTCTTCGGGTGACAACCTTGAAATGTATGGTTCCATTGCTATATAAACAAGAATATAAATTAGGATAGTACATTAAGCGCAAGTTCTGTAATACATTTTTTTCAAATTTTCTGGTCTTATTAAAAAAAAAAGATTAAAATTGACGTACCTTTCAACAAGTTTTGCTCATTTATAAATGGAATTAACACGACTGCTTCCCATTCTTGTTGCTTACCGTTTAGATCGGTTTTAAACTCTTTTGGGTAATAATTAATAATTGGTGATTGTTCTTCCGTTAGTAGTTCCTGAAAAGGTTCTGGTAATAAGCTTTTGCTCGCGGCTGGCAATACAGCCAACAACTGTTGAAAGGGCAAAAAAGGTTCGCCTAAATCAAACTCGAGCTTCAAGTTTTTGAATCCTTTTATATCGGAAGCATATGGTGCGTAGTGATGTGGATAATACCACGACCAACTACAACAGCCATCGTAGTAATAATGTAAATTCCATTGGATAGCTCTCACATATCCTTCTGCTTGGGATTGTAAAACATCTCTATAATATTTAATTTCAGTCATTAATGGTTTGCAAATTTTAATTCTGGTATCGAAAGCCTGTAATGAAGTCATAATCACATACTCACTCATCAACGTTTTCATACTCTAATTTGTTCATATAGTAATCTCGCTTATGTTGAACAAATTCCAATTTGTGTATATCACGGTCAGAATCTTCATCCTCGTCATCTTCGTCTGAATGACCTAACAACTAAATTGTGTTGTGTTATTTAAATATTAAAAACTATAGCGAAAAGAATTTGTACAAGTACCATATCTTCAGTAGATTTTATCAGAGCATTCAAATCCCTATTAAGAACTATCTTAGGTGATGGAGTCTTTTCTGGGGAATTCTTTGATTTTTTGAAGTTTAGATCTTCGGATTCATTTGCTTTTCTCATTTTACTTTCAATGTACTTTAAATCTGCAGAATATTCAGCAAACTGTTGAGCATCGATGGTACTCAACTTCTCCATGAATTTTTCAAATCTATCAAGCTTTAACGTGCCTGTTTCGTTAATATAACCTGCAATATTATCCAACTAATAATAATAAATTCTCCCTTAAATAAATTCGTAACAATGAGGGAATTTACCATCCAAAGTCGGCAATACTTCCATGTATGCATGATACAACACCGGCAGCATTCCATTCACGATATGTAGGTTTGGTAAGTGAGGGATAAAATCATTGCCCACCAGAAATCCCATTAGAATCCAATCGTCAATTATTTTCTCAATGTTATATGGGAAGGGCAGTTTATCCTTAAGTGGTGAAAACTCATGTTCTAGATATTCTCGCATTATAGATAAGTGTAGAAGATTAAACTTTATCTCCTCAGGAATCATTATCCTTTTGTTTTTGCTCTGTTTTCCAAACTTTATTTCCTCTCGAAGCAACGAAAAGTGTGGTTCGTGAGTGCATAAACCCAACATTATGAGGTCTGCGTCTAAACCATATAGGCAGTGCCTTGTGTTGTGATCATAATCTGGTTGGATTCTTATATATCGTATGTAATCCATTATTTTATGTTCACCCTCACCTGGTACCTAAAAATAAATATTTTTATACACTGTTATTAGAAACTTATTTAAAGACGGTTTACGGTAAATAACTATCAATGATATTATACCTCAGATCCACTGAATATAACTTTACACTTCTGCCATAATTTATCTTGTGACATTTTCCAGGTAATAAAATATTTCAACTGTTCATTAAGTTTAGCCATGAAGAGTGTGCCTGGAGTAATACAATTTGAATCAAACCTTGCCGCAGTGGGTAAAACTTCTCCTTTGGCTTTAGCTTTCATCTCTAAAATTTCAGCTTCTTTGGCAGACCTAAATCTGCGACCTCTTTGTTGATTAATCTTGGCTCGAGGTGCAACTCCATCGACAGCCATAAAAAACACTTTACGAGGTTGAATAATATTAAACAATGTTTCTACATAATGAAATATATTTTTTAAAATTTCTTCTTCTGTAATACGAAAGTGCGTATCTTCGTCATTAGGATGTGAACACACGTGAATAATACCATTCATATCTAGGTATAAATTGTCATATTCTGGTATCTGGAAAGAGCAAATAAATGTATTACAACAATAAGTAAATATCCAGGGTAAATAAAGAACTACAACGAAAACAGACAAGTTCTCAATCTGCATAAAAAAAAATTCTTATCAAATATCAATAATTAATTATTGTCAATTATTTACTCTCATACAATATGTTTCTACTGATATTTATAATTCTTAGAACGTAGGTAATAGAATTAAAGTATTCAAATATGTTTGTAATCAAAATGTTTGTTGCGATAGAAGGTATCGAGTGACAAAGCTGAACCAAGGAATACATTTCCATTTAATATATAAGAAAGTACATTCCAAATGTCGTTATCGGTAGGTGTAAACATATCCTTCTTGATTTACGTACCTGGTGTTGTTTGACCGATTCGCTAAGACAAGGGTATCTTTCGCTAATGTATCGAAAAAATTTCGGGATACCCATTTTAACCGGTCCGTGTTCTCGTGGATTAAAAATTAAGTGATTGCTAGCTCTTCAAGGAGCGCAGTCGTAGCCTTTGCAATAAATCTTGATTATCAAAATTAAAATTTTTGAGCATAACCACACTCTTTCGAAGAAATACTCCTACCTAACTGTAGCTAACCTCTGAACTATCTAGAGTACATAGAAGTACCGACGCCTTAGCGAATTGGCACTGACCAAACAACCAGTAATCTTCACGACGAGTATTGTCAGAGATGAATTGGGAGATTGCTCACGGGCAGGATCGTGCGATCGCATCCTGTGCTGCCCTCTTCGGTTTCGTACGTTAGCTTTCACCGTTTTTTGCCCCCAAGGGCGGCGCAACGAATTTCTTCTTGTCCTGAAAAGGAATGTAGTCCACAAACGAGTAGAAAATGCCTGCTAAAAAGTACCAAATTCCCCGCATAATATTGGCAACATGCGAATATCGGTTTGTTGTCACGAAACTGTTTTCTTCATAAGTATAGATCACCTTCTCATTGGCGGACGATTGGCCAATGGGAGAGCAGCCCGAGTCCGCCATTTTTTTGCAGGAGATTTGAACCAGAGGACTGGTAACCCATACCTTTTAATTAATTTATTTGTACCGTATAAATCGCAAAGTGATATTAGGTTTGTAAACATTATTTTAAGCAAAAAAGAAATTATAAATTGAAAGGTTTATTAAATATTGATATACACACTGATGCACCGAGTGTGGAATCCCTATATTTAATAGAAAATTGGTTCGAAGGCTAAAAATATAAAATACTGGTTAACCGGAGGACTTATTATCTGCGGAAAGCTTCAACTGGCATTCGAGAAGAAGAATATATCTTCATAAACATTGTAATTGCTTTTCGGATGTCCCAGTTGTACTCCTTTAAAAAAGTACGACACCAATCTTGATTCATCGTGGTAAGTCCTTGAAATGAAGTGACGAGTTCTTCTTTCTCTCTTGGACTTAGACATGCTGATTCAAGTTCTGTTTCATATGGTTTGTACTCAAAATTCTTTTCGGCTCCTTCAGGAAGGGCGAAATTAATGTGGTATTGATCGTTTATGATATTGTATTCACTTTCATCACCAGCGGCCAATACGAAAGTTCTGTTGAAATAAAACATTTGAGGTTCCACATTTATGTTCTTGAAAACTCCTTCAACAGATATCATCAAATAAGTGTCGGTTTCAAATAACAAATCATAGGAAAAGGAGTTTCTGTCGTGGCATGTGCGAGGTAGTCTTCTTAGAGCCAATAAAATTTTGTCTTGTCCCTGATAGAGCAGATAATATCTTTTGGCAGCATCAGTTATTTTTAATAAATTTCTATCATTCATTATAAAATGGTTGAGAAATTTTCTGTTGCTGTTATCTGGATTGATCCCAAGGGTCACTGAGTATAGAGCATTTTCATGATACAGTCCTTTTAGTATCATTCTGTCCTTTTGGTCATATAATGCAAAATAGTGCTCTATAAATTGGTTCACTAATTTTGCAGAGTTTGAGTTCTTCAAATAACGATTGTAACATAGAGGTAAGTCAGGTGTACCAATGTATACGCTGTCCAATCGCATTAAGTTTGGGCAGTATCGTTGGGCAGATTCTATATACTGCACTGGACTAGAATAATTTTCACACAATGGGTTTCCATCTAACCAAAGCTCCATAATAGCTGAACGCCGTAAAGGTGTTAAAGTATCCATTGCCATTAATTTGTTATTCCTTAAATCCAATCGTTTCAATGTGGTTAAATTGGCACTCTCGATAGCAGATAGACCAAAAAGCTCGTTGTTTTGTAGATTTAAATGTTCAAAAGTTGCAAGAGCAGTCATAGCTACTTTAAGGACGTGTGTAAATGTTCTTAATTGAGACAGAGGATAATAAACTACTTTTGACAGTTCCTTGTCATTGTGAAAGTTATCTAAACATAAACTCTTATTATTTGGATTGTATCGCCTGGTTAACGTAGTTAACAGTAACGAATATATATTAACTTTAAGTTCATGAACCGACGCAAAACCCAATGTTATTCCGAGCACAAGTGGATCGCCTTGTGGATTCTTTATGATCAAATTTGTTTTACATAACTTGTCGAGTGCTGCCCCACAATTCCGGGCAATGAAAGCTGCATCGTCACCACTTAATTGATATTTAATAGGTATCAATTCTGCTGGTTCGACAGCATGTAAAATGAGTTTCAAAACAAATTCTTTATCATACTTTGCTCCACGAATTATAGTAATTTTATGCCACACATCAAGACGACACATTAAAGATCTTTCTTGGAACATCAAACCACCCATTGTCATTTTAATGGCAGTTGACGAGTCCAAATGAACTGGCACTACTGGCAAATTGTTCTGCATTTTTGACTTTCTGGGCATTATATTAATTTTCACTGTAAACAATTCAATAATGACATTCGCTTAAAAGCGAATCCAACCAATGGATTAATTCATATTTTCCATTAATTGAACAGATTTCTGGAATGTTTTCATCTTCTTTGAGGTTAGGAATCGAATCCTGGTAGTTCCTGTGATAGATAAAGACTAGTCAACTTGATGTTTATAATAAATCATAAAAATAAATGAGATTCTTAAATGATGTTCCACTTTTAAATAATCGACCTGTCACACTATTTGAAAGTAGAATAATCCAACTATCAAACTCACAGAATATAAATCGGTAAACATTACATTCCACTGTAACTCTTCGCAACGGTTTTCATATTTGATTACTTCAAAACACTTCGTCGACATTTGACAAAGCTTCCTAATTTTAATTACGGGGTATTAGAAAGACGTACTCGAAATATTTGTATATTGTTATTTTTTAACCTTGCAAGTAATTTCCAGAGACATCTGGCGAAACTTCGTCCAATTTGTCATGAATACCTGTCTACACATTCTCAACCGGTATTACAGAGATCATACATTGTTGATTAATTAATTTTCCAAAATAACCAGTGGAAAAACCTACAGCTTAATTCGATAAATTAGTAGAAGCATCAGACATGATTAGACCGCGAAGGTCTTCTGATGAGAGTCAAAGGACATTTGCAAAAAAAATGTGAGAGGAACTTTCACTGCCCCAATTCCAAACATATTTTATCGGTTTGATTACGAAAAATTGGCTGAGAAAAATAATACTATCATTTATTATAATTATCGAAATGATCTAGATTTATAATAAGTAATAATAAACATTTGAATTTCCCGTGAATCCCAATTTCTGAATCCGCGTGAATATATATGCAAATATACGTATAAATTTGAACATTATGGGTATTAATTCACGCTTTTAATTTTCCAAAAAAATAAGTTACGCAAATCCGTGAGTTCCTTTGTTTCCTTTCGTTCTATTCAGTTCCGAGGGGAAAAAAGGACGTCGAGAGAGTAGTTTTGCACCGTGACAATTCAAAATATACGGCAGAGCGATATCGCGGAAATGAGATCGATCATCGGTTATTCCGGGGCAAGAATCAAGTCGATAGACTGGATCTTTCGCAACGGCTCGGAGAAAGCTTACTCCAGCCAATCACGCATGAAAACAACAATGAATATAGGAGAATAGGTGGATAAGAGAGCAGACCGGTCATTTGGACCAACGGCCGATCGCCTTGGGCATCCTCTTCCGCATTTCACGTTACCGGAAAAATCCACGCTTCGATCCTTCGTCCTTCCGTTGCGAATCCTTCAGAAGACGCGTAGGGCAAGTGATACACATTACGGGAGATAAAACTTCCTCCATCTTGCAGGAAGTGTCCCTCCACTTTGTAGCTAGTACCTGATGTCTTCCCAAGATGTACGCACTCCTTAAATTGTCTCTAAAATGACACATTTATAATATCATTTACAGAAAAATATATTATTTCCTTTACTAGTAATTTTATTAACGAAATACCGTAATCACTTTGCAAGGCAAGATATGGGATGATCTTGGATGGGGACTGTGGCAATTAACATAACATAGCATAAAGACTAAAGTTAAGGTTATTTCACCGTTTAGTCGAGTTAATTACAAGGTACGAGCTACATTATTCTAATCGTGACTTCTTTATCTAATTGATCATCACTTCAAGTGGTACTCATTACTACAACTTTTTGGTACAGCCAGTGGGTGCAGTAACTATTGGCAAGGTTCCATTTTCAATGTGATCGGTTTCAAAATTCGAGTTATTCAAATTATTATAATATTGTAACTACGTCGCTGTAGAGATAACAACTAAATCATTTTTTCCCCGTGGAGATTAGGTCCGTGCAAAGGATTCTTCCGGTTCTGGGTTTGCAAGCCGACAATGGCGAAACGTTCTGGATTCAAGGTACACAATCGGCTTGTCAATTGTGACTTGGACTTCCGCATTAGCCGTCGATCATTCCGGCCATAATCCGGCAGCATGTCGGCCCAAGGCTTGCGTGCCTTTCTCCAGGCTCAGGAACGTTCCCTGTTAACAAAACCACGAAAAGTTGCTCGAAACGGACGCATAAGTGCTCCATTATAATTCATTAGAAGAATACATGAATGTTTCAAAGTTCAACACCCTTCATTCAAGGCTAGATGATGTACTTGAACCCGAGGAGGGGACTATCTCTTCGGTGCAATCTTGGTGAAGATGGATCCAGGGCTCGTGCATGGCTTTTCAGACGTACCCAAATAGACAGATTTACTTCGTATTGACTTCAAATCGCAGTTTTACATGAGTTACAGTGATCCGCATGTAAACATCCTGTGGATTTACATTTATTTTATAAAGCGATCCCGAAACTCGGTCAAGTTTCGCGCCAAACATATTTACACATATGTGCGTGTACGCGAGGTATATATGTATGCGCGTATTGACTTCAACTTGCAGTTTTACATGAATAATGAAATAGTGGAACGAAAATATAAAAAAAATGTCTCGTGTTTTTTGATACCAAATGAAGTGTCCGATAATAGTCGTGAAGTAAAAAATGTATTTTAATTACGTTAATAGGTTGAAAAAATATTTCTCTATACGTTAATAAATTATTGAAACTAAATACGTCATTGAGGTTTTCAACAAATATTTCAAATATCTTCGACTGAAGCCAGCAAGAAATCTTAAAAGATCTATCACTTGAGATATTTAGCAAAAATTACAAAGAAATATTAAGAAATTATTCTATGCTACTAGGGTCTCTCCATGCCAGGACTCGAAATAGGGAAATGGCTTTAATGAAATAAAATTTAATTTAAAAAATAAAAGAATGAGCACGTATCCTTAAATTTAAGCTATCATACGAGATCCCACATCCTTGTAATACAATGCAGATGACATTATGCCAATATCCGTGGATCAATGACAGACCTGAATTCCTCAGCAATGCTTCTCCATGACGAAGTGCCAAAAATCTCTCCGGATGTGCTGGCAGGACTCAAAAGAGGGAAGTGGTCTCGAGAAGGAACACGTATCCTCGTGCTCCCTTTGGCGAGCAAAGGTTACGTTGCTACCCGTGGTTTTCTAGCCATCTACGAACAAGCGATAACTGCATTATAGCAATTCAATAATAAATTGTAGAACGCTCGGTCGCTGCATTATGCGCCGGTAATCACAGTAATAAGCAGTTTTAAAAGTAACGTAAGTACGTTGTAGGTAGTAACAAGTAAGCCGTAATCGGCGGGATACACCTCTATACGTCTAGAGAAGCCCATGGGCGTCGTCCTTACATCCCCCGAGCGATACTCCTTTGCGAGCAAGGATCGGCCCGCGCGGGCGTCAATAATTTACAACATAAACCCTGCAAATTGACCCCCGTCCGGTGCGTTTATGCAAACGCGACATAAAACACGTCGCCCGATTACAGGACTTCCATGCTGGCGATCACTCCGATTTGCCCGCACTGGCAGAATTTCAAGGAGAAGGTCGAGGACCTGACCAAAGGGACCTCGAGAACGGCCAGCTCTGCAGATTCTAACTTCAAGGAAGACATTTGTTAAGAAATGCTCTCAGCAAAAAACTACCGATATAATTTAACTCTTCCCGCAGTAATAATTGCATTAACGTATAACATGCGGTTAAAAATGGTTAAAGTATGTACCTGACATTAGGTAACGTTGAAAATGTTTGCAATTGAATTAAAAGTAAATCTAATCGTAAGAGAGCTTTCTTTAAGAAAAATGCGTGCTAAATTGTTAGATGAAATTCTGGGCGAAGTTAAAGAAATGCTCGTATCTTATCGCAGAGAAAGAATAGCTTGTATATCGATAGTCACTTTTTAGAAGCGTTCTATTTTCTGTTCCAACGTTCCCTACCGTCGGCGTAATTAGTGTAATAAGCTATTGTAAAAGGAAATGGTAAGGTACTGCGAAGGAACAAGTGATTGATAGGAATGAAAATGGAAAAAAGGCGATTTTTAAAGTAATGCTTAATTTCGTACATTCTGCACGAAGTTAAGAGAAATGCTCGAGTCATATCGTAAAGGAAGAATGACCTGTATATCGATAGTCACTTTTTAGAAGCGTTGTATTTTTTGTTTCAATGTTCTCCACTGTCGGTGCAATTTGTATAATAAGGCATTGTAAAAGGAAATTGTATCGGCCTGGAATAACGGTACTTGGAAGACTCGGAGATGATCCTTAGGATAGAGGAAAGTTGCGTACGCCTATGAGCCAGCGGGGGGAAGGAATACGCTACGTACCCGTTAAGCCAACATCTAATTTGATAACTGGCGAAAATAATAACGTAGCGATCTGTTGCGTTCGTGGATCGCAGCCATCGATTTCGTACCGGGTGGCCGTAGAAAACGACGGCACCGGAACGAGATCTCGCGTTCCCCGAGAGAAAGCACACCCCGTCTTATGTTGGACGATTTCCTACCCAGCTTTCGAGCGGTATGATTCAGATCGAACCGTTCGATCGATCGGTATCCGAGCATTGTGTTCATCATAGGTCTAATTATCTAGTCTCTTCAGCGATTTATCGAAATTAATGGCTCATTCAATTGAATTACAAAAACTGATCGCTTAATATTCTCCAGTGAAACAAGTAATTCGCTAGAAAAACAACCGAAATCAGAATGAAATAGTGTACAAGAATTTAAATGCCAGATTTATAAATGCTTGACACGTCTATAGATATAAGCGAAGGTTTGAACGTTATATACTAATTAATTCAATAATAACTATAATAGTAACACTAATGGTAATAAGAATGTAACACAAAAAAGTGACCCTGGTGCATCACGAGCTAAAAGACTGGAGCGCATCTCGACTTCATCCTGATAACGAAATTCTCTCAATTTGTCCGAGTGGGTGCCGAAAGGTTGCACTTGAAAATTATTTACTAATTCATTCAAGAATAACTATAATAGTTACACTAATAGTAATAAGAATGTAACACAAAAAAGTGACCCTGGTGCATATCGAGTTAAACGACTGGAGCGCATCTCGACATCCTTTCCTCATCCCGATAACGAAATCTTCTCAATTTGTCCGAGTGGGTGCCGAAAGGTTGCACTTGAACATTATATACTAATTAATTTGAGAATAACTATAATAGTTACACTAATAGTAATAAGAATGTAACACAAAAAAGTGACCCTGGTGCATATCGAGTTAAACGACTGGAGCGCATCTCGACATCCTTTCCTCATCCCGATAACGAAATCTTCTCAATTTGTCCGAGTGGGTGCCGAAAGGTTGCACTTGAACATTATATACTAATTAATTTGAGAATAACTATAATAGTTACATTAACAGTGATAAGAATGTAACATAAAAAAGTGTCCTTCGTCCATAACGAGCTAGGCGATTGAGGCGCATCTCGGCATTCTCCTCATCCCGATAACGAAATCCTCTCAATTTGTCCGAGTGGGTCCCAAAT